GCTCAGTTTTTCTCCTGGCTCTGTGCTCAGGGATCACTCCCAGTTGTTCTCAGGAAACCATGTGCTCTGCAGAGCACATGCAGTTCTTGGGAACTGAGCCAAGGTTAGCTGCATGTAGAGCAAATGTTTACCTCCTGTATATATCTCTGTCCTTGAACAACATCTTTCTAAATAACTATGGGTTAAAACACACAAAACACACACACGCAGACACACACAGGGCAACAAAAACCAAAAAGCCAGAGAGGTGCTCCACGATAGAGCTCTTTCCTTACATGTGTGAGGCCCCATGTTCTACTCCCCGTATTACAAAATAGTAAATAAATACAATCCCCCAAGGAATTTTAAAAATATAGAAAATTAAGTATACTGTTGCCAACTGAAGACCTCCGGTTCCAGCCATAGCCATGCTTAAGACCACTCTCCACATGTTCGGACAAGCCTCATGCATGAAGGAACTGGCAGAGGAACCAAGGTGTGCGGGACCCGGGGTGTAGATCTCTAAGCCTGCTCGGATTGGGACTGGGCCTCCTCCACCCAGATCCCCCATCTTCCAGTATGTAGGCATTACACCCACCAACTGCCCCCGGCGCCCATGTAATCCCATCAACAGCCAAGACCCAGAGACTATAAAACCCAGCTCCCGGAAGCGTGACATCTTATTATCTAGTTCTTACTCTGGAGATCCTGGCAGGCTACCAAAAGTATCCTGCCCACATGGTAGAGTCTAGCAAACTCCCCGTGGCATATTCAATATGCCAAAAACCAGTAGCAATGATGGGTCTCATTCTCCTGACCCTGAAAGAGCCTTGAATGTGGCACTTTCTAAAATCTCAGGGCTAGGACGAAGGAGACGTTACTGGTGCCTGCTCGAGGAAATCGGTGAACAACAGGATGACAGTGATACAGTGAAAAAATAACTGAGTAGTAGTCTATTGTATAAGTGTACCACAATTTCTTTATCAATCCCATATGGAAGGGCACTTCAGGAGCATCCAAATTTTATTTTAGCTATTATCGACAATGCATAATGCATTGTGGTAGACACAACTTGTGTGTATTTATTATTTAGTTATTAGTTTGGGGGACTCACATAACAATGCCCCCAGGGTTACTCTTGGATCTGTACTCAGGAATTATTCCTGATGGTGTTCCGGGGACCATATGAAATGCTGGAGATTGAACCAGGTAGGACACATGCAAGGCAAACACTCAACTCGCTGTACTTTCGCTCCGGTCCTCTTGTGTTTATTTTTGTATTCTTCGGATAGATACTCAGAAGTGGGGTTGCTGGATCATATGGTAGCTTTGTCATTATTTTTGTATAGGATCTTCCCCAGCTGACATTACTTTGGCAGTGCTCAGAGGACCATACAATGCCAGGCAACAAGTCTGAGCCTTTTGCATGCAAGACATGCACTTTACCCCTTTAAACTATCTCCCAGTTTTTGTATTTAGGTGCTGCCACAGCTTCTCCTCCCCCTCCTCCACTTTTTCCTTCTCTTTTCCTCCTCATCTTCTTTTGAATGCAGGACATGTGTGTTACTGCAGAGCTACATACCTGGAATGTGTCTGCTACTGAGCTACATACTTTACTCCCCTATATTCAGCTTTTTTAAGGAAAGTTCATAATGTTGTCTAAAGTGCTTCTAACAACCTATAGTCCTACCATTTTATGCTTGTATTATTATTTTTTGGTTTTGGAACCATAACCGTTGGGTGCTCAAAGTTTACTACTGGTTCTGTGCTCAGGATCACTCCTGGTGGGGTTTAGGGGATCATATGTGGTGCCAGGGATTTAATCTAGGTCAGTTGTGTGTAAAGCAAGTGTCTTACCCACTGTACTATCTCTTCAACCCACCCATTTTATTCTTGTTTTTTTGTTTTTGGGCTACATCCAGCAGTGCTCAGAGTACAGAGCCAGGAGTAGTCCCTCAGCATTGCCAGGAGTGGCCCAAATCCCCATCTCACAAAAATAATGATATTAGTTGATGGTTTTTGTGGGTCACATGTGCTGGGCACCATAGAATTTCACACTGGCTTCATCTGACCCTTCCATCCCTATAAGGGAGGAGAAGATGTCTTCCCCACTCTGTAGAAAGTAGATCTGAACATAAAATCTGGAAATAGTCCAAGAGGTCAGAATTGGGGAGTGATTAAAACTTTGGGGTGCCTCCCAAAAGAGTGCTTTTGGTGACCAGCAATTCTAGACAGGCCTGGCAGTTTACTGTTCTGTTTGAGTAGTTCTCAGGGATCATCAGAGCAAGTGGTTCTTGAGTTGATTAAAGGGTCTCAGCATAGAACTAGGGGCCCAACACATGAAAGTATATGCCCTACAGTGGGGAGAGTACTTGCCTTGAAAGTGGCTGATCCAGGTACCATCTCTAGCATCACATATGGTTCTCTGAGCACTGCCAAGAGTGATTCCTGAGTGCAGAGCCAGAAGTAAGCCCTGAGCACCCCCAAACAAAAACAATAAATAAAATTTAAAAAGAGCGTATATGATTCAGCCGAAGAGAAGGACAACATGGAGGGCGGGATCCACAGATCCCGAAGGAAAAAAAAAAAACAGGTTCCAAAAAGAGCCGAGATCATCGGGAAGTCCCAGATGGGGTAGGTACCGCATCCCACCTCCCCCAGATGGAACCCCGGTAACCAGAAGCCTCTACAAGCACAGCTCGAGTATGCGGGAACTAGGACTTTTCCTCAAAACCGCGTGGCCGCTTATGCGGCTGCGCGACATCTCTCTATATACAAAGTGATCCATGGGAAGTAAACCACCCAACGTTTCTCTCTGAAAATCATAGTTAAGTTTGGAGCACGGCCACAGCCCCAGAAACACAAGGACTTAATGCAGAACCCAGCAGCTTGGAGCAGAAAAGTGAACGGACTATGCATTAATCCAGGCCATCATGTCTGCCTGGAAGAGAAAGGGTGTTGCCCCAGTCGCCTTCTCCTCTCTGGAAAGAAAGATGGCGGCCGCATGGGAGCCTTGTGGACAGCAGGTATGAGCCGGGGGAGTGGGGGCGACTAAAACCTCATGGGAAGGGGGCATTTCGGTCCGCCCTTCATGCCCTACCGAGGTCACCAGTTGCCCCCCACGAGCGGCTCTCCAGCATGGCCACAGCCCCAGAAACACAAGGACTTAATGCAGAACCCAGCAGCTTGGAGCAGAAAAGTGAACGGACTATGCATTAATCCAGGCCATCATGTCTGCCCGGAGGGGAAAGGGTGTTGGTCCCTTCTGCCCTCCTCCCTCTGGAAAGAAAGATGGCGGCCACATGGGAGCCTTGTGGACAGCAGGTATGAGCCGGGGGTGTGGAGGCGACTAAAACCTCATGGGAAGGGGGGCGTCCCAGTCCGTCCTTCAGGCCCTACTGAGGTCACCAGTTGCCCCCCACGAGCGGCTCTCCAGCATGGCCACGGCCCCAGAAGCACAAGGACTTAATGCAGAACCCGGCAGCTTGGAGCAGAAAAGTGAACGGACTATGCGTTAATCCAGGCCATCAGGTCTGTCCAGAGGGGAAAGGGTGTTGCCCCAGTTGCCTTCTCTTCTCTGGAAAGAAAGATGGCGGCCACATGGGAGACTTGTGGACAGCAGGTATGAGCCGGGAGTGTGGGGGCGACTAAAACCTCATGGGAAGGGGGACGTTTCGGTCTGCCCTTCACGCCCTACCGAGGCCACCAGTTGCCCCCCACTAGTGGCTCTCCAGCACGGCCACGACTCCAGAGCACAGAAACCAATTTCTTAACTATCTGACTTTCAGTAGAAATACTTCCAGGGTCAATAAGTAAAATAGCAGAAATCCAAAACCAACATTTAATTCTTGAACCCAGCTGTAGAAAGCAAATCACTTCACAATGCTTTTTCAACATGTCTGATTTGGGGGAGGGGTAAACTCTAAATAATAGTGGTGAATCTTTTATTGAAACAATGAATCTAATCAAAGCAGATAGAGTGTTAACTAGAATTCATCTGCCCCACAGGGACTGGGAGGGGTGGGGGGTGGGGTTTTATTGGGGTTCTTCATGGTAAAAAATAAGTATTGGTAAAGGGAAATGTGTTTGATATTTGCATGACTGAGACCTAAACCTGAAAGCTTTGTAACCTTTCCCATGGTGATTCAATAAATAAAAAAAAAAGAGCGTATATGCTCTAGGCCTATGTATTATCTTCTTGAATCTCTGAATAACATTTTCCCAAATTCTGCCTTTCAGTTTGAATCAACAATGTAAACTTAAAAGGGGTTGGGAGACAGTACAGAGGTTAGGGCACATGCCTAGCAAGTAACCGACAAAGGTGTGATTCACAATATCACATGATCCCTGAGTGTCACCGGGTGCATCCTTGGCCCTCTCCCCTCCCCGTCCACCGGGGTGGCCTGTTATCTTCAGCACTGCAGAGCTAGAGCAGTATCAAACCCCTGTGTGCATGTGTAGAACTGATGGCGTGATTGGCTAATAATTGCCCTGGGGGACCCTGGACCTCTTGAGCATTGCTTGGAGGATGCCCCCGCACCAAATAAAAGAAAGGGAAAGAATACAGGGACTGGGGATGTGTCTGAGGCTAAGAATTCCTGGCATTCGTGCACACATAGTTTGATCTCAGGAATGGCCCACAGCACCACATGGATCCTGATCTTGCTGTTGTGACCCTCAGCATCACAAGTGTACCACCTCCAGTGGGCACTGTCACCCAGTGTGTGAGCACCACTATCCAGCTATCACAGCAACAACAAAGAAGGAAGGGATAAGTAACCAGAATCCTGCGTTTTTCTCAGAGTAGGCATTTAATTTCATGAATCCCCCAATAAACATCAACAATAATGACCTAAGATCCAGCTATTTTTTTCCCATTTGATACATGAGGAAACATCAGGAGGATGAAATCTCATCTTGGGTCAGACAGCTGGCTTCTCAGACCTGAGATGAGATTAATTTAATCATGCTGCCCCTTCACGTGGCTCCATAGGCGCTACAGCAGCTGCAATTTGGGCTCTTCACCCACCACCTGTGAGATTAACCGGGTGGGGAGGTGAAGGGGAGGGTTTCATCTGCAGTATCTGGGGGGCACTTTTTGAAGAACTGACAGGATTGGAGACCTCACACCGATACGCCCCCTCATCGGCCCTGGACACAGGCTGGACTGTGAGGGTCATGTTGTCTGCAGACAGCTTCCTGCTCCCTGAGGGCTGCAGAATCTTGTCATTGAGGAACCACTGGATGAAGACCCCAGTGTCTTTCACCAAGCAGGTCAGAAACACAAGGGTGGCACCTTCTGTCGCTGTGGTGTGGGTGGCTTGGATAAGGGGCTCTGCCACTGGGTCTGTGGAGAAAGAGAGCAGGGAGAGATGAGAGTGGCTAGGACCAGGAACAATCTCTACAGCCAGATGTGGCCCCAAAACAAAACAAAAGAGCTAAAATGCATCTAAATTGGAATGATAAGTACAACTGGGTATCTTTGCAGATGGTATGAACACAGGAAACCCTAAGGAAGCCATAAAGTGTTACAATGAATGAATTAAAAAATTTCACTAGATACAGAATTCACATAAAATATCAGTTGTGTCATTATATGTAGCACTGTCCTCCATTGTTCATCAATTTGCTTGAGTGGGCACCAGTAACATCTCCATTGTGAGACTTGTTACTGTTTTTGACACACTGAATATGCCATGGGTAGCTTGCCAGGCTCTGCTATGCGGGCGGGATATTCTTGGTAGCTTGCTGGGCTCTCTGAGAGGGACGGAGGAATCGAACCCGGGTCAGCCACTTGCAAAGCAAATGCCCTACCCGCTGTGCTATCGCTCCAGCCCACGTCACTATATACTAGCAATAATCAGGAAATTTAAAAAACATATGTTATAATGTCAAAAAAAAGTAAACTAGGGGCTGGAGCGATAGTACAGCAGGTAGGGCATTTGCCTTACACATGGCCGATCTGGGTTCAATTCCCAGCATCCCATATGGTGCTCTGAGCACTGCCAGGAGTAATTCCTGAGTGCAGAGCCAGTAGTAACCCCTGTACATCTCCCTGTGTGACCCAAAAAGAAAAAACGTAAACTAGAGGAACAAACTTAGACAATGAGGAAAAGGACTTATACATGCAGATCTATAAAACAAGCTGAAAGAAATATTAATGAAGACAGAAATAGGTGGGTACACAGCCTATGTTCATAAATGGAAAGATTTCATATTGCTAAATAATATTTCTACAGAGATCCACAGACTTATTGCAATTCCTATCAAATGCTAGCAAGTTGCTTTGCAGAAATAGCAACTTCTATATATGTAGAGAATGTCAAAGGAGGACAGATATCCAAAATAATCCTGTAAAAGGACAAGTTGAAGTAACCTAGTTTCAAAACTGCAAAGTTATCATGTTGGAAATAATGTGGTTCTAAAGAGACCAATGGAACAGACAGAAATGGCATAAATAAACCCCTACTTACATGATTCTTCGATTTACAACAAGGTTCCCAGCGTCATTAATAAGGAAATAACCTATTCAATAAGTGGTGCTGGGAAAACTGGTCATTCATATGCAAACCAGGGATGTGACACCCTTTCCTATCCTATCAAGTCAACATAAAAGGAGCATGCAATATGAGTCAAACTCGGAATACCAAGAAGAAAGCTTAGAGGAAGGACAGATTTGAAAGGGCTCAAGAAAAAGTACAGCAGGTCAGGCGCTTGCCTTACTTGCAGCCAACCTGGGTTTTATTTTGCTCATTCTCCCTAGTCCCCTGAGCCTGCAAGAAGTGATTCCCTGAGTGCAGAGTCACGAGGAACTCAGCACTTCCAGCTATGGCCCAAAAACCAAATTCAACCCCCCCCCCCAAAAAAAGAGCTACTTGAAATTGGATTTGTCAATGATATTTGAGACATGACACAAAAATATAGATAGCAATGGAAATAGAAGGTAAATTGGTTACATCAAACTATTTCCATTTTCTTCTGCACATTAAAAGACACAGTCATAGTCAAGGGGCTGGAGTGATAGTCAGCGGGTAGGGCGTCTGCCTTGCATGCAGCTGACCCGAGTTTGATCCCCAGCATCCCATATGGTCCCCCAAGCACTGCCAGGAGTAATTCCTGAGTGCAGAGCCAGGAGTAACCCCTGAGCATTGCTGGGTATGACCCAAAAAGGAAAAAAAAAAGAGACATAGTCAAGAGAGTGATGGATGGGGCTAGAGAGATAGTATAGTGGGTAGGGCACTTGCTTTGCACGTGGCTGACCCAGATATGATCCCCGGCATGTCATATGGTCTCCTGAGCACTGCCAGTAGTGGAGGCTCCTTCCCTCGGAGTACTGGCCCAAGCACATAGGTATTGGACCACCTGATATCAGATGTGACCTGGCCTCAGTCAGTGTGGCCCTGGGCTGAGCCTTGGCTGAGAGCAGCTCAGGACCCACAGGAACCTTTGCTACCCATCAGTCGTCCCAGGACGCCACCCCAACTCTGGATAGGCTCTCCAGGGCCACAAAGTCAGGGAGCCCGGTTGAGGACCTCCCATACTGATCCTCTGTGGGAATCGAGGGCTGCACTTAGGCCAGTATCTGAGTGAGCCCCGCAGTGTCTCTCTCAGGGTTGGGTTCTTGGGTGCAGTGACTGGACCAAGACTGACCTCTCTGCTGGGTGACTCCCCTAGGCAGGCCCTTCTCCCTAACAGGGAAGCCTGCAGGCCCAACTCCAGGAAGAAATGCTGTGTGTCTTTCTTTCCTTTTGCATGTGTCCTGCTCAAATGCTCAAATACTCCAATGGGGGTGGGGGTGGGGGGACTCTGTGTGGGAAAGGGCAACCCTGAAGTGGATTCGTCCCCTTGCCCACCTCCCCTGAAGTCAGAGAGGGGTCACTCACGGTACACATGGAGCTCTTGCTCTCCATATAAGATATCAGTGCTGGCTGTGATGACTTGCAAGCGGTAGATTCCCATGTCGTCCTTGGCGAGGTTCCGGAGCATCAGGGAGCCATTGGAGTACAGGGTCTCTCGGCCACTGTATGCAGGTCCCTCAGTAATAGTTTCTGGATATCTTCTCAACGTTGCAATGGTGTTCATAGATAGGACTTTTCCTTTGTACCAGTCTAAACGTGAAACATTTCCTGGCAGCCCAGAGGCAAGCAGGAGAGCGTTCTTCCCTTCCATAACAGTGGGCGGTACCAATTTCACAGTAATGCCCCAGGCAATGGCATTGGCAGTAGTATTGGCAGTGGCACTATCAGTGACATTGGCAGTGCCAGGCAGGCTCCAGAAAGGTAAGAGTGTGGCTGGAATCAGAGAAAGTCAGAGTATTAGATCTTTAGATTACATTAGACATTATTTAGATTAAACATTAGAAAAGTATGTTCTGAAGGGCTGAAAGATACTATAAGGATTAAGGCATTGCCTTGCAAGTGGTTGACCCAGTTTGATCCCTGGCACCACCAGGAGGGATACCTGACCCCAGAACCACTGGGGTGGCTCAATTCACTCACCTCTTCATCCTTCCACTATTTGAAAAAAATGGGGTGTCTGGGAGACAGCAAATCTTAAGTCCTGTAGGTTTGGTTCAGCAGCAGGATCTTTTTTTATTTTTTTTTCCATACCTGGCAGTTGTTGTGGCTTACTTCTGGCTCTGTGCTTAGTGGGGGGGGGTTGTATGGGGTTCTGGGGATTGGTGTGCAAGGCAAGTGCCGTAACTGCTATATTTGCTATATTCTCATTCTGACGCTGAGCAACTCTTTTTTTTTTTTTTGAGACTGTAAAGTTGGGCTGGAGGATAAGGTGGGTGGTGACGTGGCACAACACCAGCGCTATAACTGGAAAACTTCACAGGGGACTGAGTTTCTGGAATTGTCACAAATGGGTGCACCGCATCCGGTAAAACAGGATCTGATAACCATCAATGGCCCAAGAAAACTAACCAACTAAAATAGCGCCCACTTCTTGGCTCCACCATCTCTGATTTTGTATCAACCCTGTAAATCTTACGCAGCTTTTGCCCTCAGCGTGACTCTGCAGGCCCAATGGAGACCTGTAAACCTCCAGTGCCCCAAGCATATGAGATGCTGGGGATTGAACTTGGGTTGGCCGTGTGCAAGGCAAACGCCCTACCTGCTGTAATATTACTCTGACCCCTTGCTTGGGAGCTCTTAATAAACTCTTGCTGATTTCTATTCATCTGCTTTCCTCTCAATGACTCACTACTGGACCTTACAGAAACCATCATTACTTTTTGTTCTCTGGCATCTTCTCCTTCCCAGGTGTCGCCTCCTTCCTTCCTTCCTGTCCCAGACCCTGCTCACTCGGCCCTGGGGAGATGCCTCCTCCTCCTGCCCTGAGCCCCCACTTCACAGTGGACCCATCCCTGCTGTGCCCCCCTGAACCTTGTCCGTCCCTAACTGCACCTTCTAGATTCCTTGTGGTGCGCCCGTGAGGACAGGGCCCGTGGGACAGCTCCAGCCCTGTGCTGAGTGATGGGGCTCCCAGGTCCACCGCCTGGCTCCCCAAGTCCTGACACGGTGCATGAGGACAGGATTTGAGGCCTCAGTTCCGACTTATCTGCAGAGACTGACCAAGACGCGTCTCATCCTCCGGACAGCTGAGGTTTTCCTGCCCCTCCTGTCACAGCATGAGAATTCCCATGCCAAGCCCCCACCCCGACACTGTTTTGTTCTGTTGTTCGGGCCATACCCGGTGTGCCCAGTGGTGCCTCCTGCACAGGGTTGGAGACCCTGCAGGGTTGGGGGTTGAGCACATGCAAAGATGGTCTTTAGCACTTTGACCTGTCCCCCCAGGCCCTCTTCCCAATCTCACCCTGTCCCCCACCCCCCGTGCTCTCCCCCACGTGCAAAGAGAATACTCTGTCTCCTCTCAGAGTTCTGTGCCCTCAGAAGACTCCAGCTTGTGTCCCTTGCCCACCCCCAGAAAGGTATCCCCTCACCTGCAAGCAGGAGCCCCTTCCAGGGCACACACCCTTTGTGGGCAGGGGCTGAGGGGGGCTCCATGTGTCCACTGCTGCTGGCTCCCACTGGCTGAGAGAAGAGCTGGAACCCAAGGAAGACACTCAGGCATCGCCTGGACAGACAGACCTGTGAGCCCTGGAGCTTCCTCCTCCTGAGCTGAGCTGCTCCCGAGGAGGGGCCTGGTCACATGGTAGGGCCATCTCTGTCCCCTCCTTCCTTCCTCCCCTCTCCCTCTTCAAGCCCTTCTGTCCTGTTTGCACTTTGCTTCCTGGAAAGGGCTGAGACCTCTCCCTCTTCAGCTGGGATTGGACGTACAATACACTTGTGTACACATACATGAGTGCATAAGTGCACACACATGTACACACACCCTGGTTGGGGGGCTCAGTTCTGGGGTGATTGTGTCCAGGTTTCCCCAGATCTCCAGGTGGGTGCACTGCTCCCTGCCTTGCTGCTCTCTCCCCTCTCCTGGATTTTCCCTCCAGAGCTGGAGCCCGGGGTTTCCTCAAAAGTTAATGTCACTTGGTTTAGCCCCTCAGTGGCCAGAAATGACCTCTGACACTTTATAAAGGTGGTGCATGTCCAGGGGAGGCCTTAAAATGCTATAGCAGCTACAGGGAACAGGGACCCTACCAGGTAAGACCATGATGTGTGTGTGGGGGGGACCCTGTCCTGTGTTGGGGTCTTCTGTGACCCTGAAAAGTGTGGGTTACAGCTGACAGGTGTGGGAACCAGAGAGTGTGTATCTACCTGGCCCTCAGGGGGTTCAGAGTCAAGCTGAGCATACATCTGAAGAGCCTCTGTCAGACGGGTAAGAAAGACTACTGGATTTTCATTTGGGTCCTGAGATATTTCCCTTAGCTTGTCATGATAGCCATATGAGCCGCAGCATGTGTGCCCGTGACTGACCACTGGATAAAGTGGTCGCCATTGGTGCTCTCCCAGAGGCTGGCATCTGTGGCATCCTGATAGACCTGCCTTCCAGCATCAACACCCAGAGGCATATCTGATCAGCGAGGCATGTCTGCTCATTATGTTCCTGACCAGCCCGATAAATACGGTCCAGTTCATTCGCAATTAGCGTGGAGGATAATGGGAATATCATGCCAAGCGGGATCACATACCTCTGTTCAATAGTGGAATTCCTTAATACATGAGGTAGGCAGGGGCTGGAGCAATAGTACAGCGGGTAGGGTGTTTGCCTTGCACGCGGCCATCCTGGGTTTAATTCCCAGCATCCATATAGTCCCCTGAGCACCTCCAGGAGTAATTCCTGAGTGCAGAGCCAGGAGTAACCCCTGTGCATCACCGGGTGTGACCCAAAAAAGCAATAATAATAATATATATGTGAGGTAGGCAGCAGCAGGGGCAGCAAGGGTGAGGGAGGTTAGAGGTGGGCAGCAAAGAAGATGGCAGGAGAGGAGAGCGGGTAGGCAGTGTAGGAGGTGACAGTGGAGAGAACTGGATGTGGTGGCAGCTTCAGCATGTGGGGCATGGGACCTGGCTGTGGTGAGACTCCCCCACAGTTGCTAGGGTAAGTGAAGAGGTTGGTTCAGGTGAGGGTAGATGAGAAGAAAGTGTCGGTGGGGGTACACCGAGGACCTGGGAGAAGCGCCTTCCAGGGTAAGGGGTGGAGGAGCGGTCAGTGGAAGAGGAGGGAGAATGGGTTCAGGAGGTCCAAGTCATCCTCCAGAGTTGGTGGAGAGTTGGGAGGGGTCTTAGGGGTGTCATGAGCAAGGAGACCTTGGAAAGTGTGTGGGGTCTTGAGGGGAGAGGGGTGGGAGCGCAGGAGAAGGAAAGCCTGGACGTAAGGGACTTCTGCCCATTTATTGTTATGTTGTCAGTACGTGTTTAGGCTGGTCAATGTGGGATGCTCAGAAGTTCTGTTTCTGGGCCAATGGGTACCTTCATTCAATGGATACGGGTTGACTATCTGGGACTAATTTTTGGGCCTTAAGGGATGCCAGGAGACAATCCAGTAGGATAGAGGGGTCTGTTTCAGAATTTTAGCTGCCCGTAATGTTCTTAGGGCTCAGCAGTGAGAGCCTTTTGGACAGAGATCCAGTATCATGGTCCTTTTGCAAAGGGACCCAGAAAATGGGCGTGTCAGCAAGACAGTAAGGCGAGGATGTCTCCCTGTCCTTTTGTTGCCTGAATGGTGGGATGTTCTGAACTCTGGTGGGGAGAGGGGAATGGCAAGCATCCTTAGCCAAATCTGGACTCTGGTTGGGGAGTGCGGACAGGGTGACCCTGACGTGAGCTCATGGTTTATAGTCAAGGTGTCTGGACAGCACCACAGGGACCAAAGGAAATCTCTGAACAGCAATGGAACTTACCGAAAGTGGGACTGGTGGATGGATGTGAGGCACCTGTAAGGATAAGATAGATGTACAGAGATATAAAGGGGGTCTGGGGTGGGGGAGGAATACACAGCAGAGAACCAGGTCCTATTTCTGCCTGAAGAGGATTAGTGCCAAGGTGAGGCCCAGATCAAGGGACTGGAGATAGTAGGTAGAGCACTTGCCTGGCTTGTGACTGATCTGGGTTCGATCTCAGCACCTACATGGTCCCGGGAGTCCTGCCAGGAGTAATTCCTCAGTGCAGAATCAGAAGTAAGTGCCCAGTAGCGCTGGGGCCACCAAGATCACACCCTGCAGTGTTCAGGGGTCACCAGGGCTACAGCTGGCATTGCTGGTGGAGGCATGTGGTGCCATGGTCAAACTTGGGATCCTTGCATGCATGCCACACACCGCAGCCCTTTCAGCCCGTTCCAGGGTCCAGGGATAAATGACCTGGATAGCGAAGGGGACCTGAGATTTTCCTTCCTCTCCCGTGAGCTTCAGTCCTCCGCTGACCGAGCCCCTCTCCCCACCCTTTCCTGCTCCCCTCTCCTTTCCCCTCATACTCACACAGAAGCCCCAGGCCCCCTCTCAGAGCCTGAGTTCCCAGGAGACCCCACGAGTCTCTCTTCTCCCTCTCTCCTGCCTATCCCGGGAGGGGTGGGGGGATTGGAGGCCTTCTCTGGTCCCCAAGAAACTGGCCTGTTATGGAGCTGAAGGAGCTACTGTTCCACTGATTTCTGGGTGCCCTTTATTTTCTTCTGGTGGTGTCCCAAGCAACTTGGTAGGGGGCAGGGGCAGGGCAAGTCACTCTTGGAAATGGTTGATCAAGTCATTGTAGGTCACATCCCTTTACAAACATCTGAAAGAGTATTGCGTGTGAGAAAGGGAAGGAAAGGGAAGGGAAGGTGGGTTTTTTTTTTTTTTTTGGCTTTTTGGGTCATACTCAGTGACGTTCAGGGGTTACTCCTGACTCTGCACTCAGGAATCACTCCTGGCGGTGCTGGGGGACCAGATAAGATGCAGGTCAGCTGCATGCAAGGCAAATGCCCTACCTGCTGTACTATCTCCCTGGCCCCAAAGGGAAGTTTTCTAGGCCTTTTTTGTTCTGTTTTGTTTTGTTTTGTTTTGTTTTGGGGTCACACCCAGTGGTGCTTAGGAGCCACCCCTAGCTCTGTGCCGGGGCAACCATATGGTGCTGGGACTCAAACCTGGGCCTCTTACATGTAGATCAGCCCTTCAAGTGGTCCCTCTGGTCCTGTAAATGCCTTTTTTAGATTGTCATTGAAAAACACCATCTTTAGGGGCCGGAGTAATAGTACAACAGGGAAAGTGCTTGCCTTGTGTGCACCCAACCCAGGTTCAATCTCTGGGACCCCACATGGTACCCTGAGCACTGCCAGGAGGGACTCCTGAGTCCAGAGCCAGGAGTAACCCATGAGCATCTTTGGGTGTACCCCCCAAAAAAATCCCATCACATATAAACAAGTAAAAGGAGTACTATTGGGGAGGCCCCCCAATTAAACCTAGAATTACTGTACAATCCCTGTAGTTCTCCTTCAGAGCTGTCACTTTCACTGTCACTATCATCCCATTGATCTTCGAATTACTAGAGTGGGCGACAGTAATGTCTCTATTCCTTCCAGCCCTGAGATTTTAGCAACCTCTTCTTACTCGTTTTTTCCCAATGATTGAAGGCTCTTTCAGGGTCAGGGGAATGAGACCTGTTGTTGTTACTGTATTTGGCATACCGAATATGCTACAGTGACTTTGCCAGGCTCTGACTTCCGGGCGGGATACTCTTGGTAGTTGACCGAGCTCTCCGAGAGGCATATATTTATATGTTTTTCTCTATGATTTATTGTCTACTGTCTGAACCCCATCAGATATGGTGTATTAATTGTGGAAAATGGGTAGGAAGTGTCTTATAATGTACGGCTGCACCGTCCGGAAAGTAGCCTGGAGCGTGGTGGTGGTTGGGTAGTGGAGGTTGGCTGCCGGGGCTGGAACCCTTGGGCTGGGGAGGGCTCTTATCTGCCCCACAGCCTGGCACAGAGTCATTCAGAGCATACACTCAAAATTTTGATTTTTGTACACCCATATTAGAGTTCAGGGGGCTCATTCTTCTGCCCTTTTGGCTATTACACAGTCAAAAAATTTACCTCAGACTCATTGGGAGCAAAGACTTAACCCAGTGATATACATATGGAGAAACTGGGCTGGAGAGATAGTACAGCAGGGAGGGCGTTTGCCTTGCATGTGGCCAACCTTGGTTTGATCCCCAACACCCCATATAGTCCCCCAAGCTCTATCAGGAATAACTCTTCAGTACAGACCCAGGAGTAATCCCTGAGCACTGCCAGGTGTGGCCCCAAACAAACAAACAATACATATGGAGAATCTGCATGGTTGTAAATCCTGAAGCACGTGGGACAAATCAAGGGGTTACAGCTGGGCAAATGAATAGTATAGGGACTTGGGGTATCCAGAAAAGGGAAGAGAAACCCCTGAGACAAAGTGAGGGGACTTAGACTGGCACTGAGCAGAGTGCCTGCCGAAGGCAGCTTTTCTAGGTAAGCAAGCATAGCTTTGGGCCTGAGAGATAGCACAGGGCTAAGGCACTTGCCTTGCATGCAGATGACATTGTTTTTATCCTGGCACAGCATATTGTCTCCCAAGCACCGCTGGGAATGATCTCCGAGCACAGAATCAGGAATAGCCCCTGAGCACTGCTATATGTGCCCCAACCCCTGAAGAAAAGCAAAAGGTTATTCTGATACTGTCCATAAAGCTAGCTAATCTGTGTTCTTTTTGTTGGGGGGCATTTGGGACCATACCTGGAAGTACTTGGGTATCATTCCCAATACCACTCAGGGGGCCGTGTGGAGTCAGGGATTGAGTCCCAGGCTCACTGGGTTTTTGAGTTATTTTCTCTGCTCCCTGATCTACCTTTTTTATGGCTGGAGTAACAGATGCTACCCCCACCTTGGCTCTAATGCCAAGGGGACATGTCTTAGGAAGAAGTTCACTCTAGAAGTCTTGGAAGAAGTCTGGATATGGAGAAGCTGGTCCCATGCCATGTTCTCAGCAATGTTCTTCACAATATTCAAAAGGTAGGAACAACCCACGGTCTGCATGCGTGGATGTATGGATGGTAGGTGAAGGGTAGATGGGATGGGTGAGTGGATGGATGAACGGATGAATTAATGGGTGGGTGGATCAATGAAGATGAATGGGTAGGTGTGGATGGATGGATGAATGGGTGGGTGGATGGATGGATGAATAGGTGGGTGGACGGATGGATGGAGAAATGGGTGGATGGATGGGTAGATGGATGGATGAATGGGTGGGTGGATGGATGAATGGGTGGGTGGATGGATAGATGGGTGGATAGATGGGTGGATGGATGGATAGATGGGTGGATGGATGAATGGGAGGTGGATGGTGGGTGAAGGTAGGGTGGGATGATGGGTGAATGTATGGATGGGTAAATGGGTGGGTGGATAGGTGGAGGAATGGTTGAATGGAATTAGGGAAGGGTTGGAAGGGCGGATGATGGGTGGGTGGATGAATGAGTAGGAGTTTGGATGAGAGACCAGAGATGAAGAAAGGGAAAGTATGGGAGCATGCAATGTAGTAGAAGTCAACCTCCAAAAGGCAGGAAGTCCTAGCATGGTGACCTTGGCTAGACCTGAGAAACAGGTTGCTCTGTGACACCAGTCAGACTCCAGGGTGCAAACACTCAGAGCGCATACACATGAGGGCCCCAGAATTTCAAGTTTTTGGTTTCCGAGGCCCCATGTCAAAGTCACGTGTGGAGGGCTCTACTCAGCAGTTGACTCATGCCTTGAAGTGTGCAACACAGAACTTGATCATCAGCACCACCAAAAAATTTTAGTTTTTAATTATAAACATTTAGTAGTCAAAATGAGTAGAATGGAGCTTTCCAGGGGTGCGGGAGTGTTTCAAGGAGAAAGCGTTCCTTTCATAGTGGTGACATCCTTGTATATAATGCAACTGAACGACACACTCACAAGTCATGAAAATGATAAATTTATGTCCATTTTACCAAAATGAGAGTGAGAGAGTGATGGCCCTCCCGTTGATCGTCGATTTGCTCGAGCGGGCCCAGTAACGTCTCCATTGGAGACTTTGTTGTTACTGTGTCTGGCATATCGAAATAAAACATTTAAAAATAAATAGCCAAAATTCGTAATATTTTTTATTCCAAATATCCAAAGTTCTGTCCTTTCAATGTGACTAATGTTTCCAGTGATGAAACCCTTACTATTTGTATTATACTGACCCTTTAAAATTCAGTCTTGGGGACTGGAGTGATAATACAGCTGATAGGGCATTTGCCTTGCATGAGGCTGACCCCTGTCCAATAAAAGCCATCCCAAAAGATCCTCCAAGCACTTCCAGGAGTAATTTCTGAGTGAAGAGCCAGTGCAAAGCTAGGAGTAAACCGTGAGCATTACCAGGTGTGACCCAAAAAATTAAAAATAAAAAATCAGTCGAGGCCAGGATGACAGTACAGTGGATGGAACACTTGCTCTGCACACGGCTGAACTGGATTTGACCCCTGGCATCCCATCTGATCCCCGGAACAGTGCCAGGAGTAATTCCTGAGTGTGGAGCTAGGAATAACCCCTGAGCATTGCCAGGTGTGGCCACCAAACTAAATACTACTACTACTAATAAAATAAAATAAGTTCAGTCTGGTTTGACACTCCATTCAGACCTGCTAAGTGAAACTTGCACTGTTTCAAGTGCTTGACAGTCACGTGTGCCCTGAGTTTCCCTTGCTCTTAATTAAACTGATGGCCTTAATCTCAGTTAAGACTTCATCTTGGGCTGGAGTGATAGAAGAGCAGGTAGGGCATTTGCCTTGCATTCGGCCAACCTGGGTTCTATCCCTAGCACCCCATATGGGCCCCTTAAGATAGCCAGGTGTGGCCCCAAAACAAAACAAAAACAAAATAAAATGTCATCCCAAGAATCTAGTCCATGCCTGCAGAGACCCACATCCCCTCAGGATGTACACACAGTTCATGTGCAGACACCCCACGGGCTCAGCCTCGCCCCCATCCCCAGAGAAAGCACTTGTTCAAGGAATATGTGTTGGTCATCCATGCTTGCAAGTGGATCTGACCAGCAAATCCCTCCCCTGCATCCATCTGCATACATTTGAATTCCATTCCTGTGTCCATCGGAAGCAGGGTCTCAGATGGTCATCTCAAAGTCCGGGAGCCGATAGCTTGGCACAGAGCAGGGGACCTCCAAGGGTCCTTTTTCCTGATTCTCTGGATCTTCATCCTCCTCCTCTATCTCTTCCTCAATGAGCTCCTCCTCCTCTTCCTCTTCTAGGAAGGCCAGTTCCTCCCTCAGCGCCTTCAACTCCAGTCCCAGGCTGCACAGCTGACCCAACAGCTGGACATCCACCCGACGGAGGTTCCCCTGTCAGTGAGAAGTAAGAGTCATGGGCACCCAACTCCAGATGTCAAGGATCAGTATCCTTCCCTCCGGCCCCAAAGAAAACAGGTGGGAACAGATCCCAGCTCTCAAGTCCTGACCAAGGTACTGTGGTTCATGGAACTTAAGCCCAGTTCCTGAAACTTCTCCTAGGCCCATCTGTGAGCTTCCTTGTAAAATCCAGTTTTGGGGCCAGAGATGTGACCCAGTGGGAGAGTTTCTGCCTTGCATGTGTGAAGCACTGGGTTTGATTTCTGGCAGCACCAAATAAACAAAATAAATAAACAAAAATGCTATTCGGACCGAGAAGGTAGCTTAAAGGGTCTGGGTGCATGTTTTAAATGTGGGACACCGGGTTCCATCCCTGGCACCACTGGGTTCCCTGAACTGCCAGGAGCAAACCCTGAGGAATGTACCAGGGGTGCTGCTGAGCACTACTAAGTGCCCCTCCCCACCTTCAAGAATACAATTTGGTGGGCTGGAGCAATAGTACAATGGGCAGGGCATTTGCGGCTGACCCGAGTTTGATTCCCAGAATCCCGTATGGTCTCCTGAGCACCGCCAGGAGTAATTCCTGAGAGCAAAGCCAGGGTTAACCCCTGTGCATCGCCGGGTGTGACTCAGAAAAAAAAGAATACAATTTGGGGGACCAGGGAGATAGTTCACAGGTGACACTCTTGCCTTGCACATGGATGACCTCAGTTCCATCCCCAGCACCCAACAGGGTGCCCCAAGCCCCACCAGGATTGATCCCTGAATACAGAGCCAGGAGTAAGCCCTGAACATTGCCAGGTGTGACCCCCCAAACAAACAAAAGATATCCAACACTGGCAAGAATACCAGTGCTCTATAACTTACCACTACTTAGATCTGTAGCTTTTAGGGGAAAGCTTGGGGAACCATGTGGTGTCAGGGATCAAACCTGATCATCCTGTAGGTAAAGCACAGGCTCCAGCCCATTGAGCTCTACTCTGGCCCCACTCTTGTAATTGTTAAAATAAATGGGGCAGCAGCGAGGGCACTTGTCTTCCACATGGCTGATCCAAGTTTCTATATGGCATCCCATATGGCCCCCTGAGCACTGCCAGGAGTGATTCCTGAGTGAAGAGTCCAGGAATAACCCTTAAGCATTGACGGGTGTTGCCTCCAAACAAATAAACAAGCAAATATCTTTGATTTATCCTTTTGGCAGGTCCAAAATGGAGGCACTCATGCTAAGCCCGCCAAGACCTCCTACCTAATCTGACTGCAGTGCGAAGCTCCCATGGTGTTATTCTCCCCCAGGAATGCAGTTCCAACTGGTCAACTGGAACTCTCTGATCATCAATGATGAAGGTCATCTTTTCAATCTGACGTGTGAATGAGGTCAGGTGCCCGAGGGAGAGGGAAGGACTCCAAGCTGAGGAGATGACTTGAGCCGTAAGCCCCGTCCTCTTCCTTTAATTTGCCTTCTCTCTGCCTTTCCTTTTATACAACTTATTTTGGGAGGGGGCATCAAACTCAGCAATGAACAGAGGACCATGCAGAGTTGGGGAGCAAATGCAGGTCTGCTACATGCAGTGCCTGCGCTCCAGTTCTTGGACCTCTGTCCCTGATCATATCTTGCCTCCCACCCTCCCTCCCTTCCTTCCTTTCTTCTGGATTGAGTCAGGACACAATTAGGTCTTGGTGTGTGTGTGTGTGTGTGTGTGTGTGTGTGTGTGTGTGTGTGTGTGTGCGCATATGCATTCAAAGACTTACTCCTGGCTCATTCAGGAATGACTCCTGGTGTTGCTCTGGGAATTAGTTCTGGTTGACTATGGGCAAGGTTAAATGCCATACCTCTGTCCTATCTCACAGATCCCTTCAATTAAGTCAAGTGAATTCAATTGTGGGGCCAGAGCAATAGTATAACAGATAGGGCATTTCCTTTGCATGTGGCCAACCAGGGTTTGATCCCCCATGCCTACCAGGAGCAATCCCTCGGCATCCCATATGGTCCCCTATGCCCACGAGAAGTGATACCTGAGCAAAGAGTAAGTGCTGAGCACCACCAGGTATGGCCCAAACCCATCTTCCATTCCCCAAAGTGAATTCAGTTGTTTGTTGGTTTTTAGGGTGTGAGGTGGTTGGCCACAGTTGGTGGTGCTCAGGGAGTATTCCTGGCTATGTTCAGGAGTGACTCCTGGAATTGTTGGGGGGCTCTATGAGGTGCTGGGGAGTCAAACCATGTTTGCAGCGATTGCAGCTAAGTTTGTGTCTTCCCTCCTTTATGATCTCCTGTTGGCTGGGTTTTCATTATCTAACAATATCTAAAAGTTTCCTCCCCATCCAGGATGCCCTGGTACTGTCCACTCACTCTGACCTGCCTTCTCAGTTTGCTCGTTATGTCAGTCACCCAGGGTCACCCAGCCCACCCCAATGTACTCTCAGTAATTTTCCACCCGTTCCCACAACTCTGCTCCTTGCTGCTCACCTGACTGTGCCACAGGATCTTGCTGTGATGTTACCCACACTGTGGCCTGCCCAGCACTTCCATTCATCTCGAAGCTCCATCCCCTTGTCCCTCCCCACTGTGTCTCTCTCTGGCATCAGTCATATGGCCTCTGTTCTATCTCCCTCCCCAGGCATCTATGTCCTGGTCCCCAAGTGCTATCTCCTCTTTGCGTGTCAGTCTGTCCCTAGGTCTGTCCCTATCTCACTTTCTGTCTTCCTATTCCCATTTATCCCCCACAACTTCTCTCTCCCCGACCCCAAGACCCACCCCTGTTCCCCCACACTCACCAGCTCCTCCCAGATCCATTGCAGACTCTTGCTGGCACCAGGACTACCAGTTTCTGCCCCTGAAGATGAGAGGGTCGAACCAGCCATCTCTGCTGGGGGGACCCCCAACAGGGCCCGGGGTGGTGGGCCGAGCTCTGGGGGGATCATTTCTGCCTGCTGCAGCTGCTGCCACAGCTCCATGTCTCTGAGTGCCTGCAGGATCAGGAAGTGGCAAGGTCCAGAATGAGCCAGTCCTGTGGGGGTAAAGGGCAGTGGAAGGGTGGGGGGCAGGATGGCATCCCAAAGTCCATTGTCCAATGGGAACCAGCTGCCTGGCATGAGTCAGTGTCTTTTCCTCCTCAAGGCTTTGTTCAGGGGCCAGAGCCATAGCATAGCGGGTGTTCATCTTGCTCGCAGTGGATCTGTATTAGCTTCCCCGGCACCCCATAGAGTCCCCCACACACCACCAGGAGTGATCCCTGAGTGCAGAGCCAGGAGTAAGTTTTGAACACCGCCGGATGTGGCCCCCTGCCAAAAAAAGACAAAGTCTTTGTTCACAGGGTCCACCCACAGCCCCCAACCCCCATGGCAGAGGCCCAACACCCCAGTTCCTGCCTCTGCTATGTGTGGGGGTTGTGTCTCCAGCCCTCTCCTGGGTTCCACCCCTGCTCCTCCTGTACTACCTTCTGCCCTCCTTGAGCCCTGTGTCACCCCGGCTGGGTCCTTGCTCATCAACACTGCCTGAGGTGCACGTGTCTAGGTCAGGGACCCACAGCTGAACTGCACCCCTCCCCCCCCCCCCACACACACCATCTTTGTCTTGCGCTCCATGCAGCCAGGTGCTGTACTCATTCCATCTAGCTCTCAGTGCCCCTGAAGTCTCTGGCCCTGGTCCTGATCTTCACATCTCGCCAGCCTCAGCCCTGCCCTCCCCAGCAGAACACTCCAAGGCCAGATCACGTAATTGTATTTACTTATTGTATTTACTTCACTATAGCAACACCTGATCACAGCCACAGCAGCTCAGAAAAGGCAAAGTCACTCCTCACAGCTCCAGAGGGCATAGTCCATGGGAGTCCATGGAGCTGGACTCCTTCTGGACACTGGAGAAGAATCCCCTTCCAGGCCATTCTAGCTACTGGAAGCCGCCTGCACTCCCAGACTCCTGGTCCCGTCTTGTGTCACTCCCCCATGCTAGCACTATTATCCTGTACCCTCTGGCCTCCATCTGGTAGGACGTTGGGGTGATCCAGAACAACCTTCTCCACCTCAAGATTCTTCGAAAGATAGTTCAGTGGGTAAGAGATTTGTCTTACATGCTGATGACCCATTCAATCCCCTGCACTGCTTGCGGTCCCTGGAGCACCCCCATGAGTGATCCTTGAGAGTGCCAGAGTCAGGAGTAAGCCCTGAGCACAACTGGGTATGGCCCCCAAATCAAAACAAACAGAAAACCTGTATCACACCTTTCCTGTACCATGAAACTAATATATTCTCAGGGATGGACAGATGGGACAATGGGTAAGGCACCAGCCTTCCAAATAACATTTTAAAAAGTAAAATATTCGCAAAGTCAAAGTAATATGTTCACAGGTTTTTGGGATCGGCATGTAGATCTTATATTTCTTTCCCTATTTCGGGGGATGAGGGCAGTCTTCAGTCCTGTGTTGATTAAACAATGAGGATACAGTCGTAAATGTTTGTCATCAGGAGATTCTGTCCTATGTACACATCATAAAGTGTAATTATACAAACTGGGAGGCTCACACGTGAGCACAGTACTGCGTGTCAGGACCAAGGTTATATAGTGTCTGTCACTGACCCCAGTGGCATTAAATGCATGAGGACATTCAATCCACCATATGCTGAGCTCTGACTACCAACTTGGAGCTCAAGGCTTACTCCTGGCTCTGTGCTTGGGGATCAGTTGGGGGAACATTTGAGATCAAATCTGGGTCAACCGTGTGCAAGGCAAGAGCCCTCCCTGCAGGCCCAAGGGTCTCCTGCCTCTCTCTGCAAGCTGATTTCCAGCTCTACTCCTTTTTTTTACCTCTTCCTGGGAAAACACGCCCAACTTTTTGAAGGGCTTAAGTCTCCTCTTATACACCAACTCTGCAGAGACCTACACCCCAGTAACTCCCTATCATATTATTTTTCTTTTATCAAACAATTACAATGATCTTGATTATTCATGTTTCTTGTCTATTCTCTCTCCATCTGGAAGGTTGACACCCTGGTCACCATGGAAACCGCGGCAAACACAACAGAGCTTGCCCCCTGGTGCTGGACAGTAAACATTTATTTTGTCTTGTTTTCTTTAGTTTTGGGGTCACACCCGGCATTGCTCAGGAGTTACTCCTGCGAGTGTTGGGGAACATGGGAAGCCGAGGATTGAACCCGGGTTGAACCGCCCAAGGTAAACACCCTCTCTGTGATACTATGGCTCCGTCCCCCTGGCAGTGAACATTTGTGAAAACAGTGACTAAATAAGTCTGTTCACAAGACTTCCCAGGCTGAATCTTCACACTGAGATGAGTTCTCATTACTCATCTGAGCACTATTCATGGTGTCTGCGAATTACATAGTGGTCAGGATATCCAAATTGGAATCACAAATACATCTTGAGATCTGAGGAGCTCAGGGATCACTCCTGGCGGGTCTCCGGGGATTACATGGGGTGCCCGGGATAGAACCTAGGTCGGCTGTGTGCAAGGCAAGCACCCTCCCTGCTGTACTGGCGCTCCCTCAGCGGGATGTCTGATCCTTGGGTACCGCACTCCACCTTTTCCCCTTGTTAGGTCTGTCTTAGAGAATTTTACACTCACCCCATTTTAAGGAGGCACCGAGCTGGAGGGAAGCTCAGGGACACCGTGACTGCAGTGGAGGAAAGGGCTGCCCACCCTCCTAGAGAAATAGGGGAAGAGAATTGGGGGAGGGGGGTGTCTCTGGGGGGGATTCAGCAATCTCTCAAGCTTGAGAGTGCGAGCGCCTTTAAGAGGGAACAGGGGCGTGGCCACCAGAGAAGTGAGCGCCAATTGGGTGGAGTGAAACGACACCGGCCCCTTCCGGCTACGTAATCCAGCAAGATGGTGGCGCCCAGTGCGGTAGGTGACCGAAGTACCTGGAGCCCCAGACTTAACTTCACTCTTTCTTCAGGGCTTTTTGTCTGCACCCGGGGAGTAAGGAGCGATGAGGACACGGGAGGTCTCTCCTTCTATACCTGGCGCTGGAAGCGCGGACATGTGGCTGTTGGAGGCCGGGAGGGATCATCTCCGGGTAGCCTGCTGCTGTGGACCGTCGGAGAGGACCAGGGGGCGGGGACCTAGCGCGAGACCAATGGGAAGGCAGGGAGTAGTTCCGAGCCTGGCTCTCCCAGCCAATCAGGAAGGGATCCGACTGCGCGCCCTTGGAGTGGTGGGCGGGCGTGGGAGCGCTAGACTGAGAAACTGGGATTTAGGATCTCTGGGCACGAAACCTAAGGATGTGAAATGTTGGTAGGAGCCGAGAGGTGAATTCAGGAGTTTCAAAGGAAGGACGCCAAAGGTATTAAAGGGAGAATTTGCGATGTTTGTGGAGAGAATTCAGAATTTAAAGTCTCACAATGAATTTAAGAAAGATTAAATTCGAAGTTTGGGAGGGTAAGAGGAATTTGGAATGAGAATTAATATTTGGGCAAAATTTGAAATAAAGAGGGGCTGGAGTGATAGCACAGCGGATAGGGCGTTTGCCTTGCACGCGGCCGACCCGGGTTCGATTCCAAGCATCCCATATGGTCCCTTGAGCACTGCCAGGAGTGATTCTTGAGTGCAAAGCCAGGAGTAACCCCTGAGCATCGCCAGGTGTGACCCAAAAAGCAAAAAAAAAAAAAAAATGGAATAAAGAGGATTTCAGAGAAATTAGGCAGGCTAAGAGAGGACTGCGAGGGGAAATTGAAACAAAAGTTCAGCAGCTTTAAAAACAAAGGTAAGTTTAGGGCAGGAGCGATAATACAGAAGGAAGGGCGCTTGCCTTGCACGCAGTGGAGCTGGTTTGATCCATAAGTATCCGAGATAGTTCCCCGAGTCTTGCAGGAGTGATCCTTGAGTACAGAGCCAGTGCGTAGGTAAATTTAGGATGGGGCATAGTGTAGCGGGAAGGAATTTGCCTTATTTGTGGCCGACCAGGGTTCACACCCCAGCATCCTATCTAGTCCCATGAGCACTGACAGAAGTAATTCCTGAGTGAAAAGCCAGGAGTAACCTTTGAGCATCTCCAGGTGTGGCCCCAAAACAAACCAAACAAAAAAAAAAATAGCAGGGGGAAAATGGGAAGGAAAAAGGAAAGTAGGTAAACAAGTAAAGGGTATGTGTGTGTGGGGGGGGGTCATCCATCAGTTTTACAGTGAATGACTAAGTTATTCATGGTGAACATAATATAAGGTGTTGACTTATACTGTACACCTGAAAATTCCATGCCATAAGACTTTGGAGGGAATGAAGTGGTTTTTCTTTTCTCATACCTGGCAGTGCCCAAGGTTTACTCCTGGCTCTGCACTTAGGGTTCATTCCTGGCAGTGCCTGAGGAGCCATAGGGGGTGCTGAGGATGAACCAAGATTGGCCGCAGTGCGTGGCAAACACCCTGGACTATATCTCCAGCCCCAATAAAGGTTTTTTTAAGTAAAAATGGTTTGGAGAGAAATTAATATGTTTATATATTGGGGGAATGATGGGTTATTGAAGGCTCCAGCAAGAATTAGTTAAAATTAGGGGGAGAAGTGGGAACTTAAGAGGTTAGATAATGGGGGCCGGAGCAGCGGGGAGGGCGTTTGGCTTGAATGTGGCCAACCCAGTTTCCATCCCCGACATTCCATATGGTCCCCTGAACACCGCCAGGAGTGATTCCTGAGTGCTGATCCAGGAGTAATCCCTGAGCATCACTAGGTGTGACCCAAAAAGCCCCCCCTCAAAAAAAAAAAGAGGTAAGATAATAGGGGTTTTAAGAGAAAAATATGGACTTTGAGAGAAATTTTGACAATTTCGGAAAATCAAACTAGAAAGAGGATGTTAGGCTCAGTTAAGGGGAGAGACTTGTGAAAGACATGAGGAGTCCTTTGGGGGTTCCAGAGTCTCAATTTGGAAGTTGTGAAAACAGAACTGAGGGAGCCCTGAAGCCTGGGTTTGGTGGGGTGAGGCGGGAACGGGGTCCCTGCTCGCAGGCTCAGCTCCTCTTCTCTTTAGTCCCGGCAGCTGGTGAGGCCAGTGTGTAACTGGGGAGCCAGGAGTATCCATGGCCTGAGCAGTGTGCTTGCCCCCGAGGGCAGTCAGAAGAAGGGGTGGACACTGCTACAGTCCCTGAGCGATCGCTTCTCTGATGTGAAGTTCCTGAGGGAATACCTGCTTCAGAGGCAGATAACGAGTGTGCACAAGAAAAACAGGTGAGAATTCCTTCCCCAGACCTCACTGAGGACCCAGATCCTGGTGCAACACACACACACACACACACACACACACACACACTATCACACACACAAACTCTCTCACATATATTCACCCACACACTCTCACATGTACTCTGACACACATTCACACATACACAAGCACACATAAACACACACATATATTACTCTTACAGTCTCTCACACATACACAAACATAATACTCTTTCACACACACAAATACTGTCACACACAAACACAAAACTCTCATATACACCCACACACTCACACATACACACACACATTCTCTCTCTCTCTCTCTCTCTCTCTCTCACACACACACACACACACACACACACACACACACACACTGCCCCGGCACAAATACCCGCCTCTTGCCTCTCCATCTCCAGCCTGCTCCCATCCCAAGCACCATGGCCCTTGGAGGCAACCAGCTGGCCACTGCCTCCTCCCAGTGTCACTGGCACCTCAAACCTAACATCACAAACAGTAAACCTGTGTCTCTGCTGGAAGATACGCTCATGCCCACGCCTTCCCCATCTCAGCAGCCACCGCAATGCACCCCCACCCCCACCCTCGTTGTGTAACTGTCTGGACTCCTCCCTGCTTCTCTGTCCTCTGCAGTCACCTACTAAAATGCCATATGGTCCCTAACCATTTCTTCCTCCTCCGGGGTGTGTAGTGGGGCTTGGTGTCTTCCTTTGCCACTGGATCACTGCAGCTTCCTGGTCACTGGTGCCCCCTACAGGCAAAGCATTCAGTAGCTCCTAAGGTTTGGGCCAGAGAGAGCCCCTCAGGCTGAGTACCTGCTTTCCTGCTTTGTGAGAGTCCTAGGCTCTAATTTCATCACCACATGATCCCCAGAGCACCACTGGGTGTGGTGAGAAACAAAGAAAGAACGAAAGTAAAATAGAAAACATTGCTCTTTGACTTGAAACCCTCAATTGACTTCTACTTGCTGCTAGAATCAAAGTCCATGTCCCAGATCTCAGATCAGAGCGAGCTTTGAGACCCCTTCGAGGGGCACCCCCCTCCACTATTTACCCTGCAGTGCTGGGGGGTGGAAGTGGGGTGGAACTTGGGGCCTCCCGGGGGCTAGCGTTCGGCCACTGTCCCTGTCACCGTCCTGATTTGAGCTTCCATGCAGCCTGTGCTTGGATCTTTGCATCTCTGCCACCACTCAGATTTCCACTCAGGTGGCGCCATCTCCTAGGGCCATAGCTAAGGAGCCTCCTGTCACTACCCCCCAAATGCACCAGCCACGCTGTGTCATCCCTGTGTGTCATTTTCACCATGGAATTGGGCTCATCACTTTGTTTTGCTTCCCCTGCTGTAGTCTCGGTCGGCCTGGACCAGCCCCACCACCAACTGTGGTCATGCCCCTCTCCCAGTGGCCCAGCTCAGAGGTCCTCTGCATCTGTCTCTGTGGCCTATCTTCCCCAGTGCCAGTGATTCTGACCCTCCCTGCAGCCGTGGGGCGAGGTGGGAGCAGTGTCCCCACCCTCACCCTGTTTGTCATCCCTCTGCAGGTCCTTTGCCCACCTCCAGAATCACTATGGCCCGGACATCGCTGGCGCCTGTTTCATCCTGAATCTGGGAGGCTCAGTCAAGTATGAGGCTCACATCCTGGGGTATAGGGCAAGGGCGGGGTGGCCCGGCTCTTCCATCAGGCTGGCTTCCTGGGAGCCCCTGCCCCTACCCAGTTCAGACTGTGTGGCTTGGGCTGGTTCTTAAACTTCAGTTTTCTCATGTGAAGAATGGGATGGTCATTTGCTTGGGGGCCACACCTGGCAGTAGGTATTACTCCTGGCAGTGCTCAGGAGACCCTATGGCATGTTGGGGACTGAACCCAGGTTGCCATTTGCAAGACCAAGCACCCTACATAGTCACTGTAGGATTGCTCTGGCCCTAACAATGAAAACATTTTTTCAGGTTTTTTGTTTATTTTGGAGCCACACCCGGTGATGCTCAGGGCTTATTCTTGGCTTTGCATTCAAGGAATCACTCCCGGTGGGGCTTGGGAGAACCATATGGGATGCTGGGGATGGAACCCGGGTCAGCTGCATGCAAGGCAAGCGCCCAACCTGCTGTATTAACTATCAACAATGATGAAATTTTAAAATAAAGTTTCTATTTGGGGCACTTTCCCCAGCCCCACCCTTTGAAGGGGTGCAGAGTCTGACATGTCCCTTCAGTCCCTGTGTTAGCTCTTGCCTGCCTCAGTCAGGAATCTGACCCCCAACCTTTCTGTATGTAAAACTGACCAGACTGGCTGTTCTGTGGGTCCTCGCAGTGGATCTATGCAGACCCATTCCCAAGTCCCTTAGTGGTGGCTGGCAGAGGAAGGTGCCACAAATGTCCCTGTGACCTGCCACATGCCCGCCCCCTCCCCAGGTTCCAGGGCCACGAGTGGTTGGGCTTAAAGGGGCGTGGCCGCTCCTCCCTTGACATCAAGAAGCTGCAGGCAGTGCATGTGGAGGCCGTGGACGCCAGTGGCTGTGCCATCAACTACCAAGGCCTGGACAACCTCAGTGAGTAGTGAGTGTGTGTGTGCGTGTGTGTATGTTGGGGGGAAGTGGGCACAGTGCTGCTCTTTGTTCACGGTGGGCTCCCAAAGGGATCTCTCCTCTGTGCTGTCACCCTCTCTCTTCCCTGCAGTGTCCCTGAAGGCACTCCAGTCCCTGTGGCTGCAGCGCTGTCCCTACATCGACGACTGGTGTCTCAGCCGCCTCTACCAGCTGGCCGGCTCGCTGCAGGAACTCTCACTGGCTGGGTGCCCCCAAGTCTCCGAGCGGGGCCTGGCCTGCCTCCACCACCTCCAGTGAGGCCTCCACTTGGGCTGGGCCCTGAGCCAGGGCGTCCCCCACCATCCCACGGGCGGGAGGGAAGGTCCCCTTGTCCCCGCCTCTGGGAGCAAAAGCGTGGTGGGGGGCTTGGGAGAGGGGCGGGGGGGCGGGGAGGAGCCAGACTAGGGTGGGAATGACATGCCTCTCCACCTGTCTCCCGGGCCTTGGGGAAAGCTGCAGTTTGAGAATAGTGGGAGCTGTGGGGTGTCCGTGTGTAATGGACACAGTGGATTTAGGGGGATGGTGGCAGCTTTAGGTGGGGCCCCGATCCTTAGGCGTCCCCCGCTTTGCCTCCTTAGGAACCTCCGCTGGCTGGACATCTCGGACCTCCCGGCCGTGTCCAACCCCGGCCTAACGCACATCTTGGTGGAGGAGATGCTGCCCGACTGTGAGGTGGTGGGAGCTGGCTGGGCCCAGGAGCCTTCTGGGGGCGCAGCCACCCCCTCTCCTGCCTGTGCCCCGGCCCCCTCCTCCTCCAGCTAGGTCTCACTTAGGCTGCAGGTATAGACAGGTTGAACATCACTGGCATCCTACCGATGGAAAGGCTGAAGCATGGTGGTATGGACAATGCCTGGACTGGCTGTTTCCCGTGTTCTGGCGCTCCCAGTGGGGTCCACTCAGCCTGGAGTCGGAGCATATTGGAGGAGGGAAAGCCCAGTATTCCCTACCTCGGGCTGCCTGGAGGTGGCACCCCCAAGTTCAAGGCTATAGCCCCTGCCCTCCTGTCAGGCAGCCTCTTCCACGCGCCTCCTTCCCGTCTCCTCCTCTTTGACCTGGGGTGGGAGGTGAGGGCCCCTATTACGTAGCCCTCAGAGCTGCAGGCTCCCTGGGGGTCCCCCCAACTCTGCACTCCTAGGTTTGGCAACTCTTCTCTTGAGCACCCTCACTTGGCCTGTGCAGAAAGCTGCTCCCATCCATGAAGGGCTGCTTATCCCCAGCACAGTGTCCCTGGCCCAAACTCGCCAGGCACCAGGGCACCTCAAGTCCCGTGGTGTTGCCTCTTACTGATTCACTGACTCTGGCTCCAAGCTCAACTTCCTGGAGCACTCTGAAAAGTGATCTGGATTCTTCTGTGCCAAATGTCATGGCCAGCTGCCAGCAGAGGGCGCCAGGAGGCGAGGCTTCCTGGTGCCAGCCAGGGAGGTGTCACTGGGCCTGTAGGGCTGGCACCCGGTCCCTGAGTACCAGGAGTACCAGGCACTCTAGTGAGGCCCCTTACCAGTGAACCCGTCGTTACTTCAGTTTGCTGGTACCCTTGGCTAATTCGGCATATTAAACTTGTAACTGCCCTGTTGCATCTCCAATGGTTTTTCTTCATTTGTCCCCCACAGTGCTGGGGTTGGTTGGAACCTGGGAGCCTCAGGCAGGTGCTGGACTGCTGAGCCCCTCCCCGCAGCCCCTGCAGTTTCCAGATGGGATCCGCTCACACAGCTGGGGGGAGGTGGGGGGGAGGGGGCATGGTTTGGCCCCGACCTGAGGGGGGTGCAGCTGTAGGTGTCCTGGGGCCCCTCCCCCTGCCCAGGGCTTCAGGTGCTGGCTGCTTTCTGGAGTGTCCTTGACCACAGACCTGCAGGCTCCCTGGAGCGCTTTCACCAGGCTTCAAATGCCCCACCCTTTTCTTCCCCCTGAGGGAGCACAGAGCTCAGAGGTGCAGGCGCAGAGGTGTGGCTCGTTTGTTCATTCCCAGTGGCCACGGTTTAGGGCTCCTGGGGGACCTGCTTTGGGTCCTCAAAGGTGGGTTCCAGCGTAGGGAACTGGGGTTTCTAGAGAAAGGGCTGCATGAGCCATGGGGGATTCTCCTCCTAGAAGCCTGCCTGATGGGGAGGACAGTCTGTTCCTAGACAGGCCAGGCTGGCTGCAGACCAGGGCTGTGCACCCACATTCCCCATTAGGGGTCTGCCTGTGTGCTGTCTGAGGGGTGCCAGAGGGGAAAGGGGCATACCCTCCGTCCAGTGGCGCCTGCCCAGTAGTTTGCTGGTTTCTATTCCAAGGGGTTGGTTTCAGAGAAAAATGACCTCGCCCCCCCACCCCCACTCCTGGGTAGGTGCCTGGAAAGAGGGTGTCCCCTCTCGAGTCTCATCCCAGGCACCACTGCTTATTGTCATGAGTCCCACAGATACTGAGGGACACATGCCCAGGAACAGGTGCCCACAATGACCCATGAGGGAGCAGCTGAGAGAAGAAAGTGTATGCGCCAAGAGAAAGGGGGAAGGGGGCTTGAGGCATCAGAGCACTGAGGGTGGGAGTCTGAGCAGCTGGGTGCTCCCGGCTTTCCTGGCTGGAGCCTGGAGGGTTAATGAGGTGAGACACCAGAATTGAGCCCTGGCTGGGTTCCCCAGTGGGACCTGCGCCTCCACTCTGACATCTTCCCCAGGAAGGAGCCATTGGCAGCTGGTCTGCTGACTCCCAGGCTTCTCGCTCCTGATTGCACCAGACAAACGCCCCTGGCAACCAGCCTTGTGCCCCTTGGAGATTCCCAACACCCCCAGGAGGGGCCTTGTCAGCTGGGCTTGAACTTTGGCCCCTCTGGGAGAAGCCCCAAGAGTTGGGAGGGCCCAGGGGGGCCCCAGTCACCCTCTCTTCAAGCCCAGGGGGGTTGGAGGAGGCTTAGAACTCCTGGCAGGGATGTGGGGAAATGGTCCTGAGCAGCACAGCGTTGGCCTTACACCCTGGGTTAACTCCCGGCAGCACTCAAAGGAATAAAGCAGCAGGTTTTTTTAAAAAAAAAACAAAAACAAAAAAACACGGGTGTCAGGGCCTGGCGAGCCCCAGGCCTGGGCCGTCATTTCCCGCAGCTTCTCTCCATTCCTGGTCCCCACTTCCTCCTCACTCTCCCTCCCCCGGCTGGTCCCGGGGCTCCATTATTCAAAGGAGGGGGTGGGGGTGAGGAAGTCTGCGCTGGTCAGGAGGACGACGCCTGACAAACGCCCGCCCCGCCTTACGGCCGGCCGGGGGCTCAGGGGTCTGCCTGGACTCCGGAACTGGCCACCCGGGTGCCCCCAATTTGGAGGAAGGTCCGGGTGAGAAGCCCCACCCGCTCCCCGACAGCTGATGCCAAGCCCCAGAGGCGGAGGGTGTAACCAGGCCGACCGCGGTCCCAGGGGTGCACGGGAGGGGCCGGGGTGGGCGCCGCCGAGGCTCTCCCTGCCCGGCCCCCACTCCTGCAGACCCCATCCTCCACCTGCCTGACCCCGCGCCCCCCGGCCCGCCCCGGCGCCCGCTGGCCCCTCCCTGACGCCGCCCTGGTGTCCCCGCGTCCCTCCCCCCCCACCCTCAGCCCCCTGCAGGGCTGACCCGCGCCCCAGCCCCGTCGGGCGGTCCCCGTCGCCTCCTGCGGCCCCGCGCTCCTCCGTCGGACCCGGCCCCCGGCCCCCGGTTCTCCGCACCTTTCCCGCCGCCGCGGCCGACCGGCCCCGACACGCCGCGCCCCGGCAGTCGGGGCTCCCCCGGGCCGGCGCGGCCCCGCCCGGCCCCGCCCCCGCCTCCCGGCCCGCGGCGGGGCGGGCAGACGCCGTCCCCGCGCAGCCCGGCCGGCCAGGCAGAGGCACGGGGCGGGCCTGACGGGGCGGCCGGGCGCCCAGCCCGCGGGAGCCCACCCGGAGGTAACGCGGCGGGGGCCGGGGCCGGCGGGGCCGGGCTGCCCCTGGGGGCGGAGGGGCCGACGGGGATGGGGACGGTGCAGGGCTGCGAGAGGCGCCGCGGGCCGGCCGGGCCCCGGGCAGGGCAGGGCGCTTAGCGGCGGCCGCTGGAGGCTCCGCCGGGGCGGGCCGGGGGCGCCCATCCCTGCCCGCTCCGCGCCAGGCCCTCCGGCTCCCCGGCAGTCCTGCGCCGGGCCGGGTCATGCACTGCCCCAAGTGCCTGCTCTGCCTGGCCGCGCTGCTCACGCTCCTGGGCCTCAAACTCTACATCGAATGGGTGTCCGAGACGCGGCTGAGCAGGGCCTACCCGGCCCCCCGGGGCACCCCGCCGGGCCCCACGCCCGCCAGCGCAGAGCCCACGCTGCCCGCGAACCTGTCGGCCCGCCTGGGCCAGACCAGCCCGCTGCCCGCGGCCGCCTGGAACCAGCAGCAGTGGCGGCTGCGGAGCCTGCCCAGCCAGGACTGCGCAGCGTGGGGGGCGGCCGCCGCCGCCCGCATCCCGGACTTCGCCTCTTACCCCGAGGACCTGCGCCGCTTCCTGGGGGCGGCCGCCTGCCGCAGCTTCCCGCCCTGGCAGCCGCGAGGGGGCGGCAGGCAGGTGGCCAACTGCTCCGCCCGCGTCCCCTACCTGCTGCTGGCCGTCAAGTCGGAACCGGGGCGCTTTGCCGAGCGACAGGCCGTGCGCGAGACCTGGGGCGGCCCCACTCCTGGCGTCCGGCTGCTCTTCCTGCTGGGGTCCCCCGAGGGCCAGGGGGGCCCCGACCTCGGCTCCCTGGTGGCCTGGGAGAGCCGCCGCTACGGTGACCTCCTGCTCTGGGACTTCGTCGACGTCCCCTTCAACCGGACCCTCAAGGACCTGCTGCTGCTGGCCTGGCTGGGCCGCCACTGCCCCGGCGTCAGCTTCATCCTGCGCGCCGAGGACGACGCCTTTGTGCACACACCTGCCCTGCTGCGGCACCTGCGTGCGCTGCCCGCCCGCTGGGCCCGCAGCCTCTACCTGGGCGAGATCTTCACCCAGGCCAAGCCCCTGCGCAAGCCTGGGGGGCCCTTCTACGTGCCCGGCTCCTTCTTTGCGGGGGACTACCCGGCCTACGCCAGTGGCGGCGGCTACGTCATTGCTGGGGGCCTGGGTCCTTGGCTGCTGCAAGCCGCCGCCCGAGTGGTGCCGTTCCCTTTCGACGATGTCTACACCGGCCTGTGCTTCCGGGCCCTGGGCCTGGCGCCCCGGGCCCACAAGGGCTTCCTCACATCGTGGCCAGCTGACCGCGCCGCTGACCCGTGTGACATCCGGGACCAGCTGCTGGTGCGGCCCCTCAGCCCCCAGGACAGCATCCGACTGTGGAAGCAACTGCAAGATCCTCTCCTCCACTGCTGAGCAGGGGGACGACAGGAGGGCTCAGGCTCTCTTGGGCTCTGGTTGGGGGATCCGCGGCCCTCTGAGCCACTCCGGGGCTGGGCTGGGCAGGGGCTGGAGGGCGTGGTGACTTAAGTCTGTTTTGTGCTGTTGAAAAAAATATGCTCACACAGTGTGGCCTGGAGTCATCTTTGCTCCACTGAACAGCCAAGCACAGTCGGGAACCCTCCAAGCCGTATGGGGAGGCTCAGCCACTGTGTCTGCCCGTTTCTAGGGGAGAATGGAGGCCATGGTGCGTGGCCCTGCCCTCCCAGCCCATCTGTGTCTAGCACCGAGAGGCTGGAGGCCCCCCCAAGCCCATCACATGGGACTCAAGTTCTGAACTCCAGGAAACAGACCAGAGGCACCAGAACCCTGTGTGGAGATGTGGTTTGGTTTATTCATTCACAGCCTCGACTCAGAGCTGCAGGGCTGGCCTCTCCCAGTCTGCCCTGGGGGGGGGCCTCCAGGGAAAAGGTTCCTTTGCCCACCCTCGCCCCAGAGAAGGCACTCAGAGCAGGTCAGGAGGGGGCTGACAGAGCCCTCTCAACTGTAACAGCCCGAAAGAGGGGCCACGGCCTCACTTGTCAAAGTGCTCCAGAGGGTAGTGCTCGCCGTAGGTCTGCAGGTGGCGGGCCAGGGCCTCCTGCTGCTTGCGGAGCTGTACTGGCATCTCTTGGTACACGTCTGAGAAGAGCAGGTTGGGGTTGGGCTTGGGCTTCCGCTCGGCCTGCTCGAAGGCCTCCATTACCTGTGGACATGGGACAGGGCATAGGTGGGAGGGCAGCCTCCAGGACCCATGAGGGCTTCCTGTCTCTGATCACTCTGGCCGCCTGGTTTGCAGAGGGAGAAACGGAGGCACAGGAAGAGGGTCTGGCCAGCACTGGTGCAGTCAGGGCAGAGTGGGACCGGCTGCCGGCTGTACTGCTGTCCACTGGGTCACACAGCCACTCCAAAGGGCGAAATGCTGCCTACTCCCCAACCAGCTTTGAAGTGGGAACCCCAGAACCCTGATTCAGTGGCAAGGGAGCTCAGGGCTGACAGGGCAGCCACGCTGAGGACCCTGACTGGGGTGATCTCACAGCCTCCAAATCTCAGCTCCGTCCGTCCTTGCTGGGTGAAGGACTCTTGGGGCGCCCAGCAGCTTGGGCGTGTGCCCTCACCTTCTTGCGGGACTGCTTCCTCCAGGCCTTCTCCTGCTCGTCGTCCCACCAGCCGCGGCTCTGCAGGTAGTGGCGCAGTCGTGAGATGGGGTGGTCCTGCTTGTCCCAGTAGTTGACCTCATCCACAGAGCGGTAGGCAGAGCTGTCGTCACTGGTGCTGTGGTGCCCAATCCTGCCGGGGGTGGGTGGAGGGTTGGGAATGGGATAAAGGCTCGGGAGGGATAGGACCAGGCTTTGGGGACAGTGACCCTAGGGAGCAGATGTCACAGGCAATGGCTGCGGAGCTGGGGACTGGCAGGCACCTGTAGGTCATGGCCTCGATGAGGAAGGGCTGGTTCTCGGCCACGGCGCGACGCCGGGCCTCCTTGGTGGCGTTGTACACAGCGAACACATCGTTGCCGTCCACGCGGATGGACAAGATGCCGTAGCCGGGGCCTCGCGCCGCTGCAGGGACAAATATGGCTGGTGAGGGCCTGGATGAGGACCTGAGCCTGATCTCGCTGAGGCTCTAGCGCCTCAAGTCCGATTCTTGGAGTTCAGAGCTCAGTGTCCCAGGTGATTGCTTTGGGGTCCACCCAGCCTCTCTGCAAGGCCATGACGGGGCAGGAGGGCGCCGTACCAATGCCGTCCCCGCGGTACTGCTCCGAGGTGGGCGTGGAGATGGCGTAGCCATTGTTTCGGCAGAAGAAGATGATGGGGCACTCCAGGGTGGCGGCGAAGTTGAAGCCAGCATGAGCGTCCCCCTCACTGGCTGCCCCTTCGCCGAAGTAACAGATGACGGCCCTGTTGTCGTTGGACCGCTTAGCTGCGTAGGCAGCGCCCACCGCTGCAGGGAGCAAGAGGAATATGAGCAGGGCAGACACGCTCCCACTCACCCCACACTCGCCCCCCCGGACTCACTTTCACCTCAGCCACTCACCCCTCAGACTTCCGCTTCACCGCACACTTGCCCCTCAGACACATACCTCCTTCCACACCCCTATGACACACAGAGCTCACACATTCATTCCTCAGACTCACACACTCTTCACATCACAATCACCCCGCAGACACACACGGACCTCACCCACTTTCACCTACTTTCACTCCTCAGACACACATCTCAACCACACACACACTGACATGTCTGCAAACATACCTCACCCCAGACTCACAAACGCCTCACCCACACTTACCCCTCAGACGCAGACTTCATCCTCTCATTCCTGACTCACACATGCCTCACATACACTCACCCCTCAGATTCACACACACGTCATCCACACTCAACCCTCAGACTCACATAGACCTGACACATGCCACTCAGATTCACACACACCTTCCCATACTCACCCCTCAGACACACAGACCTCATACCACAATCACCCCTCAGACTTACACCCCATCCCACATTCATCTCACACTCACACACCTCACCGTGCACTCACCCCTCAGAACTCATATACACCTCACCCCACACTTGCCCTTCCGATTCACACATACCTTACCCACACTCACCCCTCAGACTCACATACTCACCTCACACATACCCTCGACTCAGGGACCCTGGGGAAAGGAAACACCTGATCTCCTCACAGACCCTCATCCAGCCCTGCCCCCATCTGCCCCCACTTAGCTGATGCAGTACCCTCCTTCTAGCTGCCTGACACTCCCTGGTGCCACAACTGCCCTGGGCCCCCCAAAACCAGATCCCACCCAGCCCCCTTCTTCCCACTTGCGGTCTGTGCCGCCATCACACTCCTTCCCCACTTGGGCTTCCTCCCCAAACCTACAAGCACTCTCTACCTTGACTGGCCCCACCCCCTCCTCCCATGGAGGCACCAGAAGCGCTGAGGGTTTTGTCTCCTGTTCTTGGCATCCAAAACAGGGTTGAGAAATGGAAATGGGTCCACTGAGCAGAGGGCCAGGCCACAGCCCTGCAGCATGTAAATCCTCCCTCTCTTCAAGCAAATGCCACCTTTCCCCAGCAGCTGCTCGCCTGCCTCCTGACCCGGGCATGAGTGTACTAGCAGGGGTAGGGGAACTGCCCTGCATGTGCCCTGCACAGCCCCACACATGCATCTGTCTGATGCCCAGCTCCCTTCACCGAGGTCCAGGGCAGAAGCAGCAATGGGCTTCTGAGCCCCAGAGGGCACTGGAGGGGCACTGGCTCCGTTGGGGCCAACGGCTTGCTATCCTTGAGCGAGAGGGGCCCCTGCACCTGGGTGAGAAGCAACTTCACCAGCAGGAATGACGGGAAAAGGCATCAGTTCCCCAAGGCCACTGTGAACACCCCGGGCCTGCTCTGGGAAGTCAGGATTCCCACTGGCTCTGGCTTGGTCCCGGGGATTCGGATACCCCACCTTTGGGAGGCCCCAGATAGGACGGGCTGGTTCTCACCCTGGGGGATCTGCGTGGCCAATGGGGAGGAGATGGTGACGAAGTGGCGCTCCTTGCAGCCATAGTGCACGGGCATCTGGCGCCCCTTGCCCAGGTCGTTGACGTTGCCGTAGCACTGGGCCATGAACAGCTCCAAGGGGTAATCCCGGTACATCAGCACACCTAGGAGGGGAGAGGCAGGTGGGGTGTCAGTTCTGGGGGCTGGGTGGCGCGCACCTGCCCGGCTTCCATTCCCCAGCCTGTGAAGGAGCATGCACGGCACCCCGGGTTCAATCCCCAGCACTGCAGTCTCCTGAGCACTCTCGAATGGAGCCCTGGGGATGGTCCCACCCTCCAGAAAAGCACTGGAAGAAGCAAACGCAAGTAGGAGCTGCTGGTTGACATCTGTGGAGTGGAGAAACCCGACTCTGGGAACTGCAGTGAACCCCTCTCTGCTCAGAGCCTCTGCAGTGGGAAGGCCACCTGCCCATCCAAGGTACTCACCAGGCGGGGAGGGGGCCTGGTCTACTGAGGGGAATGACTGAGGTGGATAGAGATGGTGCCAGGAGGCAGTTAGGGAGCCCCCCCCCCCCCGAGGAAGACAGACAATTGTCACTCCTCACTCCCCACAGGCATAAGCTAGGCATTAGAGCAGCAGCGACTTCCAAAGCCTCCTCTTTACTTCAGCCGGGGACCCTCAGACCCACTCACAATCATATCCTGGACCCAAAGGACCCAGACAGACCCTGATGGGCCCAGATGGACCAGGCGTGCAAATTCCCTAATCGCAATTGGGTGCTGTTCGTACTTTCTGACGTGCCCCCCACAGGCCCATAGTACCACTGTCTGTGGGCAGTGGGACCACTCTGCCACTCAGAGGACAGGGAGGTGGGGGCTGTACCTCTCAACAGACTGTGGGGTACAGCTCTGCTCCTCGGCTAATGGGGTCCTGTGTGGAATAGGTCCCCCCGGATGCTGGTGCTGCCCAGTTGACTAACACAAATAGACACAGATGATCAGGGTTCATGAGGTTCAGCCTCACTTCAGTGTGCCCCCTTCATGTCTGTCCCTGGCCTTCCAATGGACAAGCACACTGACAGGGCCATAAATGGATGGATTCACACGGATGGGCCCCATGTCTCTAAGCAGACCAGAGAGGCAGAGGGCTAGCTGGAGCAGGAAAAGAGAGGTGGTCCTCAAGGGATGGTCATGAGCCCCTGAAATGGGCTTCTTCATCCTGTGGCCCAGGGCACCCTGAGAGACACTAGGCTGGGATGCAGGACACGCAGATTTCCAGGTCCAGGGCCCTGGGGGTCGGTCTGCACTGGTCAGCATGGTCCTGCAGGAATGACCCTGCTAGCTGGACCCTGGCTGCCCCGCAAATGTCTGCACGAGTGTCACTTCCTGCCAGCACCCCCACAGTCACCCTGTAAACTTCTCAGTTTACAACACAATGCTTGGGGGGCCTTCCAGGAGGCCAGGAGCCAGGCTGACTCTGGGGCACCCCTGCCCCTCCTGTCAAAGGTGCCTCAGGCTGGATGTGGCTGACCACAGGACAGTTCAGCTGCCCACCCTCGCTTCAAAGGGGCTCGCTCCCCACGTGGCCTGGGCACAGCAACCCTGTGCTTTCGGCACCGAGAACAGCACCCTGAGGAAGAGCTCAGGGGGTGCTCCCAGGGCTCTGAGGACCCTTGTCCACCCCAGCTGCCGGGTACAGGCGCGAACCTCCTGCTCCCTCCTCCAGGTTCTCTCCACAACGCAGGCACTCGGGGCTAGAGGACTCTTGCCTGCAAGGCCCCAGGAGCCCGTGTGGGCCCAGATTCCCAGCATGGCCACCCCACCCCTCCGCCTGACTCCAGAGACATCCTCAGTCCTGGCTGCAGGGAAAGGCCCTGTAGCAGCACTGGTGGCTGCTACCCTGTGGGCCCGGGCCTGGGTCAGCTCATTTCCCAGGCCAATACTGCTGATCCTCAGACAGCACTGGGGGGCGTCTGCCCTTCAGGTGGAGGGAGTGGGGCCATGTGGGTATGGGGAGGCTGGACATGCCTCCCAGACCCCCTGCAGCAGAGCTGCATGGCCTTAGCGCCCCGGACCCCGCGACCCCCTTGACTGTCTTCCTGGGAAGGCTCCCCACCTCCAGTTATGAACGAGAAACCTGAGGCAAGGAACAGGTATGTGCCTCCCCCAACCGCCCAGCTCCAGAGCCGGAAGCTCTTGCAACCCTCTGGGCTGCCCCCACATACACACATTGTCTCTCTCTCTCGGCTCCTGGCTGATGACTCCTGCCCCATCTTCCTAAGTGCTCATTGATTTTCTTCTTTCCTCGGCTCTGCCTCCGAGCTTTGCACATGGCAGCCAGCCAGCTCTGGGCCTGGCCAGGCGCCCCACAGCTGCTCCCAAAGGACCTGCCTGGAGGCAGGCCAGAAGAGCCAGTGTCCGCCCACTGTAGGCCGCCAGCAACCCCACCAGGCAGGCACCAGAGTGTCCAGGGCAGAGAGGACAGGCTCAGTGGGGTCCAGTGATGACTGTCAGCGGTGGACCGTGACGCTCTTCCTGCTGATGCCCACCCACACTGGCTTGCTGTGCCCTGCAACATACTACCGGCTCAGCCACCTGACCGCTCTTCCTGGTCTCAGCTGCTCCCAGAGTGGGACCCAGGGGCCGGGCATGGGCCTCACTGTTGCACCCCAAGGCACCAGGCTGATCTTCCCCCACAGGCACTGCAGACCCCGAGTCTGGCATCACTCTGCCAGGCCAGGCCACCCACGGACATACCTGCCTCCCGGTACTGGCCGAACACAAGGTCCGTGTTGTCCATGGCCGCAGCACTGCCCACATGCGTGCCCTCCTCGCCGTAGTTGGTCATGTAGAAGGAGATCCGGCCCTGTGGGGAGGCCGCAGAGGCCGAGCGGGGTTAGGTGGGCACTGACAGGGACCTGCAGTGCCCGGCTGATCCCTGAGGGCTCTGTGGTCAGAACAGACACTGCATGGTGCCAAGCCACGTTCCGTGGGGGAGATGGCCAGTCTAGCAGAACGAAGGGACGCGGACAGGGGGAAGGGGGAACCCAGGGACAAAAGCCTGCGGTGGACAAAGGTCGGGGGTGAAAGTTTTGGGACAAGGCGATAGTACAGGCTGAGGCCAGAGGCAAGAGACTGTGAGGAGCCTGGGAAGCAGAGTTCAAGGAGCCCAAGAAGGGGGAGCCGCCAGCGGCTCTCTGCAGAGACCCCCCCATATGCCTCTCTGGCAGGCATGTGGGAACAGGGGTGCGGAAGGCTTTGAGAGGAGGGGGAGTGCAGTGTCCTGCTGGCACCCTTCTTCCAACCCCACCTCAGCACCTGGAAAAGTCACTCTGCTGCCCATTTCTCTGACACGCAGAGAGAGCCTCAGGACCGGGTTCTACTCAGACTTCAGTGAACATCTGTCTGGGAGTTTTTTTACTTGTGGGTGAGGGTTCCCAAGCAGAGGTTCGTGGGCCCAGTGTGGGGATGAGGGTGGGGACTGTGGTCTCCTCCCTGATGGTCTTCCTGATGGGGTACTGGGAGTCACAGGGCTATGTCAGAGGTGCTAGGTCTATCAGGTCTGAGGTGCAAACTTAGGGCCTCCAGCCCTGGGGGCTAGCTCCATGGGCTAACTCCGCTAGATATCCCGGGATGTGCCTGCCCTCCTTCATGGCCCAGGAACTGGACACAGGTGGCAGAAACCGGCACCAAAGCGAGGGTAAGGCAGGAAGCCTGGAAGAGGTCACAAGCTGAGTGTGGGGCAGCAGCGCAGGCTTGGCAGCCAGGCCACAGGGAGGGCACGGCAGCAGACACAGTCCCTCTTGTGGAGACTGGCCTCAGAGACAAACATGGCGGGTTTGGAGCTGGGGCCAGCGGCAGATGCAGCCCCTCTCGCTGAGGCTGGCCTCAAGGATGTGGGGCAAGCCCAGAACACGGTGTCCAGGTCGTGTCTGAACAGGCTGAGTTCAGTGTGGGGTGTCCAGGGCCAGAAGCCAGGAAGCTATGGGAATCAGACACTAGGGTGTCTAGAGGCTGGGCAGGGGTGAGTGGGTGGGGGAGCCCTCCCAGCAAAGAGACAGAAATCAGCTCCTCGGGCAGGCGTGAGCAAGGGCCTGACTGCCCAGGGATGTATGTTCTACAGGTCCACCCTAGGGCAGCAAAAGCAGGAATGAGACTTTTCTCTAACTGAAAGTCCACTGAGAGTTCACGGCCTCCCAGTGCCAAGTAAGTGGGCGATGGCCGCTGCTGAGAGCCTGAGAGGTGGGCTTCAGGAGGAGCCGGAGCAAGGGTCGGCTGAGAAACCAGGCCCCAAGCCCCGGCAGGTGGCATCTACCAGGATTCAAAGATCCCATTTCTCAGTGTTTCTTGCAGCTTAACACAAGTCTGAGCAGAAAATTGCTGAGAGGACTATCTAGAAAGTTCTATGGAGGTGGGTGTAGAGGAGAGTCGGGATGTGCCCCTTCCTTCTACCTCCTGCATGGAATGAGACATGCTGGCAGCTGCACAAGCAGCCACTTGGTTCATGAGAAGCCTTAGAGGCTAGAAGTCCACTCTGGGGGTAGTGCCGTTATACCAGCCTTGGACACTTGTTTCCAGATTTCTCTTAAGGAACAGAAAAAAGGACTATCGATTCATTTAAACTACTGCTTTTATTATTTTTTTTTTCAGAGTTGGGGGCTGACTGAGTGGAGCGGGGAATAGAGTTCTGTGGGCTGAGCTGATGCTACAGAAGGGCTCCTTCTGCCACCAGGCTGAGTCTGAGGCACTGGGCTAAGAAAATTCCTACTGGAGCCTCACAAAAGGGCTCTCCCACCCTACAATCCCTGCAGTTTCACACTCTGAAGACAGGGAGGCAAACAAAGGCAGAAAACTGTCCTGCCCAAAGCCCTGTTGGTGCCTGGACTCCCTACTTGTAGACTGAAAGTCTGTGAAGGAAGGAAGTCGAGATGAGACAGGAGAAAAGGCCCAGGAGAGGGCCTGGAAACAGCCGTACCTGCAGCAGGCCACCCCGAGTCAATGCAGCCCCTCTGTCAGGCATGAATGGGGCTCATGGGTCGAGCACAGGCTTCCAGGGAGGAAAATGGCATCAAGAAACCCCAAACCAGGGTCTGAGCAATAATATGATTCCTGGCACCCCACATGGTCCCCTGAGCACTGCCAGGAGTAATTTCTGAGTACAAAGCAGGGAGTAGTAACCCCTGAGCATTGTGGGGTATGGTCCCAAAATTTAAAAAACCATCACCAATAACAAATCAGATCCTACAAAGAGGATTTGGACTAGCCAGTGGCCTCTGCTGAGGACACCGGCCCAGTTGGAGGGTTTCCCCGGGCCTCAGGATGGTGGGCTCTGGGGAAGAAGCCCATCTCCACACCCCCCCCCCACAGGGCGAGGCCCCTCACCAGATGCCCCGAGTCCTGGCCCCGCAGCCCCTGTGGCCCCCGCCCCCACCGCCCGCGCACCTGCCGCTGGGACTCGTAGAGGATGCGGTCCATGGTGTTGAGCAGCGTCATGCTCCGGTAGAACTTGAGGACCTGCTCCTTGGGCAGCTGCAGGCGAAGGCAGACACAGGCATGGGCTGGGTGGCACCAGAGAGGGGCCCAGGCCCAGGGGGCAGGGGGGAGGGCGGGGAGCCTCTCACATGGGGGTCCTCGCTAGGGTTGATGATCTGGCCCTGGCGGTCCATGACGCGGTAGATGGGGATCCCGGAGATGACATTGGGCTGGATGAACTCCAGCTTGTCGATGAACTCTGCCGAGGCCCCCGGGAACTGGGGTTTGTCATCCAGTGAAGAGAATTGCTCCTGCTGCCTCCGGGGGTGCTGCGGGAAGATGGGGGGAGGGAGGTAGATACGCGCTGGGTCAGGGCTGTCCCCAGCCAGACAGATGCACAGGGGCTCAGTTCGGCGTACACTTCCTCCTCCTGTGACCTCCATGTGATAGAACTTGTGTGTGCCTTAGTCCTTGTGTGTGTACAATATACAAATAATCACACCTTGGCTGGAGAGAGAGGACAGTGGGGAGGGCGCTGGCCTTGCACACAGCCCACCTGGGTTCCACCCCCGGCACCACACAAAGGGTCCTCTAAGCCCCACCAAGAGCGATGCTTGAGTGCAGAGGCAGGATAAAGTCCTGTTGTTTGGGGGGTGTCCCCAAACAACAAAAAAAGAATAAAAAGAAAACAAAGGGGGGGAAAGGGAGCTCAGTGGCAGAGCACCTGCTTCACATGTGTTGACCCCCAGCACTGCCCAGACACACAAATATATGCGAAAAGGAAAAAGTTTACAGCTTAGAGGGTCAGAGCCAGATCAGAGGCTGGCTCTGCTGCCCCGCATAATGGTCCCCCAGCACCACCGAAAGTGACCCCAGTACAGAGCCAGGTATGACCCCAAAGCAGACACAAAAACATTCGATGTTAAAACAGCAGGAGCCAGAGAGGTAGCACAGCAGGGAGGGTGTTTGCATTGTACATGGCTGACCCAGGTTCAATCCCTGCCTGAGCATCATCAGGAGTAACCCATGAGCATCTCCAGATGTGACCCAAGAAGTCAAAGAAAAAAAAATGTGGGCAACTTGGGGCCAGAGAGAGAGTACAGGGGGCAGGTGGCCTACCTAGCTCCACAAAGTCTCCTGAGGCTCAACAGGGGTGATCCCTGAGCATAGCTGGGTGTGGGCCCAAAACAAAACAACCCATCCAACCCCCAAAATGGGCAACTCAACTCAAGGGTCATAGTGGTACCAGTAGAAGCCCAAACCCTTGCAGCGCTCAGGCCCTGCCTCGGCATCTGTCTCTGTTAGCCCAGAAGTACATTGGTCCTACATAGTGCACCTGAGTCTGCCCAGACATGGGGGCTCCTTGCGGACCCCAGGGACCCTCAGACAGAGCCAGACTCTGAAAGCTGAGGCAGCCAGCTGATGTCCTCAGTCCCAGCCAAGGACTGCAGGGTCACAACTCCTCCCTCAAGGATCTCCTTTGTCTTTTTGGTTTGTGGGCCACACCTGGCAGTGCTGACTCCTGGCTCTGAGCTCAAGGATCACTCCTGGTGGGCTCAAGGACCATATGGGGTGCTGGGGATCGAACCTGGGAGGGCTGTGTGCAAAGCAAGCACCTCCTCGTTGTATTATCATGGTGGCCTGCTTCATTGAGAACGTGGTGATCACCTCGAGGAAGGCTCCAAGGCCCAAGACTGGGGTCAGTAGGGTTGTGCGGAGCAAATAGTAGAGGTCTAGCTGCCTCAGTCTCCCCTCCAGCCCCAGCCCCCTCATGGTCAGTCCTGCAGACTCACTCAACAAATGCCTGAACACTCAACAAATATTCTTTCCCAGCCTCAGGCTGGGAACCCGAGGGCTACTAGGCCCTGCTGCAGACCTGAAGGCAGGTGCTGAATGGGCAAGCATGGGGGGTGGTTCCCGCAGGGCAGGGAATGAGGCTGGGTGGGGGAGATAGCTTGCTCTGGGTTTGCTGCCTGGCAGGCACCGCATGGCCCAGGTACTCTAGATCCCACGATGATTAAAATAATAGTAAGGGCTGAGCGATAGCACAATGGGGAGGGCACTTGCCTTGCACACAGCCGACCCAGGTTTGAGCCCTGGCACTGCATGTGGTTCTCTGAGCTGTGCCAAGAGTGAGCCCTGAGAGTTGGAACATTGTATGACCGAAACCAATTACGAACGATTTCCTGTATATATCACTGTGATTCAATTGAAAAAAAAAAGTTATCCCTAAATTCAGCCAGGAGTAAGCCCTGAGCACCACAGGATAACAAAACATAAATAATAAAAAGTACTGCACCAATTTCAGAACAAGAAAGCAAGCAAGCAAGCAAATATTCCTCTTTGAGGCAAAGCCCTGGGGTGTGCAGTGACTGTGTGTGTGTGGGGGTGGGGGGCGGTGTGGATGACAACAGAACCATCCCTTGAGGCACATGGAAGCAGAGGGGCGGGGTGGGAAGAGTCCTGCAGGGAGAAGCACCCCCAGAGGCCTTGGAGGGACTAAGAGACACTGAACAGTCCTGAACAGTCTGGGAAGTTTCATGCCCCTCCCCCACACCCTGGGCGCCTCAGTGAGGAGATGGGGTTTCCTACTCTTGTGCCTTCTTCACCCTACTCCCCACGGCCCAATTAATAATCTGAGGTTGAAGAAAGCCAGTCTGGGCCCTCAAGAGCATCCCTGGGCACCTGGGCACCCATCCCCAAGCACAGTCAGTGTATGCCACTCCCCACAAGTCAGGGCTGGGTCAAGGCAAACAAAGGCACTGAGGTTGGAGTGCATGCCTGGCAGGCACCAGGCCCTGGGCTTGATCTCCCCATGCCTACCAACCCATCTTAGCCAGGGGTACCTAGTGGCCCCAGCACAGAGGGTCCAGAAGCACTGCTGGACTCAGTCCATATGGCCAGTTAGTTGAGAACCACCAGGAGTGGTCACTAGGCTCCTTAAGCACAGTCTAGGAGACCCAAAAGGTTCAAATGGGGCTTCAAACCTAACATGGTGGCCACAGGGACCCCAAAACTCCTGCTCTGAACCCCAACTTCTACAGGAGCCCAGTTTCCAGATTCGCCTTCCCTCCCTGGGGCCCTGCTCCCTCCCAGTGCATGTGCAAGCTCTGGGCCCTGCGTTTAACTGCTCTGTGAACCCTGGGTCTAACTGGATCTGCGCCTAACCAGATGCTGCGACTAACCAGGTTCTGACTCTGCTCGCGGCCCGCCTCCGGAGCACATGGTGTCCTGGCCTGAGGATAAGTATGTCCTGTCCCCCACGCCCTCTGCAGTGAAGCAGGAGGCCATCCAAGGCCCCAGGGAGCACACGTACCCTGGGGGGAGTGAGGAAACAAGGAAACGCCCCATGGGCCCCAAGTATAGTACAGTGGGGAGGGCGTTTGCCTTGCACGCAGCCAACCGGGGTTCAATCCCCAGCATTCCATATGGTCCTCCAAGCACAGCTAGTAGTAATTCCTGAGGGCAGAGCTAGGAGTAACCCCTGAGCATCACTGGGTGTGACCCAAAAAGAAAAAAAAAAGGAAACGCCTCATGCTGGCAGCTCAGCTGGGGCCTTGCTCTTTCTTCTCCCCTTGCTGGCAAGGGAAGTGGGCTACACAGGCATGCAGCTCGGGGCACCATCAGGCTCCCCAATTTCGGAGAGGACCAGAGGCTTTGCTGTCCATCTCCCCCCAGAAGTTCTAGTCAGCACAGCAGGTGTGCTACAGACCACAGCTAGCAGCAGAGTGCGGGACGTTCCCGGCCTTGGACGAGGCTGACCTAGTGCCAAAATCTTAGCTCATGGTGTGGCTCTCTGCAGACCCACGTTGTCTCCACAAACTTCCTGCTGTTTCGCAAACTTCCTGCTGTCTCCCCAAACTTCATGTGACAAAGGCTGCAAGTTATGTGAAATTGGGGTTCAGGACACACCATGTGCACCTCTGTGGGGCGCAGGACAGTGAGGGGTGGAGGAGGGCGATGACCCACTCCATGGGTAGGGAAGAGGAAATGGGGAGAAGGCACCCTGAGACAAAGAGGGTGGGAAAGGCCGCAGTCAGGGAAAGAGGGACTGACTCTCAGAAGGCGGGCAGGGTGAGTGCAGGGTAACCCGGACTCAGGGCAGGTCTGTGTGCCTGCAAAGCTGCTTGCAGGTGCTCCTTGCGGCAGAACCACCTCCTCCTGGTGCTGTGAGTGATCCTTAGAGTTCCGAGGGGTTTAGCCAGGAACTAGGTCCTAGGTGGTTTGCAGCAGCCCTGCCCAGGGCCCAGCACAAAGGCAGCACCTTGGAAACACATTGAGAAGTCCAACAGTCAAACTGAGACAAACAGCGCGGCTCCCGTGTGGTCCAGAACTGAAGGCTGAGGAGCTTGGGAGAACTGGAAGGCCAAAACTGGGCCTAGCTTCCCTCCCTCAGGGCAGGAAAGGTCCAGGCAGCCTGAGATCAGCTAAACACCCCCCCCACACACACACACACACACCACCACGCATACAGACACACTGCCTTGGGCAGAGCGACCCCAAGTGGCGGGAGGAAGAATTTCAGCTCCTCAGGGAAGCACCCATCTGGGGGTGTGCCAGAGGAACTAGCTCCACAGAGAAAGATTAAAAGCAAGCAGCTGCTGGGCTGCTCCAGAGAACTTTCTGCCCGGCCACAGATGCTGAGTGAGATGTGAGCTCTAGGCAGGACAGCCTGGCACTGGGGCCCCGCAGCCCGCGACCTCACAGGCTGTGACCAGAGTAGCTCTGTCTCAATGCACTTCATCTGGACCTCCTGGCTTGCTGGCCCTGCACCCAAAGAGCTAGGTGGTCTGTCCAAGGGCCCGGAGCTCATGATGGGAGGCTGTCACAAGGAGCCCGGGAACACTGCTATTTGCACCTGGGGAGAGAGGAGCATGCGGAGAGTCCAGCGTGAAAGGTTCTGGAGCGGTCCTGTACCACGGCCTCTGTGGGCAGGTCCTCAGTGTCTGCCCCTGGCTCTGCCCTCCAAGGTGAAGATATGCTGCCCTCCCTTGGGGTCTCGAGGCAGGAGCAAGACTGAGGACTGCAACCCTGGGGAGAAGAGACCCCAAGTCCTGAAGCTGACCGAGCACGGGGTCTTCACAGGTCGTGCTTCCTGAGAGCCATGTTCTTGGGGGTCAGAAGATGAGTCAGAGACTAAATCATCTGGCCCAAGTTAGACCCACACACTCTGGGCAGCTCGGCACTCTGCTGTCCCAGCACCCTGAGAGATTCCTGACTGGAGGTGGAGGGCAGAAATGCCCGGAAAACTACTCAGAACACCTAGTTCTTTCAATTATTCATTTTGGCTTGGAGGTCATACCCTGTAGTGCTCAGGGATTACTCCTGGCAGTGCTCAGGGGACCAATATGGGGTGTCAGGGATCAAACCCGGGTATGTAGCAAGTATCCTATCTGCTGTCCTATCTCTATCTCCCCTGCCCACCACCTTTTGTATCTCACCCACATGAGATGCAGCCAAACAAAATGGAACTGGATGAGGGGTGGGACTAAGGGACACTTGAAGAGGGGAGCACCAGCAGGTAACTTCCACTTCGACCCTAGGCTTATGTCCCCACAGCAAACTGCGGCCCAGCAGTCACTCTGACCCCTCACCCCTACACTCGCACCAGGTCAGGAAAAACAGCAGATCACATCCAGGGAGCACTGTAGAGAGCCTGGGAAAGTCAATGGGACCAAGAGCAGCGAGAACCAGTGAGATGAGATGGACCCCAGAGCTTCAGCGACAGTACAGTGGGCCATCAAAGGTCCTGGAAACTGAGAGATACAAGACCCCTGCACAGGGCAGGACATGGAGGGACAGAACCAGCGAGAAAGCGGCGCGGATCAGGACTGGACCGGGGTGGCCAAACCAGGCGTGGAACCAGCACAACGCCTACATGCAACCCATGGGGCCCCAAACTACCTTCTCTGTGAAACCTGTGACAAGCATGCAGATGCCACACGCAGGAATCAGGAGCCACATACTGGAGTCAGCAGGGTCAACCGCACCCCAACAGAAGTGTGTAATCTCCGTGGAGGGCGACAGCTAAGAGCATACCAGCTCAGCGGCCCAGAGTTCTGGCCCTGACATGGCCACGTGGGAGCACCAGCAGCCCCCTGTGAGGACTAGCTGGCACAACCAATCATGTAGACCCCCCCACCCAGCCCAGTGACCACATAAAATAGGGGAGAGCTGGGGAGACAGTGTGAGAGGCTTGTGCGAGGCCCTGAGTGTGATCCCAGGCACCAAATGTCCCCTCCCATTCCATCCCCATCAGGTATGGCCGGGGTCTCCCAAGCACAGGACTAGCCCATAGCACGAGTCCCAGAAGGAAGGAAGGAATTGATGCATGGGGCTATGCTGGCATGCTTCAAGATACAGAAAGGAGATCAGGGCAATCCTTTTGTCTTAGGGTCATACTCAGTGGTGCTGGGGGATCCACTAGGCTTAGGCCTCAGGGCTCACTTGGATAGAACCCTGGGCCTCACATTTGCAAGGCAAAGGCTCGATTGCTGAGCCACCACTGTGCTCAGGGTCCTCAGTATGAGGCAGTGAGGACCATCTCCCTTAGCATGGACAGGCCCCGGCCACCTGGACATGCAATGACCTCCCTGACAAATACCAGAGTCTGAGCTTGTGGGGTTCCCAGGGTTCCCACCACACAAGGTCCCTGGTCACCCCCCACTTACTGGGCTCTAAGAAGCAGAGCAAGCTGCCTGAGAGTCCACCTGTTTCTGGGGTGTTGCCTGAGAAACCAGTTCAGGGCTCCTGAACAATCACATTTCCTTCCTGCTCTTCTCTGAGCTCTAAAACAGCTGTGCGCCTCTGGCAGGAGGAAGGGACGGGGTGTTGGGCAAACCTCCAGGGCACCGGGGCACTCAGTAAAAGGTGGGGGGGATGCACAGCTGCCCCAGCCCGGGCCAGGCCAACACCACACGGACTCCTGGCCTGCCCATCTCCACCTGGACTGGCTAGAACTGCATGACCCAAAAGGACAGCCAGCGCTCACTTGTTAAATTTAGACCCAGTAAAATGAAAGAATGTGAAAACTTCAGGGCAACAGGGGCCCGAGGTGCCGGAGCAGGGCTCACATGTCACCAACTGCGTTCCATCCAATGCACAGGCAAAAGCCTCCTTCACCAAATGCTATACGGTTCTTTCCTCCCACCACTCCCAAGTCTTCTTTGCAGCCTTAGGGGGTAAAAATAGTAAGTGGGAGAAATAAGAGACAGGATGAGGGGCTGGAGAGATAACACAGCAGGTAGGGCTTTTGCCTTGCGCGCGGCCGACCCGGGTTCGATCGCAAGCATCCCATATGGCCCTCTGAGCACCGCCAGGAGTAATTCCTGAGTGAAGAGTCAGGAGTAACCCCTGTGCATTGCCGGGTGTGACCCAAAAAGAAAAAAAAAGAGAGAGACAGGATGAAAACACAAGGGCCCTAATAATGTTTTTCTTTAAAAATTTAAAACCGAGGAGACAGACTAGAGAAGGGAAGGTGACAGGAGGGAAAATGGGTACATTGGTATTGGTGGTGAGAAATGTACACTGGTGGGGGAAGGGTGTCGGAACACTGTATGACTGAAACCCGACCATGATCAGCTTTGTAATTCTGTATCTCACTGTGACTCAAAAATTAAAATTAAAATAAAAAAATTGTGGATACAAAATGCCAAAAAAATTATTTTTTTAAACTGAGGCTGGAGAGATAGGCCGGCAGGTAAAGGCGTAAAGGTACTTGCCTTGCACGTGGCTGGGCCAGGTTTTACCCCTGGCACCACCAGGAGTAAGCCATGAGCACTGCTGGGTTATGGCCCAAACACCCCCCTACCAAAAAAAAAAATACAAACCTGAAAGACCTGCTCTCCCCACCAAAAAAATAAATAAAATAAGAAATAAATAAGGGTGGCAAGGGGGAAAGGCAGCAGGGCTGGAGCAGGGAAGGAAGCGAGGTAATCATCCCTGGTGACCTTTCCTTCTCCTGCCCCCAGCCACCCCTCCCGCCCCACGGGCCAGCCAATGGGCGAAGGGGAACCGAGATCAGCTGTGCAAGATCTGACTGAGCCAAAAAAAGCGCTCAGCAGCCCTTCCAGAATTACCTGCTTCCAGGGCCTCCTTGCCTGGGTCCCCAAGTTTCAGTCCAGACCCATGCTCATCCCCCTCCTCCTGGGCACTGCAGCCCTCCTTAGGTGGAGTGAAGGTCACTCTGACACCGGCAGGTAGATTTCCCTGCAGGGCCTCACCTAGCTGGGCTCTCATCCAAGGCCACCTCCTTGCGTCTCCCCAACTCCAAGGTCAGCTTTCTGACCCTGCTCAGAACCCCTCACCATCCACAGCAGCCAATATTCCCACTACCCTCACCATGCGCCAGATCTAGTTCCCAGCAGCGTTTCTAAGAATATCTGCAAGCTGCCTTAGTAGGTGGGTGTGGTGACCGTCTGACCAGCGGAAACCTTCATTAGGTTCTGAGAGGGGCGGCCCCCTAGCTTGAGTTTGCATCACTGCAAACAGCAGATGAGGGATAAGGACCCCCACACTCTAGCTTCACCCCCACTCCCCAACACTCACACCAAATCCACTACTCTCCTGTCTAGGAATTTGGTTTTGTTTTTTTTTTTTAACCAGGCAATACTCAGGGGTTACTCCTGGCACTGCACTCAGGAACTACTACTCCGAGTGGTGCTCGGGGAACCATATGGGTTGCCAAGGATCAAACCGGGATGGGCCTAGTGCAAGGTAAAAGCCCTTCCTGCTGCACTACTGCTCTGGTCCCTTGTCTAGGGAGCTTTGATTCCCAGCACTTCTGCAGTCCACAGCTTTTGTCTCTCTAAACGGGAACTTCCAACTAGATTTCTGTTGCATGAGCTTGTCACTAGCAGCATCAGGGGAAAGGGATCCCGACCTGTTAGATGAGAAGGAAGGTGCTTCTAAGGCCTCAGAAATACGTGCAGAGATGCCATAAAGCAGTTCTAGGGCAAAGTGGAAGTGCCCTCCCCGTCCTCCACCTCCCCCGCTTAAATCCACAGACGTTGACCTATCACTCAACCAAGACCCGAAAAGGTCCCTACCTGACATTCCATGAGGGTCAGGGGGCCTCCAGAGCAAACGGCTTTTCGTTACAGAGTTCATGATGAAATCAGAATCGGAGCCAAAGAGCAAAGAAATGCATAAAAGCGGGGGGCGGGGGGAACCCCGTCTCGAGGAAACGCGCGGGGGTCTCCGGCCAGAGGGGGCTCCTGACTAAGGCGCTCTCGTTCTCTAACTCATCTTTCAGGGAGCAGCCGGCGTTCCCATCGCCCTCAGATGCCAGACCCAGTTCTCGGCGCCGCCTTGACCAATTTTCACAACATCCTTAGGAGGGGAAAGGGTCTCCTTCCCGGACGCTGGGTGGCAGCGAACGAGGACCACCCCAGCGGCCCACAAAGGGGCTGCCTCGACTTCCCTCTCCTAAAGGAGACGAAGTGCTGCCCTTCAACGTCCTCCCCAAGCCTTTCTCGCGGTCCTTGTCCAGTGACAGCCCTTCCTTCCATTCCTGCAGGGACCACACGCTTCGATGACAGCGAGCACGTCTGGATTCTCCCCTTGGGGAAACCCTCCCCCGGCGACCCATACACTCACAGATGTGACCAGCCCCCGAGTCCCAGGCCGCCGCAGAAACAGGAGGCCAAAGTGGCCTCGTCTCGACCCCCACACCCTCGCCAGGACAGCCGCCACCGCCATCTTGGCCGACAATACCACGGCGATCCGCCCCCGGCCAGCTTCTCCTCACCAAGGGCTGCCCCTTCGTGCGCCTGTCTCAAATGCGAGTCACTCTGCCAAGAAACCACGTGACACCAATCCTTCTACCCTTAAGGAGCGTAGTTAGGGGTATTTTCAAAAACATAGCTTTCCCAAAATTTCTCCGATCCCCTCATCGGAGTTGCCTTTATAACAGGCAAAAACTAGGACAGCCTCATCGGGGCCTCGGCCCTTTAGGATTTGGGGACCTCGGGTAGGACGAACCCGCGCCAAGGCCCGCCCCCTCTTTGCTTCTGTCCAATGGCTTTTCTGAAATTTCAAGGCGGGATGGGCGGGGCCAGGTTGTTAGTAAACGCGGAGCCACGTGCGGCGCGGAGTTTGGCCGAGGGAGGGGGAATGTGGGGGACGGGCCTAGTTGGCGCCTGCGCTCTGGCCACACCGCGAGTGCGCAAGCGCGCTCTTCCGGACGGGAACAGCTCTACCTGCACGTGAAGTTGGAGACGATGGAAGTGCTATCTGACTCCAAGGTGCGTGCTGAGTCTGAAACCCAGGCTGGTCCCAGGGGCCCGGGTTGCAGCCTTCGGCACTTTGCCTGCGAACAGAACTTGTTGTCCCGACCGGATGGCTCTGCCTCTTTCCTGCAAGGTAAGAACCTCACGCAGGTTAATAAGTGGTCGTGTAGGTTTCGGGCAGGTTGCAGCACTTGGGACTGTGCGAAAGAGTGGCTTCCTCTGTGATGCTCGCCGGTAACTGCTCTGCTGAAGAGACGCAAGACGTCTTGCCGGGGTAAATATTTCAAGTTACACTCAGGCTGTTCTCAGCTAGGAAGCTGAAATCCCAGCCGCCGTGGTAAATGCCTCTTCGCAGTGAGAGTTGCAGAATCGCTCGTAAGAACGGAGACTCCAGGCGTTGGAGGGGAAAGAAAGGTTAAGGCATGCTGTTTCATCCCTGGCACCACATACGGTCCCCTGAGCACCGCCAGGTACAACCCCAAAACAAACTAAAAGAACGCATACGCCAGCGTAGGGTAACAGCCTCCCTCTATTAGATTCTTTTTAGGGGGGAGTGGGGCACACCCAGCGATGTTCAGGGGTTACTCCTGACTCTACACTCGGAAATTACTCTTGGCAGTGCTCAGGGGACCATATGGGATACTGGGCATCGAACCCGGATCTGCCGCGTGCAACGCAAACGTCCTCCCTGCTGTACTGTAGCTCCGCGGCCTCTCATTAGATTATTTTGTTTGGGTTTTCGGGATTTTTATTTTTGAGCCACACCTGGCGACGCTCAGGGATTACTCCTGGTTCTGCATTCAGGGATCACTCTTGGCCACATGGGATATTGGGGATCTAGGTTGACCAGGTGCATCACCTTATCCGATGTACTCTTCACCCTCATCACTTTTTTTTTTCTTTTTGAGTCACAGCCGGCGATGCACAGGAGTTACTCCTGGCTCATGCACTCAGGAATTACTCCTGGCAGTGCTCCGGGGGACCATATGGGATGCTGGGAATGGAACCCGGGTGAGCTGTGTGAAAGGCAAACGCCTTAGCTGCTGTGCTATTGCTCCAGCCTCCCCCCCTCCCCCACATCTCTCTTGATTCTGCCAATTCTACCCCTGTAACCTACGGCCCATGCAGAGGCATGTCTGTAAGAACACACCATGTGTCAATTGTAGAGTGTCCTCAAGTAGTCCCCAGACTATGGCAGCTTGAAGATTCTGACCCCTCTCACCAGTGAGGTTGATTGTGGCACACCTCTCTCCATCTGAGAATATCCCTAGGATTTGGGGCAGGTTTTACCTTTTTTCCACCTCCCACCCTTCTCCCTGGGCCACACCTGGCAGTGCTCAGGGCTTACTCCTGATTCTGTCATCAGGGATCATTCCTGATGATGCTCTGGGAACCATATGAGATGCTGGGTATAAAACCCAAGTCCACCTCATGCAAGGCAAATATCCTCCCTGCTGTCATATTGCTCCAGTGTTACCTTTTGGGTAAATCTCGTGTACCTAGTTAAAAACCTCTTACCTAGGGCCTTGCACGCTGCCAATTGATGCTAGGTTCGATCCCCGGCAAGCCTGAGCATGGTCCCCTGAGCACCAGTAGAAGTGTTTTCTGAGTACAACTGATCATCTCCGGGTGTGTACTCCCAGTCCAAAAAACATATAAACCCCTCGATTCAATGCCATGTCTCAGGCAAATATTCCTCTGAGGAGCTCCGAAGCTTTTCGGGGAGATGGAGGTGGACATGGAGTCTGAGAGAGCCACACCCTGGAGGTGAGGCCAGGGATCCCCGAGTTGGTGGGGATGGGGCCCTGTCCCCCGGGTTCTGCCCTATCACTTCCCCTTCAGCATCTTTGCACCCGGGAGCCAGGAGGATCTGCCCGTTCTCCTTGGATGAGGTAATGGGGTTCCCAGGAAGGGGATTTCCTTGTTGTGGGGTAACACTTCAAGCCCACCTTAGGGGAAATTCCACTCTCCCAACCCCACGCCTCTTTTACTTGGGGGCCTGGGGGGCAACACACCCAACAGTGCTCAGTGCTTATATCCATCCAACAGTGGTCAGGGCTTATTTCTGGCTCTGTTCAGCGATCATTCCTGGTGGGAATTGGGGCCCCTCCATAGTGCCAGCGATCAAACAAGGGTCAGCTATGTGCAAGGAAGTGCCCCAGCTGCTGTACCCTGACTCTGGCTTAGCTCTTTTGCAGAATTCAGTTGCCTAAAGGAACTTCAGATTTCAGGAAAATGATAGTCGTAGCTTCTAAAACCCCAGCCACAGGACCCCAAAACCAAGGGAGTCCCTGAAACCCCCCCCCAAAACTGTTGCACAGGGCCCAAGAAATAACAGGCTTCGTTCAGCCTTTGTATGCTGGAGCTCCGGCTCTCTCCCTGGCACTGCATGGTCCCCTGAGCACTATCGAGTATAACTTAGTACCACCCCCACCCCCTGCCAGAAAGGTGGGGTACATGGTGACCTCCAGATCTGGTGAGGTGGCCTAAGGAGCTGCATTCTGAGACCCCTGCCCCTACTCAGCCTTCCCATTACAGTTTGGGGGGACACAGGACCCCCACATGTGAGGTATGTCCACCCCTCAGGCCGCAGGCCATTCGTCCATGCCACGGCCCGCTATGCTCTAGACTCTGTAGGGTCTGGCAGAGCAGCGCCGCCCCTGGTATTGGGTTTTGGGATTTTGTTTTGTTTTGTTTTGTTTTGGGGGGGGGTGTCACACTGGGTGATGCTCAGGGGTGACTTGTGGCTCCACACTCAGGAGTTATTCTTGGTGGTGCTCATGAAACGTATAGGATGCTGGGGATGGAACCCTAGTCAGCCACGTTCCTGGCAAATGCCCTACCTAATTGCTCTGGACCCCTCAGGCTGGTTTTTCTGTCAGTGCCAAAGGAGAGTGTGTCAGAGCGTCAAGCAGAGAGATAAGGGCTGGGCTCCAGACTTGATGGCAGAGCCGTGATTCCCCTATGGAAGAACCCCCCAAATATAAAATGAATGGAAACAGTAATACCTAGGGGCCATAGTACAGCTGGGAGAGTGCTTGCCTTGCAGGCAGACAACCCTGGTTCAATCCCTGGCCATCCCATAGAGTCTCCCCTAGCACCAGGAGTAATTCCCAAGTGCAGTCAGGACCACAGGTGTGGTCCCCATAAGAGAACCCCCCCCCCCAAAAAAAAAGGAACAGTGATGTTTAATGTCAGTTGTGTCAGTCGAAGCCTTTAATAATTTTGGTTGGGGATCATACCCAGAGGTGCTCAAGGATCACTTCAGGTGGGCTTAGGGTACCATGTGGGGTAAAGAGATCAAACTTGGGTCAGTGACATGCAAGGGAAGTGCCCTTCCCGCTCGCTGTCCAGTAACTCCACTCAGCCCAGAGGCCTTTTTCCATTTCCTTTGACATGGGCATGTAGGAATCTCGCTGTAAAATCTGTGTATTTCTTTTGTTTGATTTGGGTTTGGGAGAAGGGGCACACCTGGCTGTGTCCAGGAGCTACTCCTGGTTTGGTGCTCAGTGGGCCACTTGGTGCCAGGGATGAAGCCCAGGGCTTCATGTATGCAGAGTGAGTGCTCAACCACTGAGTCACATCCTGGGGCTTATTGGTGGGGAATTGAGGGACGGGAGCTGGGCTGTGATGTTCCAGGGAGACACCCAGTCTTGGGGTGCTCTGGCCTCCCCATGCCCCTGCAGGGCAGAGCTGCGACTCTCCCTGTTGGACAGGTGAGAAAACAGGCAGGGAGGGGAAGTGGCTGCTTGTGGTCCTGGCCAGTGGGGCTGGGCTGCAGGGGGCTGAGGTGGCGACTGCACCGCCAAGGCAGGCCTGTGTGCTAAGGTCTCCCCACACCACTGCAGGGGACACCTCTGTCCTGGCGGGGGTGTATGGGCCGGCCGAGGTCAAGGTCAGCAAGGAGATCTTCAACAAGGCCACGCTCGAGGTGATCCTGAGGCCCAAGATTGGACTGCCTGGTAAGGACTACGGCTGCCCTCCCTGCCTTCCCCAGCACTGTCTGCGCTTACTCCTCTCCTGGACTACCCTGTGCGCCCTGTCCCTCCCTCCCTCTCTCCCTGTACCTCTTTCCCTTTGTTTTCTCCCTCTCTCTGTTTCTCTCCCTCTCATTCTCTCTCTCCCTCTCTCTACCCCTTTCATTCTCTTTCCCTCTCTCTCTTTCTCCCTCTCTCCCTCTCTCTCATTTTTTCTCCCTCTCATTCTTTCTCCCTCTCTCTCTCCCTCTCTTTCTTTCTCTCCCTCTCTCCTTCTCTCTCAGTCTCTCCGCCCCCCTCCCTTCCTGTCCCTGCCTCTTTGACCCATACCCTCTCTTCCTGGCTGCATCTCCCTTTCCATAAGCCTATTTTTCCACCTTTAGTCTCTGCACCGCTGGGGTCACGCCTGGGGGCTGGGCCCATGGGGTGGGAATGAGCAGTAGCCAAAGGGGGACGGAGGTTCCTCCTGCCCAGGGACGCTTACGCTGGTGCTACTGGATGACCAGGAATCCTTGTCACCCTCCTGTCAGGCCTCTAGACCCTCTTCCCGGGGTGTGGGAGGGGCAAAGATCCAGAGAGAGGGGACCCGGGCCAACCGCCTCATCCCACCCGCATTTTTCCCAGGTGTAGCAGAGAAGAGCCGGGAGAGACTCATCAGGAACACATGTGAAGCAGTGGTCCTGGGGGCCCTGCACCCCCGAACCTCCATCACTGTAGTGCTGCAGGTCATCAGTGACGCTGGCTCCGTATCCTTTCACCCCTGCCAAGGTTGCCTTCTCCAGAAAGACCTCCTGGGTTGCCTCTCATCATTGGCCACCTACACGCCCCCTATTAGTCAGGTCATCTCCCATCCCTGAGCTCCTCCTGGCACTGCCTCTCTCCCTGTCCTTGGTGAGCCAGGCCTGCACAGACTGGGGGTGGCCATATGGGCATGCTGGGGGTGACCTGCTGTACCTACCACTTTTTTTTTGTTTGGGACTCACACCCTGCAGTACTCAGGGGTTACTCCAGCTCTCTTCAGGAATCACTCCTGGCAGTGTTTGGGGGACCATATGGGGTGCCAGGGATTGAACCGGGGTCGGCCATATGCATGACAAGTGCCCTCCCCACTGTCCTATCTCTCCGGCCCCTGTACCCACCACTTCTTAACCTTCCCCGTCGCGCTCAGCTCCTGGCCTGCTGCCTGAATGCCACCTGCATGGCCTTGGTGGATGCGGGGGTGCCCATGCGGGCCCTCTTCTGTGGGGTCACCTGTGCCCTGAAGTCTGATGGGACCCTTGTGCTGGACCCCACAGCCCGGCAAGAGCAGGTAGGTGTGAAAGGGTCTCCCCTATGACCACTGCCCCCTGGGTCCCCCTGAGAGGCTGGAGGGATTGGGCAGCACGTAAGGCATTGGTCTGCTCCCCAGCCCTGCCCGGTATCACCCTCCTCCCTCCAGAGCCCCCAGTTAGAGGTAAAGCAGCCCAGCACAAGAGTTCCCATACAGGCTCTGGCTGCACTGTCCCGGGCTCAGTGTTAGGGCGTGTTTCGTCCACGCGTAGACCAGCCAGGAGAGCAAAACCTGGGGTGTGTGTGGGGGGGGGCGTTTAATGCCCAGAAATGGGGGCTGTGGCCATGGAGGAGCTGAAGGAACCAGAGCAGCAGAAGTGGGGGTGGAGAGAGAATGCGGGAGCAGGCACTGGCCCTGCACTCAGCTGGTCCGATTCAATTCCCAGCTCCTCCCTGGGCACTGTAGACTGTGGCTTCCAAACCAGGGAAAGGGCTGGAGCGATCATACAGCGAGGAGGGCATTTGCCTTGCGTACTGCTGGCCCGGTTCGATCCCCGGTATAACATATATGGTCCCCTGAGCACTATCAGGAGTGATTTAATTCCTCGGTGCAGAGCCAGGAGTAATCCCTGAGTATTGTCATGTGTGATACAAAAACTGGGGGGGAAACAGTGTGGGGGGGGGACAGGCAGAAGGGGGCCAGTGAGAAGGTCAGAGGGCTCAGCATGGGAACCTCAGATTTGTTTTGTTTGGGAGCCATACCCAGCGATGCTGAGAGCTGACTCCTGGCTCTGAGCTCAGGGATAATTCCTGGAGGGCTCAGGGTATCCATGGGGTGCCGAGGATTGATTCCTGGTCGGCCATGTGCACAGCTGACACCCTTCCTGCTGTGCTATGGCTCAGGCCCAGGAACCTCAGATTTGATCCTCAGCTTCACATAATCTCCTTGGGGGGGACCCAGGACTCAATCAGGTGTATCCGTTGAGCATGGCCCAGGACAACCCAAGAAAAGGAAGGGAGAAAAGAAGGAAGGGGAGGGGGGCTGGGGAAAGCCCCCCAGGGTGTGTCGAGCAGGGAAGCAGCATGGGGGGAGGGGGACAGGAATCCTTTGCTTGGAACCCACTGAAGCCCTGTGGCTGGCATTGGCTGTGGGGAGGGGGAGGGACGTGGGGGGGCAGGAAGTGGGGGACGCAACTGTAACAAGTTCCCATAGGCTCGGTTCCCTTTTTTTTTTTTTTTTGGTGGGGGCACTTTATGGGCCACACCCAGCGATGCTCTGGGGTTACTCCTGGCACTGCACTCAGGAATTACTCCTGGTGGTGTTCAGGATACCCTGTGAGATGCCAGGGATCGAGCCCAGGTCGACCACATGTAAGGCAGATGCCCTCTCTTGCTGTGCTATTGCTCCAGCGCCTTAGTCCACTCTTGCATGCTGCCTTCAGCCGAAGGGCAAACAGCCCAGATCCCACTCCTCAGTGGATTTGGCCACTGGGAACCACGCCGCACCCCGGGTAACCTGGCTAGGGGGAGTCCAGGCCCCTCCCCACCCAGTGCTCCTCATCCCCAGGAGGCCCGGGCAGTCCTGACCTTCGCCCTGGACAGCGTGGATCGGAAGCTGCTCATGTCCAGCACTAAGGGCCTCTACTCTGATGCTGAGGTACCAGCCCCATCTGGGGGTGGGTGGGAAGGAGAGCCCCTTCCTTAGGTCTCTTCAGGAAGTGGAAGGGAGGAGGTGGTGGTTTTACACTGGGAAGCCACAGAAACCTTTGTGGGAGTTTTCCAGGAAAGCCTTATTGGTGGTCCCTGAAACCCCTCCACTCCAACCCCAAAAGAAAAATAAAAGTTTGCCTGTTTGGGCTACATTTGCAGCACTAGGAGCATCTGCAGCCTGGAGCTCCCATGAATCTCGCAAGTTGTGTCAGTCCAGGTTTGGGGGGACCAGGGGGCCAGCTCAGTGGAGGAGCACTTGCCTTTGCAGGGGTGAGGCCCCAGGTCCCGGAAGCGGAACCGCAGAAACCAGAATGATTTGGGAGTCTCAGAGCCTTGACTAAAATTCTACCCACAAGATGGAAGGTTCTGGAGCGCTCGGGCCTGGGGGTTCTTGCAGGCGTCAGGCCTTCACCACCCAGATCTCCCCTCTGAGAGCAAGGCCCCAGTGGGGACACAGCACCCCACCACACCTGAGTCCGAGTGGGAATATGCCTGGGCTCAGGGAACTGCTGGGGCCAGGTGGGCTGCGGGGTGCAGCGAGGGGCCCACACTGACCACTCTCACGCCCCCCCCCCCCCCCCCCACAGCTCCAGCAGTGTCTGGCCGCGGCCCAGGCGGCCACCCACCATGTCTTCCGCTTCTACCGGGACTCGCTGCAGAGACGTTACTCCAAGAGCTGAGGGGCGCTTCCCCCCATCACCACCCACACTCCCCACAGAATAAACCAGCCCTGTTTCCCCTCTCTACCCCGAGTATCTGATCAGCTGTGGTCTTCGGCTGCCCAGAGCCCGAGCCATAGGACAGCGGGAGGATGCTAGCCTTGCAGGCGGCTGGCTTGGGTTTGATCCTGGACACCCTACAGGGTCCCCGAGCTCTGCCAGGGGTAAGCCCTGAGTACCACTGGGTATGGCTCAAAATGAAAAGAAATCTGGGCTCCTGCCCCAAGTGAGGGGATGACAGTGCCAGCCCCCCAGGAAACATAGATTCCTTATTCCAACTGGTGCCCAGGGCGCCTTTCCAGGAGGACCACCTGTTAGACCAGAAAGCAGGTATGTTAGCAGGGCTGGGGCGAGTTCATGGACCAGAGCATGGGCCAAGAACCCCAGGCTCCAGCCTGGCCCTACATTGTCCCTTGGCACTGTCGGGGGTGGCACAAGCACCAGATGAGGGGGTTGGCGAGATCACGTTTAACACACCCATTGGGTCACTTGATGTGGGAGACACCAGGGATAATCCAGGAGCTGGCTTTCTGGGCCACAAGCCAGGCAGGGGTCTGGGGGGGCGGTGTGGGGCCTGTTCAGGCAGCCTGTGTGGCTGAAGCAGACAGCAAGGACTGGGGTGTCAGGGGCAGGCAGGGGTTCCCGGCCTTAGAGGGCTCTGAGCCTAGCCCCACACATACCAGCTGGGGTAGTACTTGGAGCCCATGAGGGTTTTTTGGTTTTTGGTTGTTTTTTGTTTGTTTTGGAGCCACACCTCAGGGGTTACTTCTCGCTCCTCTGGGGACCGTATGAGATGCTGGGGATCAAACCCGGGTCAGCTATGTGCAAAGCAAGCCCTGTTGTACTATCGCTCTGACCCCTGAGCCCTTGAGTTTTACCCTTGCTGGGTCCCCCACACTTGAGATTTATCAGGATTTCCTCATCTGGCTCAGGACCTCACTCTTGCCCTGGGGGGCTTCCCTGGGTGGGGGGATCCCCCCAGTTAGCCGTCAGAATCGCCTCTAGTGCATGGGGGCAGCCCAGGGTTTTGAACTAGTGACCTTGTGCTTGCCGGTGCTGAGCCACCTTCCTGGTTCCCAGAAGCAATCGGGGCACAAGCCCAGAAGCCTCTGTAGCTCTCCAGCTAGAAGGCGACAGTCGGGAGCAGGTCCCCACAGCATCCCTGCCCTCCCACCCACTGCTGCTCCCACATGGATACTTAAGGATCTGGGTTGGTGGCTGCTGGAGCACCTGCAGAGCTGGGGTGGGGAGCTGGGGGTGTCATTGCTATTTAACAGCCCCCTTGTGTTTCCCAGAACAAGCATCCCAGCCCTTTAAATGTGACTCCCTGTCCCCCGCTCAGCTGCACCTTAAGACCCTCTAGGGTCCTTTTCAGCCATGGACACTGCAGGGCTGATCACACCCCACCCTGCTCAGTTCATGAGATAGAGCACCCCCGTGCAGGAGGGGGTATCGCCTGGGTGCCCCCCCACCTGAACAGGAAGCACATCCTTACCTTCACACCTACAGTCCTCCGCTCTACCAACTGAGCTGTCGAAGGATTCTAGCACATCCTTACCTTCAATTGGCCAGTGATGATGCCGGTGGGCACCGGGTGGGGTGTGGCCCGTTCTAGCAAAATGCCCAGGAGCTGGTGCTTTCGGAGAGCAAGAGAAGGAAAGAGCCTGGCGCCCGCCAGCCTCTGAGCCTGGCCTGCCTTGAGCTCCCCACTGGGGAGTGGAGCCCCCAGAGGACCCAGCATGGAGCCCAGCGCCTTCCTTGAATTTGCACCCCAGCTGCTTTCCCTTCTATGGCCACCAGGGCAGGGGGAATGGGGACAGCCCCTTGCCCCTTGAGGTTTGGGGGAAATGAGTCCTATTTTGGAAAGGACTGAATCTGGCAGGTTTGGTTTAGTTGTTTTGGTGGCTTGGAGGGAGGGGGGGTTGGCCCCGGGCAGGGGGAGAGGGAAAGAGGGGCACTACTGCCGGCTCTGTGCTCAAGAATCTCTCCTGGCAGTGCTGGGGGACCATGCAGTACCAGGGACTGAACTGGGCTGGGCCACGTGTGAGGCCAGAGCTTCACCCCTGCTCTTTCTCTGGCCCCATTATGTACTTTAGAAGCCCTTTTGCCCCTCAGGGCTTGCCAGGAACCCCCTGGGGACAGCCAGTCTCCCTGACCTATCCCTCTATTTTTTTGGTTTTGAGGCCACACCTGAGGTGCGTAGGGATCACTCCTGTCAGTGGTCAGGGGCCATATGGAATGCTGGGTATTGAACCTGGTCGGCCGTGTGCCAGGACCATGTCCCCCTGCCCCCTCACCCCCGCTGTCCTGTTGCTCTGGCCCCAGACCTCTCCCTTCCTTCGCTGCCCCCATTCCCTTCCACGCTGTCCCTAACCCCACAAACATAACAGACACGGATCCAACTGTAAATGCATCTGGAGTTTAATCTTGCGTGGCTGCCAGGAAGAGGAGGGGGTCCGGGTGCTCTGGGTTCCGGATGGTTCTGGAAGCTGCTTTGCCGCCTCATCCACTCAGCTTGGCGAGGCCTCAGCCTCTGGGTTCACAGGGCCTCGGGGGTGACTAGGGCGGGGCCCGGAAGGCCAGGTAGGCCGCCAGGGTCACCAGGGCCGCGGCATAGGTGCACACCCCCAGCCCGACAGCCAGGACCCCCAGCAGGAAGGCGCGGCGGGAGGCAGCCCCGGCCCCCTGGAAATCCCCCTGAGCCCAGGCCTTGTTGGTCTGTGGAGGGGTTGGGGGCAATCATTCATGCCTCCCCAACCCATCCACTTTGCTTCTCCCTGGCCCTACCTCACCCTGACACCAGGCACCGGGACACAGGTGATGAATGAAAACATCTGTGTATGTATTCATAAGCCCCTGTCCCAACACATCTGAGCTTCCCAGGAGCCTCTAGTTGGGAATTCTGCCCATTTTACAGATGAGGACACTGAGGCCCAGAGAGGTGCTGTTTAGACTTCTGAGTTTGGGCTCTGCCACCTCCGGCTGTCCCCATGAGACTCTTTCATCCTGGAATTTGCCTATGGGATTCCTTCTCCCTCCCTCCGTTCCCCCAAGCAAGACCCGTTGGGTTTTTCTTTTTTTCTTTTCTCGTTTTTTGGGGAGGCGGGCAACACACCAGGCCCCTAAGGTTTTTTGGTGGTTTTTTTTTTTCTGAGGGGGGGTGATGCTCAGGGGTTCCTCCTGACTGCATTCAAGAATCACTCCTGAAGACCATATGGGATGCTGGGGACTGAACCCAGGTCGGCCGCATGCAAGGCAAGCACCCAGCCTGCTGTACTATTGCTACTATTGCTCCGGCCCCTAAACAAGGTTTTTCTCCTTCATCTTGAATCCACTCGTGCTCCCACCTCCCAGACTGACCTTCTGGGCCAGGCAGAAGGCAGTGATGCCCACGGGCCAGAAACAGCACAGCATGGAGAAGACAGCCAGGCCAACGTGGTCGTGGGGCTCGAGTGGGGTCACAAGGTCACCCTCGTCCCAGTCCGAGTCACTGTCGCTGGAGGATGTGTCCTGCAGGCGGGAGAAAGCCTGGGTGTGTGTCACATGCCTCCTCTTGCCTAGTCTTTGCTCCCTATAACCCCTCTTTGCCCACTCCTTGCTTCCCATAGCCCCCAAAACCAATCATACACACACACGCACACACACACACACACACACACACACACACACACACACACACACACGGCAGAGAGGAAGCTGCAGCTCCTGTTCCCAGAGATAAGCCCCTTCTCCACCCCTTCAACTCCCAGGACGTGATGGGTCAGATCACGCGAGTTACGGACCAGGATACTATCTCCCACCAGAACCTGCAGAGAAGGGGACATTGAGGCCAGAGATGTAGTACAGAGGGGAGGGCGCTTGCCTTGAACGTGGCCAAACCAGGTACTATCCCCAGCATCCCATATGGTGCCCCAGGGCCCTCCAGGAGGAAACCCTGAGCACTGCCAGTGTGGCCCAAAAACCAAGAAAGAAAGAAAAAGGGATGTCAGGGATGTCTGGAGAGCAGCTCTTTGGCCTGCCCATGATCTGCCCACACTGACTTTTTGATACAAGATCCTCACCGAATTTTTTTTTCCCCTGGGGATCACCACCTGGTATTACTCAGGGTTTACTCCTGGCTCTGCTAAGGAATCATTCCTGGTGGGCTCTGGGCACATGTGATGCCAGGATTGGACAGCTGCGTGCAAGGCCAGTGCCCTACCTGTGGTGTGCCCTATCTGTGGCTCTCTTTCTCTGTCTCTGTCTCTTGCTCTCTTGTGTTTTAGAACCAGAACGATGGCCCTGGGACATGCACATGTCTTGCATAAGTGAACCCTGGGGTTCCATCCCCAGCTCAGTTCTCCCTCTCCCAGGCAGTGCCAGGTGTGAGTTTGGTGGCCTCATCTGCCATATATATAACTTACATACCTCATTGATTTTGGGGGGGGGGGGTTACAACCAGCGATGCACAGGGGTTACTCCTGGATCTGCACTCAGGAATTATGCCTGGCGGTGTTCAGGGGACCATATGGAATGCTGGGAATAGAACCCGGGTCATCCGCGTGCAAGGCAAAAGCCCTACCTGCTGTGCTATCTCTCCAGCCCTACCTCATTGATCTTGTATCAAATACCTTACAAGGATCTTTGGAGGGGCCTCTACGCAGTGCTCAGGAGATCCTGTGGGGGCGTGGAGGTGGCACTAGCTAGTCTTGACCAGCCGGGCAGCTGGTTCAGCATGAGTGTAATACTGCGAACTGGAAAACTAGTAGGTTGGGCATTTTTGCCTTGCATACTGCCAAGTCATGTTGTATCCCTGGTATCCTCTGGGGTCTCCTGAGCACTGCCAGGTGTGATTCCTGAGTGCAGAACAAGGAGTAAGCCCTGAAAACTGCTGGTGTGGCCTCAAAAGAATGTAGTGCTGTTTGGGCCCTGCAGAGCTGGTGGCACCCAGGCCTCCTGGCAGTGCCCCAGCCTGCAGGACTGTATACCCATGGTGCTGCTTGAATCCGGGTTGTGCACACTGGCCAGGTGCCCTGGCTGCTGTGCTCTCTCCCAGGCCCTGAAGACAGTTTGATTTTGGGGTGATAAGGAACTTCTCCCAGCTCTGGGGCTATGAATTGCTGGGGACTGAACCCAAAACTGCATGCGAAGTGTGTGCGGCCTGTTGAGTTGGTTGACCTACTCTGCAAGATTGCTTTTTAAGGGTTTTTTTTTTTTTTTTGGTTTTGGGGCCACACCTTGCAATGCTCAAGGCTTCCTCCTGGCACTGAGCTCAGGAATCGCTCCTGGTGGGCTCAGGGGACCATATCTAGTGTTGAGGAACGAACTGAGGTCAACTGTGTACAAGGCAGACGCCCTGTCCATTGGACTATCATTCCAGCCCCACCCTGCATGATTTAAAAGTTACCACAAGGCCAGAAAAGAAGGGATAGTCCTGGAGGGCAGAGAAAGACCCCTTCTACCTGGCAGGCATTTGCAAGTCCCAGAAAAAGGAATCTTCTAGTCAGACCTCGAACTAGATTAAAAAATGATTTCCCTAGCTTCTGGATGCTCCTGGCACTCCCCCCCCAACCCCCTTTCCATTAACGCGCAGCTCCTACCTCAAGGTCAGGGGCCCTTGGCTCCCCCAGGCCAGCGCTCACGGAGGGAAGTGGTGGTAGGCACGGCCAGGCCCTCAGTGACTCAAAGATTGCCTCCTGGCCCAGCTCCATCTCACCAGGCTTCCAGATGGGGAATTCGCAGCTGCCAGCATCCACCAGCAGAGGCTGCTGGAGCTCTTGTAGACTGGAGCTGTCCATGCCAGAGGGACTTCCTGGAGGAAGAGGAAGCAAACTGTCAAAGTCTCACCATTCTTGCCCTGCCTGCTTGAGAGAGAGGTGCAGGACAGGGGCCAATGAGCATCGCCCTCGGCCCATTTTACAGGTGGTAAAAATTGAGGTCAAGAAAAGACAAGGCCATCTGGGGATGTGCCAAGAACTCTGGGCATTTGCCCTGCCCTACCACGGGCTCTCCCCAGGGAAACTCCACCTACCTGTCACACACTTACCCCAAACCAGTGTTTTCCAAATTGGGAGATAACACGTCCCGAGGGGTGCTGAAATGATGGGGCCAGCAGTCTCCTGAGCAAATGGAGGGGTACTTTCTGTTTGTTGATTTAAAGGGGAGTTTTTTTGTTTTGTTTTGTTTTTTGTTTTTTTCTGAAAAGGGGAGACAGCCAAGGAGGTAAGACAGAGGTCAAGGCATCTGCCCTGCAAGCGGCTGACCCAGGCTCAGTCACCAATACCCCAGAGAGTCCCAGGCCCCTGCCCCAAAAGAAGGAAAATAAGGGAACAGAAGGCCAAATGAGTTTGGGAATCCCACCTCCAAAGGTACAGTGGACCAGACACACGAATTCAGAGCTCTGTGCCCCCAGACCTGCACTCCCTATCTCTCTCCTTGCCTCCCAGGCAAGTCCCCCCGCCCCCGCTGCCTGGCACCACACACGGGTCCCCAAGACTCACCTGCCCCAAATAACTGCTCTTATGAAACTCCCCATCAGCGCCCAAACCTCCTCTTTATTATTATTATTATTATTATTATTATTTGCCTTTTGGGTCACACCCGGCGATGCTCAGGGGTTATTCCTAGCTCTGCACTCAGGAATTAATCCTAGCGGTGCTTGGGGAACTAAATGGGATGGCAGGGATCGAACCTGGGTCAGCCGAGTTCAGGGCAAGCACCCTTCCCACTGTACCATATCTCCAGCCCCTTATTTTATTTTTTAGTGGGTCACATTTGGCATTGCTCAGGGCTTACTCCTGGCTCTGCACTCAGGATTTACTACTAGTGGTGCTCTCTCTTGGGGATCATGTGGGATGCTGGGGATCCAACCCGGGTCAACCACATGCAAGGCAAACGCCCTCCCCTCCACCATCTATAGCCCAGCCCCAAACCTTCTAACACATCCCAGTGACGCCCATACCCCCCAGCATCACATGCCCCTCTTGACCCTTCCTTTGCACCCAAACATGCTTCGGGATCCCCTCCCCACTGGTGTCAAATCCAAGACCCCACGGGGCTTCCTGCCCATCCCCCAACTCCCCAGAACCCGAGTCTAAGCAGAATCCAACTTTGCATCCTTCCTTCTCCCCAACACGCTCCTCCCGGGGACACAGACACGGCCCTGGAGTGGCCCCCACGCTTCCGGCCCTCACGTCAAGCCCGGCTGGAGGCCGTTTCCTCCCCAAGGCTCAGAATCCCAGCACCCGGACCCCGGGGAGGGGCGGTGTCCCCGCCTCCGCCTGTCACTCACCGGTCCCAGGCCCCCTGCACTGACGCGGCCCTGGAGCTCGGGGTGGAGGCGCTCACTGAACCCCGCTTTCCTTCTCTGGGCACTCAGGTCCGGGGATGCTGGAGAGGTTGGGGCGCGCTTGCTGGAGGTCCCCCAGCAGCGCGCGGGGGCGGGGGTGGGGGCGGTCCCGCGGCCTGGGCGGGGCCTGGGGGGCTGTGAATGCTGATGGAGTCTCAGGATCTTGCGGGTCTTTGCATGCACCCCCCGGCCGGTACCCAAGACGTCGTCTCCTGTCCTCCAGGGCCTTCCTGGCGCGGCCCTGCCTCCCCCACCCCAGGAATGAGGCTGTGTGCACGCACACGCGCTCCCGCAGCTCGTCTCTCCCCCGGTCCGCGCGCGGCTGGCGGCGCCTGCATCCTTCCGCGCAGCCCTATGCCCGCCCCTCGTGCCGGGAAGAAACCGAGGCCCAGATCAGCAGGGGCTGCAGGGGCCGCGGATGCCCCTTCCGGCCCCAGGCGAGGCAGAGGTGGGGTGCACAGATTCTTGGGATTCAGTCCAGGCGACTCTTAGGAGTCGCGGTGGGCACCCATAGGCGCCTGAGTGGCCTTTACTGGCTTGAGGCGCTTGCCATGATCTCTGCGTAAAATACCCACCTCTCTGAACCCCAATTTTATTTCAGGTACGGAGCAGGGCACTGGAACCACATCCAAGCAGGGCTCAGGGGTCGCACCTGGCGATCAGGAGGTGCTGGCATCGAGCCTGTGTCTGCATTACCATGCAAGCCCCCTTTTTGTTTTTGCTTTGAGGCCTCACCTGGCGGTGATCCGGGCGATTCCTGGCTCTGTGCTCAGGAGCGACCACTCCTGGTGGGGCTGGGGGACCGTTTGAGGTAACAGGATGGATCAGGATCAGCAGTATACAGAGCAAAGACCTATGCCCTGTACTCTTTTCCTGTCCTGCAAGGGAGGCACCTCAGCCCCTGTGCCCAGAACCCCAATTCCTTTATTGATTACATGGGGTAAATGATCTTTGTTTGATAGACGTGGCAACATACAGGAACTTGCAATAAAGCCTTTTCATTAGGCAGATAACCAAGCCCAACATTTGCCCAAAGAAAAGCACTTGGAGCCTGAAGTTGTGAATAACTCGGGTTTCCACCATCTCCGTTAGTCTGATTAGGGGACCCTCCCTCCTCCCTCCACACACCCTCACCCATTGTCATGGAATTCCCCTTGCAGAAGTCCTGGGGCAAGGGCAGCTGGGCAGGCAGGAGGATTTCCCTCCTGATGGGAGGCCAGCCAGAGTTCCTACTGCCACAGGGCTCAAGGGCTCCGAGCCAGGAGTCCAGAAGCTGGCACTGGCGCTGGCTCCATCCCCACTCCCAAGTGAGCAGATGGTTTCTGCATGTGCACTTGGCTCAGCCAGGATTTCTGGCAGATGGGCAGAGCCCAGAGGGTGGATGACAGGGGACAGGGCAGGGCATCTGGGTGCCCCACCTCAGCGTTCCCCGCAGCTCCCCCTCACGCCGATTTTCCCGTCACTCATCACCATGAAACATACACATTCCTGCAGTTTGTACTGGGAATCGGCCCTGCCCCAGGGTTTCCCCGGGATCCACCCCAGATTGTCACCTGAGCCTGCCAGGAGTGTTCCCTGAGATCCCTTTCCTACCTATTTGGGGGTGGGGACATGCATTCCCCAGTTTCCCTAGGGGTCCTTTTGTTCCCCTAGAGGACCCTGGAGCTCCATTCATTTCCTGTTACTTCGCTGTACCCACCATCAACCTCAAGCTCTCTCTTTCTCTGTGGGATGAGAGGTTGACAAGAGATTCCTAGAGTCTTCGATAGACATAGCAGGGAAGTGGCACTCCTGGTTGCATAGCAAGTTTGCTGAAGAACGTGGTGTTTTCTGGGTTTGAGGACCACACTCAGCAGCGTTGGACAACTCCCCCTGACAGTGCTCAAGGAACATCTGAGCCAGGGTCAAACCAGCCCAGAGCTATAGTCCAGCCTTGCATGCTGCCTACCTGGGTTTGATCTCAGACACCACAAATGATCTCCTGAGCCCCACCAGGTGTGATCCCTGGACACTACCTGGGTGTGGCCCCAAAAAACAGCGCCTGAGAGATCATCAGGTAGGGCACTTGCTAGCACGGGGCTGACTCAGGTTTGATTCTTGGCATCCCAGATAGTCACTTAAGATTGCCAGAAGTGAGTGATCCCTGAGCACAGAGCCAAGAATCAGTCCTGAGCAGAGACAGTTGTGGCCCCCAAACAAAACAAATAAACCACAAAAAGAGAGAGAGAGAGAAACAAAGAAACAAACAAACAAACAAACCAGAGTTGGCAGCATACAGGGCAAGAGCTTTCAACCTTTCTGGCCACTGGAAGGCGCCCTCGTCTATACCCACAGTCCAGGAGCCCACTGCAGTCTAAAGTCTACACCACAAAGGCTGGTACATCTGGCCTCATCAGGGGAATGGGTAGCTCAGCGCTAATGGAGCCTCTCAATGCTGCAGCCCAAGCCACTCTTTTACTTCATCTGCTCCGGGAACAGTGATATCTGTAGGGCTGGGGAGATGGCTATGAGGGTTGGCGTGAGTGTATGTGCGTGTATGTGTGTGTATGTTGGTTTGTTTTGATTTGGGGGCCACACCTAGCTTGTGCTCTGGGGGTGCTTACTCTCAGCTCTGTGTCCAGGGATCCCCCTGAAGGTGCAGAGATTGAAGCTGGGACAGCCATGTGCAGGGCAAACACTTTATCTACTGTACTAGCTCTCCAGCCTCAGGATTGTAGGATTGGTGTGCAGGAGGCACTGCCTGGCTCCCTGAGCACTGAGCCATGTGCGGTCACTGAGCACCATCAATTGTGGCCCAAATTAAAGAACAAGGGTCTGGGGGGCTGGAGCGATAGCACAGCGGGTAGGGCATTTGCCTTGCACGCGGCCGACCCGGGTTTGATTCCCAGCATCCCATATGGTCCCCCGAGCACCGACAGAAGTAATTCCTGAATGCAGAGCCAGGAGTAACTCCTGAGCATTGCTGGGTATGACCCAAAAAGAAAAAAAAAAACCAAGAGGTCAGAGTGATAATAAAGTGAGAGGGCATTAGCCTTGCATGTGGCTGACCCAGGCTTGATACCTGCCTATCTCATATGGTCCCCTGAGCATCACCAGCAGTGATTCCTGAATGCAAAGCCAGGACTAACTCCTGAGCATTGCTGGGTATGACCCAAACCCAACCCCCCACCCCTGCCAAAAAAAGAAAGAACAAGAAGACATTTGCAGCATCATGGCGTTGACATATGTGTCTCTGGGCAAGGGGTGGTCACGTGGGCTAGACTTACACAATCTGCTAGTCCATCTCCAGAGCTCTGATGACCCACCAGCAGAAATATGTGCATTGGGCCTCCAAGACGGAGATCAAAGACAGCCTAACCCGGCCCTGCTGATCCCTGGGGCTGTGAATCCAAAACATCTGAGGCCCTGGAGCCCCTGTTCACTACCAGAAACTACCCAGGAGCCCGTCATGAGCATCAGGGCTCCCTTTTGTGATAAACGATGATTGGAGGAACATGATGTTTATAACTCTCGTGTGTTCATTTGTTGCCTTGTACACGTCCGACCTGGGTTTGATCCCCGGCATCCCATAAGGTCCCCCAAGCACTGCCAGGAATAATTCCTGAGTGCAGAGACAGGAGCAACCTCTGAGCATCGCTGGGTATGGCCCCCAAACAAAGCAAACAAAAAACCACAATCTAGTGTTTTTGCAGTGATGACTTATTACAAAATGGAAAATGGGAAAAGCTTAATAGTACAGCAGGTGGAAAATTTGCCTTGCATATTGCTGTCCTAGGTTTGATCTTGGTATCCAAGAGTAATCCCTGAGCATTGCTGGGTGTGCCCCCCAAAAAATACTCCCTTAAAAATGGAAAAGAGGGCTGGAGCAAGAGCAATAGCACAGCGGGTAGGGCGTTTGCTTTGCACATGGCCGACCCATGTTTGACCCCGAGCACCGCCAAGAGTAATTCCTGAGTGCATGAGCCAGGAGCAACTCCTGTGCAACACCAGGTGTGACCCAAAAAGAAAAAAAAAAGGAAAAGAGAGGTCAAAGTGATAAAACAGTGAGTAGGGTGTTTGTCTTATAGGTAGTTTACCTAGGTTTGATCCTTGGCACCACATATCAGTAGGAGTGATCCCTGACCACAAAAGTAGGAGTAAGCCCCTCAGCACTGCTGGATGTCACCCCAAAACAAAAATTTTAAAACTTTCAGAGAAGTCTGAGAGCTAGTACAGTGGTAAGGGTGCTTGCCTTGTACCCCCGACACCTCATAAGGTCCCCAAGCCCCCAGAAGTGACCCCTGAGCACAGAGCCAGAAGCAAGCCCCTGAGCACTTCCAGGTGTTGCCCAAATATATAGAATAAATAAAGAGGACAGAGAGACAGTACAGAGGTTACAGCACTTGCATTGCATGTGATTGTGGGTCAGGAACCTGTTGACATCCACAGCAATATGTGAGATCCCCAGAGCACAGATCCAGGGCTGGTGACAACAAAATTCTCTGATAGAATCAGACAGAACTATGATTTTGCCCTAGTGTTTTTTTTTTTTTTTTTGCTTTTTGGGTCACACCCGGCGATGCTCAGAGTTACTCCTGGCTCATGGACTCAGGAATTGCTCCTGGCGGTGCTCAGGGGACCATATGGGGTGCTGGGAATTGAACCCGTGTCGGCCATGTTGGCTGCGTGGAAGGCAAACGCCCTACCCACTGTGCTATCGCTCCAGCCCCTTGCCCTAGTTTTTTAATCTTTTTTAAAAATGTGTTTTGTTGACACACTGGCAATGCTCAGGGGTTACTCTGGCTCTGAGCTCAGGAATTACTCTGGGTTGTGCTCAGGGGACCGTATAAGGTGCTGGGGATGGAACCTGGGCGGGCTGCATGTAAGGTAAACACAGTACCTGCTGTACTATCTCTCTGGCCCCTAGTTTCTTCACCTTAAATAAGACTGATAGTACTAACACTGTGGGCTCTAAGGATTAAAGGACATCACACATACAAAAGGTTTAGTTTGCAAGAGCCAGTACAAAGAATGCAGTAAAGAAATGCGGCTTTGGGTCGGAGTGATAGTACAACAGGGACGGTGTGATAGTACAGCAGTGCCTTGCACACAGCTGACCTGGGTTTCATCTCCGGCATCCCATGTGGTCTCCTGAGCACCTCCAGGAGTGATTCCTGAGTGCAGAGCTATGAGAAACCCCTGAGCATTGCTGGGTATGACCAAAAAAGCAAACAAACCAAACCAAAACAAAACATGGCTTTCAAGTAGGTTCATCCCTGAAGTATTATCTTATTGGATTATTTTTTTATATATTAATAAACCTATTGAACTTGGAGCTGGTGGCTGACATTTGTAATTCCCATTGTGTTAAAAATAATAACAGGGAGTCAACCTGTACCCATGGGTCGAGTGCATCAGCATCAGCAGCTTGATGGTGCCTTCAGGCTTCCTGATACCCCCAAATCTGGCCACTGTGCCTCTGGCCAGACCCTAACAACTCGGGACCAAGTTTCCCAAGAAATTAAATAGCCAAAAGTTAGGTATGTGGGAGCCATGCCCAACAAAACCACCTCCAGTTCAGCTATACAAGCTCATTTATCGGCCTGGTTTCAGAAACCCATGAATTTCAAAAGAGATCAAAAGTCACAGTTAATCTTGCACCTGTAGAAGGCTGAACAGACAAGGGTAAATCAGAGTGAGGCAGGTCAGCCTGGTGCCTGCCCAAGCAGAGCCCCTGGCAGCTGCTTGCTCCCACAATCCAAAATCACTGCCATGCCCCTAGCCAGATTCCACCGCCTCTGGATAGACCTCACCAAGATATTAACCTGTTGAAAATTCAGATATGCGGGTTTTGTGACTGAAATCTCCAAGCTTTCTCAGAGTCGGTTTGAGCTACCTCCCCCCAACCCCCCACTTCCCCACACTCCTGGAAGCACTGGCAGTCACCCTCAATGAACCAACTCCAGTGCCATGTAAGCTCTTCTACTTGCTTCAGAGACCCATAAATAAATCTCGAAAGAGATCAAAAGCTGCAGTTAATCTCAGACCTGGGCAAGGCTGAACAGACTGGGGTAAATCGGAGGAAAAGGATCAGTCTGGTCCCCACCCAAACAGAGGCCCTGGAAGCTACTTCTCCCACAATCTGAAATCATGGTCATGCACCCAGCCAGACTCCACCATCTCACGATGAACCTCACCAAGATATAATCTGCTGAAAATTCGGGTATGTGGGTTTTGTGACTGAAATCTCTAGTCTTTCTTGGGGGTCAGGATAAGCTACCTCCCTGAACTTCTAGAAACCTCGGCAGTCACATCCACACCCAGTTAAGAAAAGTTCCTTTACCCTTACCTTCCAATAAAAATACTGAATAAACATGATGACCTCTTAGTATCTGTATTGCAAACCATAATGCATAAAAGGAGAGATAGAAAGAAGAAAAGTGCCTGTCACAGAGGAATTCTGGGAGGTGGATGAGAGGGAAACGGGGGACATCGGTGATGAGAAATTTACACTGGTGGAGGGATGGGTGTTGGATCATTGTATGATTGAAACCTAATCATGAACAGCTTTGTAATGGTCTATCGTGGATATTCAATAAAAAAAAACAGTAATAACAAATGAGGCTGGAGAGATAGTATAGAAATTAAGGCAATTGCCTTGCAATGCAGCTGACCCAGTTTCAATCCATGGCAGGGCATAGTTCCCTGATCATACCGGGATGACCCTTGAGCATTGTTGGTTGTGGCAGTTACAACCCCTTCCCTCTAAAATAACTAATGGGTTCCCTTTGTTTTGGGAGAGTTTTGGGGAGGCCACAAATGGCCATGTTCAGGGATTACTCCTAGCTCTACACTCAGAGCTTGGTGCTCCTTGGGGTGCCATACAGGATGCCAGAGTTCAAACATGGGTTGGATGCATGCAAGGCAAAACCCTACCACTGTCCTATCTCTCCAGTCCCTAAATTGTCTTTGGAACTTTTCTGTAAGGAAAAAGAAGCAAGGACCAAGCCACCCACACTCAACCAGTGGATGCGGGTTAGAGTGATAGGACAGTGGGGAGATGTTTGCCTTGCACTTGTTTGCCTGCGGCTGACCCAGGTTCCATCACTGGCATCCTATATGGTCCCCTGAGCACCACCAGGATAACTCAGTTGCAGAGCCAGGAGTAACCCCTGAGTATCTCCGGGTGTTACCCAAAACGTAAAAAAAAAAAAAATAAAACCCAACCCAAAAACCAACAGGTAGATGCACCTCCTCAAGCTTTCAGCACCACTGACTCATTCACGCTGTGTTCCATCCCCACCCCCCCACACCTCACTATTGCACAGTGATGAGAACCGAGACTCAGAGCCTTTGCAGGGTCACAAGACCTGTTACTGGCAGTCTAATTTGCAAGAATCGGACTTTCCGCAGAAAAAAAGATTTGGGTTCCTCATTTCTCATGCCCCTTCCCCTCCGGCTCCCGACTCCTGCACCCACGTTGCTCAGAACTGGGCTGTACTTCTGAGAAGGAAGTTAGATTTATCAGGCCTCAGGAGCCTTCGGAGAACTGAAAAAGGGAAGGGCACCTACACTCTCCAATTTCTCTGAATGAGGATTTTGATTTTGAGTTTTTTTTTTTCCAGTTATGAAGTAGGAAGATGTACATAACCACCTGAGGGTGATTCTACTTCCTCTTGGTTCAAGTCTCTGGGTTGTGGCCGGAGTCAGCGACGACAGGCGCACGGCGCATACAAGGATTTGCTTATTTTGAGAAGAGTACTTCAACTTTTCTCAGCCACACTCAACATGGCAGCCGTCCCAGCCACGCCCCAAATGGCGAAGGAAGAGACGTCATCCATCACAATTAACCCGCCCCCAAGCGGAGAGCTAGTGCCAATCAGTTACTCAGAGGGCGGGCTCAAGACGAAGAATTGGCCGCCGTTGCCCCAGCAACCAGCAACCACCCAGGAGCCCGGAGGCGGGCGCGGTTTCGGAAGGTTCCGCGCCTCAGCTTACTCGTGGTTAGGAAGGTGCTGGGAGAGGCGCAAGCCTGTCCTGGAAGGTCAGCGCCCGCAGAGAGAAGGACGGGCCAGACCCATGAACTACAATCCCTGACGCCGCTTTGGCCCTTCCTAACCGTTAGGAGCGCGGAGGTAGGAGAAACGCATGCGCGGAAAGCGCGGCCTTGGAGGCGGCCCTGCCCTCAGAACGCATGCGCCGCGTCGAGTGTGCCTGCTCGGCCGGATGGGGCGGGGCATTGGGCTTGGGGGCGGGGCCACGGCCCTCGGGGCGGGGCTTTGCGCGCAGTCCGTGGAAGTGTTTGTTTTGCGGGGATGGGGAATGAGTCGAGTTAGATGCCAACTTTTCAGCTCAGCCTTCCTTCTTTAGGGTTTCCCCGAGGTGGGAGCACCGCTAATCCCTCCGCGTGGTTTGAGGGAGCGAGCTTGCATTCCTTGCTCTGTCTCTGGCTCGGTGGGCATCAATTTCACCATCGGCCAGAGAGAGTTATAATTATACCCTCCTTACCGCACAAGACTGTGATTTTATTTTTCCTCTTTCAGGGCCATGGCTGAGGTTCACGTGATCGGGCAGATCTTGGGGGCTACCGGCTTCTCAGAAAGCAGCCTTTTCTGCAAGTGGGGCATCCACACAGGTATTCCTGTTGCTCGGCTCACTCACCCACCAGACCCCCAGCCTAAGGACTCCATCCTTCTTTACCTTCTGTTCGGAGCCCCCGATCGTTACATGCTCAGGGTCTCAGCACTCCTGGCTTGACCACACTTTCTGAGGCTCAGGCTTTCTCCTAATCTTTTTCCCATTTCATTCCCCCCCAACCCACTCCCCCTTTTGGAAATAGGAAAGTTTGTTGAAAAGTAGGAGAGGAAAGATAACTTCCCAGCTGGAGAGGAACTTAGTATAGGACCAAGTTTCCATTCCGTTCCTGGAGGTATAGGACTAAATATATATTGCTTATATATATATATAACTCACACGTGGAAGGGTGTGAGTTCCCATGCCATTTCTGGGGACCCTAGCTCTTCCTTTCTGAATGCAGAACCCCTAAGGACTATAGATAGACTAGTACCCCATTCTCCCAGTTCTTACAGCTGAGCCCTGGAATCTGAGAGAGAAAACAGATTAAGGCACTTACCTGGTTTGTACATAGTGAACCCTCATTAGATCCCTGAGCACTGTCAGGAGTGACCCCTGAGCACAGAACCAGGAGCAAGCCCTGAGTACCACTTGCTGTTGCCCACCCCTCCAACCCTTTCACCCCCACCCCCCCACCCCAAAAAATAACACCCATGAGCCCTAATTCAGCCATTTGGGCTTCATTCACCTTCTTAGGAATGACTGGGAGTCCTTCAAAACCTTAATTCTGTACATTTTGGGTGATAGGTGGTGGTTCTTGGGAGCTACTCCCGGATTTGTGCCTTGGAGTCACTCCCTGAGGTGTTCAGGGTTCCATGCAGTACAGGTGATGGATCTGGGGTGGGTTGTATTCACAGCCCCACTGGGCCCCCATCATGGAAACAAGGGTTCAGCACACAGTAGGTCTTCTGTGAACGTTCTCGTGGTAAGGGGCCAAGTCACTGTCTTTCCCAAAGTCTGCTTCTTTACCCCTGAAATGGGGTCATGCCATCACCCACCTCCTAGGATCATTGGTTTGTCCTGGAGCTGGGCTGGAGTTACTGAGGATCCAGCCAGAGTTCTAACTGTCCAGGCCGCTCATAGCTGGGGAGACAGTGCGAATAAACCGATGAAGTGTGTGCAGTTGATGGGGTGGGGAACCAGGAAGAAGGGGAAAGATACTGAGATCAGGGTAGACTTGACGATGGGAGGATGAGAAACTGAAACCCTCTGAGAAAGTGGCCCTCAAGAGGAGAGTTGCAGATCCTGAAAAGATGGGGAAAGCCAGGCCTGGGACCATGAAGGGCCAGAACTTTCCTTTTTTTTGTTTTTTTTTTTGTTTTGTTTTGATTTTTGGGTCACACCCAGTGATGCTCAGGCTTGCTTCTGGCTCTGCACTCAGGAATTCCTCCTGGCAGCACTCTAGGAACCATATGAGATCCTGGAGATTGATCCCGGGTTGGCTGCATGCAAGGCAGACGCCCTTCCTACTGTACTTTCCCTCTGACCTTGAGGGCTAGAACTTTCTAGGCAATAGGGACAGCTTGGAGGAGCACTGAGAAGCAGGCAGAGAGAGCTGGGGAGGCCACAGAGGGTAAGGAGGGCAGGAGAGAGGGTAGGAAATGAGTTCAGAAATTGGGGCTGTGGGACTGAAGTGATTGTACAAGGTGGGGGCGGAGAGGGCACTTGCCTTGCATGTAGCTGACCAGGATTCAATCCCCGGTGTCCCATATGGTCCCCAATGACCCCCCACCCCAACCACGCCCAAAAAAAAGAAGAAAGAAGGGGCATGAACCAAGCCACACAGGGCACTGGAACATATAGGGTAGAGAGAGAATTTCCCTAAGTCCTCTGGGTTCTTGAGGCTGGTGTGGCAGTGAAGTCCACATCGGGCAGATGGGTAGAAGAGAGGAACTCATTTAATTACAGACATCTGGAGGCTCCAAGCTGGGGTTCTAAAGCCAGTGGGGCAAAAGGAGGGTGTCTGCCAAGTATCTATCTATCTGTCTATCTCTCATCTCCCCTGCGCCATGGATGGGACGGGCCTGGGACTCCCGGGACAGAGGAGGAGCACTCACATGATTGGGGTGGGGGGGACTCGGATGATGAAGACCAGATGCTGGGGAATGAGCTGTTTGCCCTGCAAAGAGATTTCTCTCATAGAATGACTTTCCTGCAAACCTCCGCCAGCTCTCTGTGCTCAGATCTGTCCCATGGCTTTCCTATTTCCCTTTGCGAGATCACTGGGTTTTCCTTAGAACACCATGTACTTAACTTTCTTTTCCCCTAACCAGAAAAAAAATAAAAATGAAAACCAATCCAGCTCGGGTTCCTATACCTTCTCCTACAGAAAACACTTATCTTTCTTTACACATGGACTTTTTCCTTATCATTTCTGTTAACTTTAATTGCACACTTAAATTAGAATTTTTTTAGGGGGTATACCACACTCAGGAATCACTCCTGGTGAGCCTCAGGGACCAGATGGGATACCAGGGATTGAACTCAGGTCGGCAGCATGCATGCAAGGCAAACATTCTGCCCACTGTACTATCACTCCAGTTCCCTTAATTTAGAATTCCTTTTTTTTTTTTTCCCGCTTTTTGAACTACACCTGGCAGTGCTGAGAGGTTACTCCTAGATCTGTACTCAGGATTTACTCCTGGTGGTGCTTGGGGACCACCAGGGCTGGAGTGATAGCACAGCGGTAGGGCGTTTGCCTTGCATGCAGCCAGCCCGGCAGAGCCGGGTTCGATTCCTCAGCCCCTCTCGGAGAGCCTGGCAAGCTACTGAGAGTATTCAATATGCCAAACACAGTAACAAGAAGTCTCACAATGGAGACGTTACTGGGCCCGCTCGAGCAAATTGAGGTGCTTGGGGACCATATGGAATGCTGGGTGGGTCACATGCAAGGCAAATGCCCTACCCACTGTACTGTTGCTCTGGCCCCCTTAACTTAGACTTCTTAACCCTTAGGAACCTTCATGTCTTCTTTTCCTTCTTTCCATGAGGACAAGTTTGGGTCACACCTAGCAGTGCTCAGTGGTCACTCCCAGCTCTGTGCTCAAGGATTACTCCTAGTACTTGGGAGACAAAGTGGTGTTTGGAGTTCAGCTGCCCCTCCTGCATGCATAGAATGATCGCTAGCCTGGTGAGCTTGTTGGCTGTGAAGAGCCATAGTTTTTGGAGAGGGTGGGGGTCCGTGTTGGGGCCACAATTGGTGCTCAGGAGCTAGTCTTGGCTGTGCTCAAAGTCATGTTTTTTGATTTGGTTTTGTTTTTGTTTAGGGGTCACACCCAGCGATGTTCAGATGACTCCTGGCTCTGCACTTAGGAATTACTCCCAGCTGTGCTTGTGGGACCATATGGGATGCTGGGGATCGAACTTGCGTCCACAAATGCCCTCCCCCCTGTGCTGTCGCTCTGGCCCCTTAACTGCTCTTTCTAGCTGGGTCATCTGCTTCTTCCTAATACAGTTGTTTGAGGTGGCACACAGTCTATATAGTAATAGGCCAAGCTTTCTTGTTAATCTCCTGCAACAAGAAGCCAGAAACAAATCTTAAGTTGAGTAATTTCATGTTTCAGCAGTTTGTTTTATTTGGGAATCATCTGGATAGTCAGTGACTTTCCGACATTTAACTTCGCAAAACTAAAGTTTCAAGTTACCAAAAACATCTGAGAGATGGAACAAAACTGTTGCTGACATTCCCTTACAGAGTCTCACCCAACTCCATCTCTGGAAGCTGTTTACCCCCAGCAGTGAGAGATCGGTGGGGCTTAGCGAGCAGGCTTACCTGACCAGGGAATTCCAGCCTGGCGTTTCCGGGTTGAAAGTGCAAGTAAGTCTCCCATTAATAGACTTGGTTTGGTGATGCAGGTTTAGCACCAGCAACTCGGTTTTGAGCCTGATGTCTCTTGACGCTAGTCAAGGTACTTCCCAACACCAAACCGGTTCTGGGGCCAGAGCGATAATACAGTGGGGAGGGCATTCTCCTTGGATGCAACCAGCCTGGTTCGATCCCCAACACCCCATCTGGTGTCCCAAGCCCGCCAGGACCCCAAAATCAAAAACAAACCAACAAAACCCAAACCAATTTGTATTCTGGATTTTTTTTTAAATTTTTTGGACCACACCCAGCAGTTTTCTGGGATTACTCCTGGCAGTGCTCTGGGGACCCTCTCTGGTGCCAGGGATTGAACTTGGGTTTGCCACATGTAAGGCCAACCTTACCTACAATATTATCTCTATGCTTGCTTGCTTGCTTTTCCTTCCTTCCTTCCTTCCTTCCTTCCTTCCTTCCTTCCTTCCTTCCTTCCTTCTTTCCTTCCTTCCTTTCTCTCTTTCTCTCTTTCTCTCTTTCTCTCTTTCTTTCGAGGGGGGCACCATACCCGGTGTGCTCAGGGATCCCTACTGGTGGGCTTGCGGGGATCATATGGAGTGCAGGGGACCAAACCCAGTTGTCTGTGTGCAAGGCAAGTTCCTTACTTGCTATACTGGCTCGCTCTGGCATGTCTGTTTTTCTTAGGAGATCCCCTCCCCCGCCCCACTTTGGTGTATGACTGCATCATTATAGTTTTTTTTTTTCATGCCCTTATTATAGAATTTTGTTTTTTCAGAAATCCTTTCAAGGGGTGGTGGAGAGAGCTCAAGTGGTGGAGCAAATGCCATGCAGCGCCCCAAGTTAGATGCCGGTTCTGCAAGCCCTTCTGTCCTCCAGCCCCCGTGCCCCCAGTATGACCGGGTGTTGCCCTTCTAAATAAAAAATTCTAGGGACTGGAGTAGTAGTACAACAGGTAGGGCATTTTCCTTGAACCTAAGCCAGCTGGGTTTAATCCCAGCATCCCATATGGTCCCCTGAGCACCACCAGCAATAATTTCTGAGTGCAGAGCCAGGAGTAACCCCTGAGCATCACCAGGTGTGACCCAAAATGCCAAAAAACAAAAACAAAACAAAAAACCCCAAAACTTCCTTATCTCTTGTGATCAGCTGTGCCTGCTCTCTGGTTTATTCTGGGAGCCCAGTGGTCCTCAGGGCTACTCTCACCTCAGTGCTTGGGGGGGGCATGTGGGCTTGGGGATGGAACCCAACCCAGGTGTCCTACATACAAAGCATGCACCCCAGATTGCTGAGTTTGCTCTTACTCTGGCTTTTTTTTTCTTTTCCCTTTTTGGGTCACACCCTTCGATGTTCAGGGGTTACTCCTGACTCTGTGCTCAGGAATTACCTGGTGATGCGTGAGGGACCCTATGGGATACTGGGGATTGAACCCCAGTTGGCCATGTGCAAGGCAAACGCTCTGCCCCCCTATACTTTTGCTTCGGCCCCATAGGCTTTGTTTTTTCTTAATCTTGGGGAGTCAGTTATCTGAATCTTGTGATCTCTTAAGAGCTGACAGGTGGACTCAGGACACATCTCAGAGGCTGTGTCTGTGCTCTGCATGCAGGAGCCCCGAGTTGAATCCTGGGCACCAGATGATTCCCTGGGTGGCTCTGGGTGTTGCCCCAAACCCAAACAAACAAGGACAACAAAAAAGTTTATTGGTTTGAGTTGCTATTTCAATTGTTAAGGTAAGAAGGCCCAGACAAGGATCTTCTGAATTGACAAAAAATGAAGTTTGAGACTTTTTTAATTTAAGTGCTCGTATCATTAACAGTATCGGAGAGGCACCTATGGAGAGAAACTGGCAAGGAAAAGGAAGTTGTTTGAAATATTAAAGCTTTCTTCTGACTTACTCTGGGTGTGGCTCTGGATCCTGGGGCGATAATATCCTCCTCACCCTCAGGGAACCCTGAGCTTGGCTAACTCTGCCAGGAATACTTTCTGTTTATCCAGCAGAAATCTGAAAAGATATTTGGATTTTTTGGGGGGATGTGGGGGAGGGGTTGTGACCACAGCTGGCAAGTGCTCAGGGCTGACTCCTGGCTCTGTGCTCAGGGATCACTCCTGGTGGACCATGCACAGTGTCAGGATAGAATCCAGGTCAGCCAAGGGCAAGCCTGTACTATGCTCTGGTCCATCAGACAAGGTGTTTAGAAGGATTTGTTGTTGTTAGTTTTTATGGATCACACTCAGTGATGCCCAGGGGTTACTCCTGGCTCTGCATTCAGGAATTACTCCTGACAGTGCTCAGAGGACCCAATAAGATGCTGGGAATTGAATCCTGGTAGACCCTGTGCAAGGCAAGTTCCCTACGTGCTATATACTATCTGTCCAGCTCCTGGAACCCAATTTTTAAAACAATGGCTTGGGAGCAGACAGATGCTACAGCAGGAAAGGAGCTTGCCTTACACATAGCTGGCCCAGGTTTAATTCCCAGCACCTCATGCCCCCCCCCCCAGGTGATCCTTGAGCACAGAACCTGGAGTCAGTGCTGAGCATCACAAGGTATGTCCCCAAAACCAAACCAAAACAAAAAAACTCAATTTGTGCCACCATGGAAGTCTGGAAGACGTTCCCTCTATTTTGTTTTTGTTTTGGGGCTACACCCGGTGATGCTCAGGGTTACTCCTGGCTCTGCACTCAGCACTTATTTCTGGTGGTGCCTCGGGGACAATATGGAATGCTGGGATCAAACCGGGTCACCAAGAGTCCTCCCTGCTATGGCTATGGCTCTCTGGCTCGGGCTCTGCATGATGTTCCTTCTGAATGCTGGTGACCAGGGAGGTCAAAAAGCCAAACCTGTCAGGCACAAAATGCAGATCTTGGTCTAGGAGGTTTTGGTTGGGCTGTCTTGCGTGGGGCTGGATACAGGTAGACAAACTACTCTGCATAGCTTTGGAACCCCTGGAGCCTACCCTGAGAGGGGGAAGGAGAGGTGTTGGATATTGCGCTGCCCTGCCTGGGAGCTGACCACAGGTTGGCAGGGGGTGTGGTGGCGATCTTACTCTAACAGTGATCAACTTTTTCCATCCCAGGTGATTTATTTTTTTCTTTTCTTTTTTCCACTCTCTTTGTTTGTTTTGTTTCAGGACCATGCCCGGCAGTATTCAGGGACTGCTCCCAACTCATTGCCTGAGGATTGCTCCTGGCAGTGTTTGGGGGACAATATGGGATGCCGGGATTGATCAATCCCATGCCATGCCAGGGATTGATCTTGGGCCTCCCACATGCTCTGCACGCATGGCTTGCTCTGCCCATTGGGTTATCTCTGTGACCCCTGGGTGACTTTTTTTTTTCTTAAGCAGACTTCAGTTTATTTCTCCTAGTTTGAATACTTCCTGTACTCCTTTCAAGCCAAGACAGAACGATTCATGGGATTTTTAATAAACATATTTATTCTATCAGTGTTTTGCTCTCAGACACATAATATTTATTATCCAATCAAATCCAGTGTGGCTTCTTTTTGGAGGAAGGGGGTTTGGGCCATTTCTGCAGTATTCAGGTGATACTCCTGGTGCTGTGTGCTCACAGATCACTCCTGGAAGGACTGGGGACATATGCAGTGCTGGGGATCAAACCAGGGTCATCTGCATGCAAGGCAAGCATCTTAACCCCTGGCTTCTCTCTCTGGCCCTGAGCACTGAGATTCTATCTGAGATGTCGGGCTCTAGAACCCCCACAGGGATTTCACAGAGACCCCTGCCCCCCCAAATGCCAGGCAGCACTATGGTGTATTCCATGCCTGCCCCATCTGTGTTCCCTGCCTCTCACTGCAGGGGCGGCATGGAAACTCCTCTCCGGCGTGCGGGAGGGCCAGACACAGGTGGACACGCCGCAGATAGGGGACATGGCCTACTGGTCCCACCCTATTGACCTGCACTTCGCCACCAAAGGCCTCCAAGGTGAGTTCCAGGCCTGGGTTGCTGGGGTGGGGGCTGGGGGAAGAGATGGGAATGAGCAGCAGCCAAAGATGTTGGGATTGGAAATACTAGGTCCTGTCCCTGTCCCCCTGTTTCAGTCTTGAGGCTCTGAGACTGGCCTGGGAGAGGTGGAACTATGGAGAGCCTGGGGCTAGGGCCAGGTCCTGGGACCAGGAGAGGGGCAGGGCTGGGGTTTGGGGACCTGGGATAGGGACAGGGCCGGGGTCCCAGGACCAGGGAGAGGGGTAGGGCTGGGGACTGTGCGCAGGGCAGACTTTCAGCTTTTTTTGTTTTGGGGGCCACAACTGGTGGTGCTCAGGGATAATGGCTGGCAGGACTAGGGGTACCAGGGATGGAATGTGGGACTGGGGGGGCCCTGATGGATACTCCCAGCAGATGTGAGTCTGAAGTGCCACCAACTACCTTAGGGACTGTGGTGGACCTGACCAATCACTGTCCCCTCAGTCCTTCGAATGGCAGGACCATCGCACAGTGCCATCCCCTGGCCTCTGCCCTTTGCCCATTATAGTCCTTAGGGTCCCCGCTGGCTCTTCTTTTTTTTGGGGGGGGGTTACACCCTGCTATGTACCGGGGTAACTCCTGGCTCATGCACTCAGAAATTGCTCCTGATGGTGCTTGGGGGACCATATGGGATGCTGGGAATCAACGCGGGTCGGCCACGTGCAAGGCAAAACACCATACCTGCTGTGCTATCGCTCTAACCCCCAGCTGGCTTTTCTTGTGAAGCGCACAGTACCCACCTCTTCCCTCACCCCAGCAGCCGGCCAGTCTGCCTCACCACTACCCAGACTACTGCCACCCCTGCAGAGATCCTGCGTGAACCCCGAGTCCCACCCACCATGGCCCTTCTCTCCAGGGTCAGTCAAACCCTGACCCTCTGGTTCCTTCCCTCTCCCCTCGCCCCCGCAGCTGCGTGCTGTGTCCCCCCACCCCACGCACCACCTCAAGGCATCTGCTGCAGCCTCCATGCCCAGCGCTTCCCTTCCTAAGATGCAACCCCGCCCCCACCGCCTGCTCCCAGGCCTGCTCCGGGCCCCACCTCCCCACACACCCTATAATTTGCTTATTTACTCCCTTCCCAGGCAGGAATTCTTGTCTGCTTGCCCCATGGCTGGGTCCCCCAGTTTTGAAGGAATCAGCCAGGCACGTGGGGGCTGGATCTCCAAGGGTGCCCAGTTGTATCCAAGGCCACTGGGAAGCTGGGGATGTGAGTGGAGGCAGATGGTGGGGTCCTGAGTCAGAGGAGTATGGGGAGGACCATAGGGAGGAAACCGGGGTGATGTGTGTGGGACAGGTGCCCAGGATTAGGCCGAGCAAGTCTCTGAGAGGAGAGACCCTGGAGGGGGTCCGCAGAGGCCAGACCCAAAGGGCGTGGAGGATATGGGCCTTCGGGGAGTCATGGCAGGGAACAGGGTCCAGCAGATTCCCCATGTCCCCATCCCTGTCCTGCAGGCTGGCCAAGGCTCCATCTCCAAGTGTGGTCCCAGGATAGCTTCGGCCGCTGCCAGCTTGCAGGCTACGGCTTCTGCCACGTGCCCAGCAGCCCCGGCAGCCACCGGCTGGACTGCCCCACTTGGCGGCCCCTGGGCAGCTGGAGGGAGCAGCTGGCGAGGACCTTCGTGGGCGGCGGGCCCCAGCTGCTGCACAGCGACGTGGTGTACAGCGGGGCCGAGCGCTACCGCCTGCACACGGCGGCTGGGGGCTCAGTGCACCTGGACCTCACGCTGCTGCTGCGCCACTTCCAGCGCTACGGAGTGGAGTGCTGAGCCGGGACCGGATGCCCGCGCACCCCAGGACCCAGAGCCCCAGCCGGCGCACCCCGAGACTCCGGCCGCAGGCGCATCCTGGGACCGGTCCGGGGCCTCGACCCCGCTGGAGCTGACTCTGTCCTGGCAGGGATGCCCAGTGGCCGCCCTTCTTGGGGGCCGGTTTCCCCATCTGTAAAATGGAGGGGGTGGGGGCCAGGCAGTGCCCAGGTGGGGCTGGGGAACCCCCGCTTCGCTCGGAAGTGTTCAATAAAGAGCGGTTTTTCATGAGCTCCGGTGCCTTCCTCGACCTGCCTCATCATGACGCGGGTGGGGGGGTACACGGGGCCCCCACCCCTATTTTCCCACTGACCCCCGCCTTCCTCAGGCTTTCTGTGTCCGTCTTGGGACCCCCTGAGACGTCCGGCCCCCGCCCTCTGATGAGCACCCCCGCACCCCGGGTCTTCCTTCTCTCGGGACCCCCGCCCCCAGGCCCCCAGCCCCAAAGCCTCGCGCATCGCGGCCCGGCTCGGGTAACGCTCGCGGCCGCCAGGAGGCAGCACCCGGTGCGCTGGGCGGAGCCGGGGTGCCCGCCCCTTTCCCCCCGGGGCTTCAGGGACCCCCCTCGGAGCCCGCCCCCGCGAGCTGCGTTCGGTAGCCCGGCCCCCCCACATGCCCTCCCCCTGGGGGCCGCCCCCGCCCCGCGCGCTTCCTGGGTGGGGCCCGGGGCGGCTTCAAAACCCCGCGCCGGCCCCGCCGGTCCCCGCAGCCGCCACCGCAGCCCCGCGCGCCCGGCCCGGCCCCAGCGCGCCCCCCTCCCGCCGCGGATCCGCCGGACAGCGCGGCCCCCCCCGAGCGGGGGGCAGGGGGGACGCCCCCCCCCGGGGCACCCCCCGGCTCGGAGCCTCGGCCGGCAGCGGAGGAAGGAGCCGCCGCGCCGCCGCCGCAGCCCGAGGCCGCCCCCGCCGCGGGAGGAGGAGCGGGAGGAGGGACGCGCCGGGAGCGCAGGGGAAAAGTTGGGAGACTTTTCCGCCGCCGGGAGCCCGGGGCGCGGGGACCGCTGGGCCCGGCGCTGCCCCGCGAGGCGGCAGGACGCGGGGAGCCCGGCTCGCCCTCTCGCACGCACGGCGCCGCGGATTCCCGCCGGCCCCCCGGCCCCCCGGCCCAGCCCTCGGGCGCGCCCCCACCCCACCGGCCTCTCTCCGGAGCTCTCTGGGCTGCCGCTGCTGCTGCACCGCACGGGCGCCGGGACCCCGCAGACCTGCGTCCGCGCCCCTCTCCAAGACCACCCACCTCTGGCGCCCGAGCTCGCGCGCACCCCTCGGGGTACCGAGACACCCACCCGCTCCACTCGCCCCCCTAGACCCTCCTCCCTTCCCTCGGGAGACCCCCAGCCCCAGCCCCTGCAGGGGCGGGGCCGCCCTTTCCCACCCCAGCCCGCCCTCCCCGCGGGGCCGGGGGGCGCCGCCTCCCCCATGCCGCCCTCCTGGCTGCGGCTGCTGCCGCTGCTGCCGCTGCTGCGGCTACTCGTGCTGACGCCTGGCCGGCCGGCCGCCGGACTGTCCACCTGCAAGACCATCGACATGGAGCTGGTGAAGCGGAAGCGCATCGAGGCCATCCGCGGGCAGATCCTGTCGAAGCTGCGGCTCGCCAGCCCCCCGAGCCAGGGGGAGGTGCCGCCGGGGCCGCTGCCCGAGGCCGTGCTGGCCCTGTACAACAGCACCCGCGACCGGGTGGCCGGGGAGCGCGCCGAGCCGGAGCCCGAGCCCGAGGCGGACTACTACGCCAAGGAGGTCACCCGCGTGCTGATGGTGGAGACCAGCAACAGTGAGCGCCGCGCCGGGGGACCCTGGAGGGCGGCGCGCGGGGGGTCCGGCGGGGAGGAGACCGCCCGGAGGAAGAGGACCCCGAGTGCGGGGCGGCCGGGTGTCGCGCGGACGCCCCGAAGGGACGGGGACAAGCTCCCCACCCGCCCGTCCCCATCCCACCCCGGAGTCTGGGTCTGGCCGAGGCGTTCGTGAGCCGAGTGGACGGGGCAGGGGAGCTGGGCGCAGCAGAAGGGGAGCCGCCCCGAGTTTGGGACTCCAGAGGCCCCTGGGGAAACTGACCCAGAACTCGGGTGTCATGGGGCGGGAAGGTTCCAGAAGGACGGGGGTGGGGGTGAGAGGATAAACGAAGTGAAGCGAACCCCGGAGGCCAAGGTGGTCGCCAAGTGGAGCGCAGCCGCCTTGCAGGGGCGCGGGGCGCACACGCGGGGCCCGAGCGAGCGGGAGGCGGGGGTGGCCGAGCGTCGCCCGTGCACGTGAGAGGGGGCGCGAGCTCCCAGGAACCCCACATGTGACTCTCGGGAAGTGGGGGGTTCAGGGCGAGGGGAGAGAAGGGTGGGAAAGGTGGACAGGGTGGGGCTCCCCGGGCCCCCGGAGCCCCGTACCCCGCCGGCGGGCAGGAAGCGGGTGAGTGGGTGGGTACGAGTGCTAGAGCGCGGGGCGAGAAGCCCACGTGGGTGCCACGCGCGGGGGGTGGAGCCTGCACTCCCGGGAGAGGGGCCTTGGGGACCCCGCGGGGCGAGAGGCGCTGGCCGAGCCGGGACCCTGGAGCCCAGGCTGCGCACCCCGAGGCTGGGGAAACCCCAGCGTCCGGCCGCCGCGCCCTCCCTCCCTTCCCTTTCCTGCCCGTGCCCGGGGGGCGGGGACCGCGCCGGGCCCGGGGCGAGACGGGGCAGGTCGGCTCCCCGCCCGCGCGGCCGCCGCCGCCGCCCTCTGCACCCGGGCGCGGGGCGGGCGGCAGCCGGACCCGCCCCGTCGGCGCCCCGCGTGGCCTCGAGCCCGCGCGCGCGCGCGCGCTCCGGGGGGCATTTTCCTCTCCGGGTGGGTGATTGGAGGGGCGGGGACGACCCTGGTGGCTCGCACCCGGGTCCCAGCCCTCTGAGGCACTGGTTGGTGACTGCAGCCCGGAGATGAACCTCCCCACCCGCACCCGCTAGGAAGTGATACCCCACCCTTTTCGGAGGCGTCGCCTGGGTTGAGAGAGCATTTGCACGCGAACGCCTCCCACCCTCTTCTTCCAGACTCGCATCCTGCCTTCCCTAAGCCCCCAAATCTCACTTGCTGGGGTACCTCCCCCCTCCCCCCCTCCGCACATCACTCCTGCATCTCCAGGAAATCTCTCGACCCAGCGCCGGGCTTCCTGCGTTTTGCTCCATCTCGACTCTTCTCCGCCACACCCCCTCTCTGGGTCTCCGGTCTCCACCGCTCCCAGTGACCTTTCCTGCCCCTCCTTTTCGTCCTTCCTATCTTTCACCCGCAGCCAGGCTTCTTCTCTTCCTTTGGGGTTTGCACAGTTTGCCCTGGGCCAAGATAGGACTTCTTAGCCCCCCACATCCGACCCCCCCCCCAGCACGAGCCTGGCTACAGTGAAGGGGAATAGGGGAAGGGGCCCCTGGACTTCTAGTCCTCTCCTCCTTTTGGGCACCCCCACTCAAGAGTCCTAAGACCCCACTGGGTCCAGAGTCTGGGAGCCTGCAGGAGCCAGACCCCTCTCCAGATGGGACAGTAGTAATAATGCTAATTATTACTCCTGGTCTGGGAGACAGTTGAGTTTTGTAGTTAAGCTCTTGGAGCTTAACGAACTGGATGAAGCTCCCACTTCCATCTGTGCCACAGAATGGCTCCCCGAGCACTGTGAGAAAGACTCCCAAGCTCTGAGCACTGCAGAGTGTGCCATGCTCCCCTCCTATTTCCCACAAAAAGACACACCAGTCTTTGGGAATCCCAGTTCTCAAGCTTAACTCCCCACACTTGCTTCCCAGCCATGTGATCTGGTGGCCAACGCTGACCTCTTTGTTTCTTGTTTTATGGTGTCAGGGATCCAGTCCCGGGTCTCACAAATGGGAGGGAAGTGCTCGATTTCAGAGCCACATCCCCCATCAGCACCTAATGGGTACAGTGATAGCCTCCTCCCCTCTTCCTTCTTTTTCTCCTCCTCCTCTTCCTTCTCCTCTTCTTCTTCCTCATTAAGTGCTCGTTTAAATGTTGGAACCTTGGAAGGTCAGGGATGTGGTGCAGTAGTAAAGCTTGCCTGCCTGAGGCCCTTCAGTTTCACAAATTTTTGTTTGTTTTTGAGCCACACCCGGTGATGCTCAGGGCTTACTCCTGGCTCTGTGCTCAGGAATCACTCTTGGCAGTACATGGGGGACTCTAGGGGATGCCAAGGATCAAATCCAGGTCAGCTGCATGCAAGGCAAAAGCCCTACCTGCTCTACTATCACTCTGGCCACACATACTTTTTTTTTTTTTGAATAATGAAGAATAAAGTGTCCATCTGGGTAAAGTGCGCTGAATGGCTCCAGCAGGCTGTGAGTGCTCTTGAACTCCGCCCACCGCTGACAACTGTGTCTCCCTCCTTGCATGCTCCTGATTCGGCATGGTTCTTGTACAGAGCAGAATCTAGCCAGAGTGAGAACCTTCCGGCCCCTGGCCCGGCACTGTGCTCCATCCAGGAAGTGCTGGGGCCAGGCCGGGAGCAAGCGGAATGCCTGCTGTGTCCTGAGGTTCGCCAGCTCTGAGAAGTGCCCAGGGAGTGCAAGTACAGAGGCCTGACTCCCTGCCCTGCAAGTTTTCCTGGAGAGCTGGGTGACATCTGCCAGCCTTGTACTAATGGGCACTTTATTTTGAAAAGAAATTTATTAGGGCCAGAGCAGTAGTACAGCAGGGAGGGTACTTGCCTTGCATGCAGCTGACCTGCGTTCCATCTCTGGCATCCAATAGGGTCCCCTGAGACTGGCCAGGAGTAATTTTTGAGTGCAGAGCTAGGAGTACTCCTGAGCACTATTGGGTTGTCCCCCCACCCCCAAAATTGTTCTTTCTTTCTCTTAATCTGTGCTCCAGGGCTAATCTTGGCTCTTTGTTCTGGAGTGGTGTGGTGCCTGGGATTCGAACCGCTGTAGGTGGGATGCAAGGCAAGTCCCTTCTCTCCAGTCCCTGAGTGATCTTTTACAGGTGAAGGGACCGAGACTCTGGTGGCCAGAGGAGGGCACAGACACAGAGAGGGCACGACACTTACCTGGTTCAGAGACACTCAGAGACTGGGGATGTAGCCGGGGTTGAGCTCATGATTTGCATAGGCTTTGGGGAGGTTGCAAAGGAATCAACACTGTTAAGGGCTCTGACGTGGGGCTGGTGGCTCTGTATCCTCCCCTGCCTCCAACCCCTTCTTCAACTTGGGGTTACGCCTGACGTCTGCATCCTGGCTCCTCCCCCCTAGAGATCTACGACCGGTTCAAGCGCAGTTTGCACAGCATCCACATGCTGTTCAACACGTCGGAGCTCCGGGAAGCGGTGCCCGAACCCGTACTGCTCTCCCGGGCTGAGCTGCGTCTCCTGAGGCTCAAGCTGCAAGTGGAGCAGCACGTGGAACTGTATGAGGTGGGGCAGTTTGGGCGCCCCCAGGGGGCACCCGTGGGATGGATGGTGGGGGGTTATTTGTGTGTTTGTTTTGGGGCCATACCTGGCTGTGCTCAGGGATTACTCCTGCTCAGGAATCACTCCTGGCGGTGCTTGGGGGACCGCATGGGATGCCGGGGATTGAACCCGATTAGCCGGGTGCAAGGTGAACACCTGACTGCTAACACTGCGGCCCAGGTTTCTGTATCTAAAATTTTGTTTTGTCTTTTTGAGTCACACCTGGTGTTGCTCAGGGGTTTTTCCTGACTCAGCACTCAAGAGTTACCCCTGGCGGTGCACAGGGGAGGGACCATGTGGGATGCCAGGGATCAAGCCTGGGTATGCTGCATGCAAGGCCCCGCCGGCCTGGCTGTACTATTGCTCTGCCTGTACTATTGCTCTGGCCTTTCCAATTTGGGGCTCCTCCATGGCTCACACCCGTGGAAGGTATGGGGATTAGGAGAAACCAGGACTCTTGGTTGGTATTTTTTGGGGCAAGGGCTCCCACGAAGAGCTGTTTGTTTTGAGGTCACCCAGAGGTGGTGCTTAGGGCTTACTGTAACCTGGCTCTGTGCTAAGGAGTGACCCCTGGTGGTAGTTGGAGGGACTGTGTGTGGTGCAGGGCGTGAACGAGGGCCTGCCACGTGCAAGGCAAGCGCCTCAATTTCTGTATCATCCCTCTGAACCTAGATTTATATGTTCTTGGGGTCACACCTGGTTGTGCTCAGGGCTTGCTCCCAGGAGGACTCGGGCACTAGGAGGTGTGGAAGGTTAAACTTGGACCTTTGACTTGCAGAGTTCAACCCTTTGATTTCTCTCTGGCCCCAGGACTCTTCATTTTTATTTATTTTTATTTCTTTGCTTTTTGAGCCATACCTGGCGGTGCTCAGGGGTTACTCCTGGCTCTGCACTCAGGGATCACTCCTGGTAGTGCTCAAGGGACCCTATGGGATGCCAGGGATTGAACCCAGGTTGGCCGTGTGCAAGGCAAATAAATGCCCTCCCTGCTATATACTGTCGCTCCAGCCCCTCTTTTTTTTTTTAATTAATTAATTTATTTTTTATTTTGGAGTCGCACCTGGCTGGGCTCAGGGCTTACTACTGGCTCTGTGCTCTGGTTTCAGTCCTGGGGAGTTCACAGGGCCCTATGGGGTGTTGGGGATTGAACCTGGGTGGGCTTACTGCTGTCCTATCACTCCGGCCCCCAGACTCTTAAATTGGACTCTGGGTCCAGGGATGGGACTCAGGAAGTGGAGCTCTTGCCATGAGTGTGTGAAGTCTTGAGTGACACAACCCCCACCGCACCCCCCAAAAAAGTGGGAAATTGGAAAGGCTGGAGTCATCTGTCCAACCTGGAGGCCACATGGGGACTGTTGAGGTTGATAAAAAGGATAAAAAGGAGCTCCCTGGACACATTTCAGTACCCTGCGGCCCGTATGGGGGGCTGTGGTGACTACCTGATAATCAGCTTTTCCTGTACCAGGGAAAATTCTTTCAGATGGTAATGCTTCCTCCTCGGGGCCTGGGTTTTATGACCTGGACTCCCGGGAAAGTGTGGACAGACCCCTAAGAGAAGCAGGCTGGGACCAGGCAGGGACCCCGCGGGCTGAGTGCTTGCTGTGCCTGCCTGCAGGAGGCCAGAGTTCTCTCCCTGGCTCCGCATGGCTGCCAGAGCACCCCCAGGAGCACTGAGCTCAGAGTAACCCCCGAGGGGCGTGTGAACCCAAAACAGCCCCAAACAAGAGAATTTGACTTATCTTAACTACATGGAAACTAAGACACGGTTCTCCAAAGTGGGGGATCCTGGCCCCATGTGTCCTAGAGCTGCCCAGGGGAGTGTATTGGTCTTGGGGGGCAATGGGGCGGGGCACTTTGTTTCTTTCCTCAGAGAAGGTGAATTTCGAGGGGGACACCGAGGGGTTTTTTTTTGAAAAGGAGGCTGTTGGATAAATAATTGTGGTTCCCCCCCCCCAACCCCATGGTAGAGCCTTTGGCTTTATGCCTGCAGGCCATCCCCACCCTCATGCCCTGTCCAGCCCCAGAGTGTCCCCAGGTCAGCTCCTGGCTTCATCTCTTGCAACTTCTTTTTTGGGGGGGGGGAGGGGGGGTGACACCTGCCAATGCACAGGAGTACTCCTGGCTCTGTACTCAGGAATTACTCCTAGCAGTGCTCAGGTAACCATATGGGATGCTGGGACTCGAACCCGGGTCGGCTGCGTGCAAGGCAAACACCCTACCCGCTGTGCTATTGCTCCAGCTCCCTCTTGCAACTTCTTGGCCTCTGATTATGATTCTGGAGCCAGTGAGTGCGGGGCGGGGTGGGCATTTGCCTCACAAACCACCCAAGCTGAGAGGGGCTTGGTGTTGCTCCAGAGGAGAAACTGAGTCTCAGAGGAAGGGAAAACGCTCCCTGATGCCCCACAGGGGACAGTGGTTGGGGGACAGGGATGGGGTGAGTGGCCCAGGTGCATGATCCCCTGCCCTGGTACTTTACCTCCTGCCCTGGGGGACCCCAGTGGGTGATTCCTGCAGGGGTGGGTGCGGTTGTGTGTGTGAAGGGGGGGCACGGGAGGGGTGCAGCGGCTTCTCCCCAAGGTCCACCTGTTCTTGTCGTACCCAGAAATACAGCAATGATTCTTGGCGCTACCTCAGTAACCGGGTGCTGGGCCCCAGCGACGCGCAGGAGTGGCTGTCCTTCGACGTCACGGCTGTGGTGCGCCGCTGGCTCAGCCAGGGAGGTGAGGACGTTCGTCTCCCGCACCCCGCTTCTCCACTGTCTGCCCTGGCACAGCCCCGCCTCGCGCCCCCCTTCCCGCACCCCACGCGGGTTCCAAATTGCCAGGACCTGGCCCTGGTCCCAGACACGCAGACCTGAGTGATTAATGATGAATTCACTTCCTGAGCACCTGCCCCGAGCCAGGCCATGCTGGGGACACAGCGGAGAAACCAAAACAGCCCCACCCGGGCCAACCAGAACTCGTGGTCCATTGCTGGGGCAGCGGGGAGTCTAGGGGGGTGCCCGGGGCGGGGGGAACGCAGCTGGAAACCAGGTAGCCATGACTCAGTGGGCAGGGTTGGGCTGGGGAGCCCTGCCTGGAAGCAGGTAGGGAGGGCTTCCTGGAAGAAGGGACATAGGTGCTGATGTGTGAGAGAGGAGCTGAACCTCCCCACCCCCACCTAAGAAAGGAGGGGCAAGGTGAGGGGCAAACTGCTGAGGCCTGAGTCCAGCCGGTGCCTGCCACTTTCTTTTTGCCCGGAAGAGGGTTGTCTGGTCAGTGACGGCCCAAACTGCAGCAGCCACATCCACACCCTTGCCCTTACCTGTCTGGGAAGAAGGATGTTGGGGGAGGTTTGGAGGAAATGGAGTGCAAGCCTCCAAAAGCACCCAGCACCCGGAGCTGTTGGCCAGGCATAAGGGGAGCCAGGGAATGGGGTTCTTGTCCCCTTGCATCCAACTTCCCACCAAGAATCTTGAGAGGAGGAGCTGGAGCGGTAGCACAATGGGTAGGGCATTTGCCTTGCACGTGGTCGACCTGGGTTCGATTTCCAGCATCCTATATGGTCCCCTGAGCACTGCCAAGAGTAATTCCTGAGTGCCAGGAGTGACCCCTGTGCAAGAATCTTGAGAGGAAGAAAAAAGTGTCATATTCAGTGATGCTCAGGGCTGATTCTTGGTTCTGTACTCAGGGGTCACTCCTGGTGGGCTTGGGAGACCCTCGGGGGTGCTGGGAATTGAACCAGGTGAGCCGTGTGCAAGGAAAGTGCTCTCCCCACTGTGCTATCTCTCCAGTCTCCTCAAAAAAAAAAAAAAAGACTGGATATCTCCCTGGGGTGGGGCATCCTGAAGGGCCTCCCTGAGTAGGTGTCAGTGGAGGCAAAGGAAGTTTCAAGGAAGAAAGTGATGGACAGAATCCCCCAGGTGGGGGCCTGCACCCCCCCATCCCGACTCCTGAACAACCCCCCACTTCCCCGCAGGGGAAATCGAGGGCTTCCGCCTCAGTGCTCACTGTTCCTGTGACGACGACAAGGACAATAAGCTGCACGTGGACATTAACGGTGAGGCCCGTGGGGGGGGAGGGGCTTCCCAGGAGCCTGAGTGAGTATGGGGTCCTGCGCCCCTGCGCCGCCAGCTGAGAATCTCCGTTCTTTCTCCCTGCCCCCCTCCCTGCCCACGCAGGCCTGAGTAGCAGCCGCCGGGGAGACCTGGCCACCATCCACGGCATGAATCGACCCTTCCTTCTCCTCATGGCCACCCCGCTGGAGCGGGCCCAGCAGATGCAATCACGCCGCCGCCGAGCCCTGGACACCAGCTACTGCTTCAGGTGAGGCTAGCCAGGTGCACGCCAAGGAGGGCCCAGCTGGGGCAGTTGTTCCACCTGGAGATCCCAAGGAGGAGTCTGATTTTACCGTGTAGGGGAGGGCATGACCTGGAGCTAGATGACCTAGCTTCCTAGACCGGAAGCTGAAGCTCAGGGGTTAGAGCCATAGAACAGCAGGGAGGGCAGTTTGCCTTGCATGCGGCCTACGACCTGGATTTGAGCTCTAGCATCCCAGATGGTTTTCTGAGCACCGCCAGGAGTGGTTTCTGACTGTAGAGACAGAAGCATAACCCCTGAGCACCGCTGGGGCTCATCCCACAAAAAAAAAAATAATAATAAAAGACGGATCTCAGCTGGTTTCTAGTTGGGTGTTGGAATCAGGTGGAGAGTGTGAACCTGGACTGGAGTGATGGCTTAGTGGGTTAGGGGCCTCGAAGCCAATCCGGGGTCAATCTGTGTAGTCCTTCAGGAGTGATCCCAGAGCACAGAGCCAGGAGTGATCCCTGAGCAGTGCTGGGTGAGCTGCACCCCAACCCCCCGAGGCCACACACACACAAAAAAAGAATGTTGAACTTGACTAGAGAGTATAGGGACCCAGGCACTTGCCTGACATCTGGCCAAACTCAGTTCGATCCCCAGCACTACGTAGGGTCCCCTGAGCACAGAGCCAGGCGTGACCCCTGAGCACTGCTGGGTGTGGCTCGAAAGCCACGAGCCAAACAAGAGGATGAAGAGGTCGTCCAGATGGCGAGGTGCTTGCCAGTATTGTAGCTGTGGCATCTGAGATCCAGGTTCGATCCCCGGCACCACATGCAGTTCCCCCGACACCGCCAGGGGTCGCTCCTGAGCACAGACAGCTGAAGCCAAACCCTCTCTCCCCACCAAAAGGAAGTAGGTTGAAGCCCGAGAATTCAACTTTGGGATGGGGAGGCTCTGTTAGGCTTTTCAGGAGGTCCTGGAGTCCTGGGTTCAAATGGTGGTGGGGACTGCTGCATGAAGTGGGGTGCAGCGCCCCTGTAAAGAGAGAGACTCAGTTGCAGTCTGGGCTGTGCGTGCTCAAGGCCTGGTCCCAATTGGGAGTAGCCCCTGAGCACTGCTGGGAGGGGCCCTCAAAACGCACAAGCAAAGTGGGGCTAGAGAGATAGTGCAGGGGGAATGTGGGGAGGCTAGAAAGCTGCAGGTGCCCCTTGGGAGGTGTCTGCCCTGGGGAGGGGGCGCACTCCAAGAAAGCGAGGTGCTGGATTCCTAAAGACCTTCAGTGTGACGGGCCAGAGCCATAGTACAGCAGGGCGGGCACTTGCCTTGCAGACAGTCACCCAGGTTCGATCCCCGGCATCCCACAGAGTGTCCCAAGCACCACCAGGATTGACCCCTGAATGCAGAATCAGGAGCAATCCCTGAGCACTGCTGGGTGTGGACCAAAAAAAAAAAATCAGAAAACCCAAAACCAAAACAAAACATCCATGTGAGGGTCAGGGACACTGCTCAGGAGCTGAGCACTTTCCTTGCATGTGAGGCTCTGGGTTGGATCCCCAGCATCATCGACTCACCAGATTATGACCAGCCTCTGACTTCTCTTCACTCTATTTTTTTATATAATATTTCTACAATCCTTCAGGGCTCTGCTGCATTCTAAAGTTGCCTCTGGGGTTGGGGGGCTGGAGAGATAGCACAGCGGGTAGGGCGTTTGCCTTGCATGCGGCCAACCCAGGTTTGATTCCCAGCATCCCATATGGTCCTCTGAGAACCGCCAGGAATAATTCCTGAGTGCAGAGCCAGGAGTAACCCCTGTACATCACCAAGTGTGACCCAAAAAGCAAAAACAAAAACAAAACAAAACAAAAGTAATAAAGTTGCCTCTGGGACCAGAGAGCTAGTACAGGATAAGTTGTTTGCTCTGCATGCGGCCAACCCTGGTCTGATCCCTGGTACCATAGAGGATCCCCTGAATTCTGCCAGGAATGATCCCTGAGTGCAGAATGAGGATTAAGGGGCCAGAGCAATAGTACAGCGGGGAGGGCATTTGCCTTGCTTGCACCTGACTGGGGGTTGATCCCCGGCATCCCGTATGGTCCCTCAAGCGCTTCCAGGAGTAATTCCTGAGTGCAGAGCCAGGAGTAACCCCTGTGTATTGCCTGGTTTGACCCAAGAAGGGAAAAAAAAACAACCAAAAGATCAGCAGTAAGCTACGGGATGTGGCCCCTAAAATAAAATAAATAAAAGAAAGAAAGAGAGTGAAGAAAAGAGAAAGGGGAGAGAAGGAAAAGAGAAAGGAGAGAAAGGGAAAAGAACAAAAAGAAAGAAATGAAAAAAAGAAGCGAGAAAGAAAAGAAAGTAAAAAGAGCCAGAGTGATAGTACAGCAGGAAAGGCGTTTGTCTTGCACGTGACTGACTCGGTTTGATCCCTGGCATCCCGTATGGTCCCTTAAGTGCTGTCAGGAGTAATTCCTGAGTGCAGAGCCAGGAGTAAGCCATGAGTATCTCCTGGTGTGACCCAAAAGCAAAAGAAAAAAAAGAAGAAGAAAAGAAGAGAAGGAAAAATAAAAGAGAAAGAAGGAAAAGAGAGAAAAGAGTGAAAAGAGAAAGAAGGAAAGAAAAAGAAAGGAGAGGAAAAAAGGAGAGAAGGAAAAGAGAAAGGGAAAGAGACAAGGAAAAGAAAGAGAAAAAGAAAGTACGAAGAGAAAGAAACGAGCAAGAAAGCCGGAAGGCATGAGAGCAGGCTGTGCAGCTGTGCTCCGGCCCGTCCACGCCCAGCTCCTACACTCCGCCCGGGAGTGATGCCCAGGTCGGGGAGCTGATTGCCAGCAGCCCTTCTGGCCTTCCAGAGAGGCGGGATCTGGGCCACCCCGGAAAACTAACGTGCTGAGAAGGCGGCTGCAGCCTGTTCCCCGTCAGCGCCAGCTTGGAGGGCGTGTGAACCGGTACCTTGGTCCCCCAGCACGCAGCCCGCCACATCCACAGGCTGCGGAGACCCGGCTGGCTTCTTCAGCCCGGCTGTGCGATGGGGCAGGGGTGAGGGATCGAGGCTGGAAGGGGCGCAGGAGACGGTCTATTGATTCGATCTGTTTCATCCCTCACCTTCGCTGCTGCTGTAATTATCGGGGGTCGCGCCCACGCTCAGGTGTGCTTGGTTGTGGCAGTCCCTAGGGGTGGGGGTCCTTTAGTTTGAGAGTGCTCACACTTTTGGGGCTTATGAGGGGCTGACTTCCTGGACTTGGTGCTTAAACATCTTCTGTTTGTTTGGTGGCTGCACCCAGCAGTGCTCAGGGGCTACTCCTGACTCCGTGCTCAGGAGTCACTCAGTGAGGCTCGTGGACCCTGTGTGGTTCTGGGGGTTGAACCTCCATCAGCTGCATGAAGACAAGTGCCTTAACCCCTGCATCTTTCTGTGGCCCCAGTGCAGACTATTTTTTGTTTTGTTACTGGGTCACACCTGGCAAAGCTCAGGGCTTACTCCTGGCTCTGTGCTCAAGGATTATTCCTAGCAGGCTCAGGGGACCATATGGGGTGTTGGGGATAAACTGGTTGGCCATGTGCAAGGCAAGCATTTTGCCCACTGTACTCTGGCTCCAGGCCCCTCAGAGTATACAATTTCCCCCTTTGTTTTTGTTTTGTTTTTGCTAACTCAGTGATGCTTAGGGATTCTGGCTCTGCACTCAGGGATCACTCTTTTTGGTTTTTTTGAGGTTTTTTTTTTCTTTTTTGGGTCATACCCAGCAATGCTCAGGGGTTACTCCTGGTGCTGCACTCAGGAGTTACTCCTGGCGGTGTTCGGGGGACCATATGGGATGCCGGAGATCAAACCCAGGTCGGCTGCATGCAAGGCAAATGCCCTACCCACTGTACTATCATTTCAGCCCTCAGGGATCACTCTTGATAGTGCTGGGGGGACCATATGGATGCCAGGAATCCAGATTAACTGTGTGCAAAGCAAGTTCTACCCACTGCAGGATCTCTCTGGCCTTCAGGGGTCAGTTTTGGTGGGTCTTGAGGAACCAAGCATGGCTGGGGCTGGAACTCAGGCCTCCTGCTTGCTTTTTTTTTTCATTTTTTATAATTTTATTTATTGAATCACTGTGAGAGCAGTTACGAAGCTTTCGTGTCTAAGTCTCAGTCATACAATGAATCACCCATACCTTCACCAGTGCCCATTCTCCACCACCAAAAACCCTAGTATACTCCCATCCCAGACCCTCCCCAGACCTGTGGGGCAGTTGGCCTCCACATTACTCTCTCTCTACTTTGATCACATTCAATATTTTGACACCAGACCCACCATTATTATTTGGGATTTTACCCCAACTCTCAGATCTGCCAAAAAGGCAACAGTAGACAATTTGTTTCCTGTTGCTGGTTATGAATAGCAAATGATGTCGCGAGGCTGCAGTAGTAGCTGCAGTAGTAGCTGCGCAATTTTGAAATTCCGAAATTTTAACAATTGAATCTGGAGGGATTTCTGCCAAAACCTGCTGGGTTCTGAGATTTGTTCCTGAATCTCTTGGATCATGGCCGTTAAGCAGCTTGACAAGGAGCCAGAGAGGTCATTTGTGGATGGTGACTCAGGGTCTCGTTGGGATGGGGAGGAAAGGGCCGGCTCTACCCCCATCCCGTGAGGCCGCACGTGTCTCTTCACTACGGGCCCAAACCTGACTGTTCAGTGTGGCCTCTGGAGGATGATGGCCGCTGGGCCGCTAGGGGGCCAAGGCATGAAACCTATTCCCACCTGGGGTGGCCTAGCTCTGGTAACCTACTGCAGGGACCGGACGCATTTCTGCCAGAACCTGCTGGGTTCCGAGATTTGTTTCTGAGTCTCTGGGATCATGGCCATTAAGTGGCTTGATCAGGAGCCAGAGAGGTCGTTTGTGGATGGTGACTCAGGGTCTCCTTGGGATGGGGAGGAAAGGGCCGGCTCCACCCCCATCCCGTGAGGCCCCACATGTCTCGTCATTGCGGGCCCAAATCTGACTGTCCAGTAGCCTATGGAGGGTGATGGTCACTGGGCTGCCAGGGGGAACAGGCCAAGGCATGAAACCTATTCCCACCTGGGGTGGCCCAGTGCCGGTTACCTACTTCAGGGACTGGACGCATTTCTGCCAAAAGCCATTGGGTTTTGGGATTTGTTTCTGAGTCTCTGGGATCATGGCCGTTAGGCAGTCTGATCAGGAACCAGAGAGGTCATGCCTCCAATTATATAGCTGAGCAGGAGGTGGTTTGTGGGTGTGTCTCCCATATACCTACCTAACTTTTGGCCGTTTACTTTCTTGGTAAACTTTGCCCCAAGTTTTTGGGGTCTGGCCAAAGGCACAGCAGAAATTTGGGGGTATCTGGAAGTCTGAAGGTGCCATCAGGCAGCTGATGCACTCGCCTTACAGGTACAGACTGACCTGCGGGTGGCACCATACTCCCCCCCCCCCCCCCCCCCCATCCTGCTCTCTCCTGCTTGCTTTGCCTTTATTTTCTTTCTTGGAGTTCCATGTTGAGACCTTTCTGGATGCAGTGGTCTCTGGGGATGGCGTGAGCTTCAGAGCCCTTGGCTGGCGGAGCAGAAGCGGAAGTGGGTAGGGTAGAGATAAGATCACCCGGGGGACGGACGTGGTCACGTTAGGGGGAGGCGCTTGCACCTCGACATTTGTGCATCTTTGAAGCTTCTCAGGGTGTGAAGTTCCTCCCTCCATCCCTTCTTCCTTTCTTCCCGTTTTCTTTTTTCTTCCTTTTTCTTCCTGTACTTGGTCCTTAGGGCTGACTCCTGACTGCTCCTAGGGATAACTCCTGGCAGTGCTCAGGGGAAGATTGAATACAGTTTGTGTGCATGCAAAGCACACGCCCTCTCCACTGTCCTGTTGCTCCTCTGGCATCTCTTTCCTTTCTCTTGCACGCTTATGTCCTGACAGTGCTCCCAGCAGCACTCGGGAGCATATGATGTCGGGGCCGGAGCCTGGATCCCTGCATGTGAAGCCTGCTCTCAGCCTCTAAGCTCTTTCCATTCCACAAGATTGTTTCCTTATCTTTTCCTTTTGGGACCACACCCATCAGTGCTCAGGGCTGACTCTTGGCTCAGTGCTCAGGGATTACTCAGGACTCCCCCTGTGGCACTGAGAATTTAATAGGGGTTGCCTTCGTGCAAGGCAAGTGTCCTGTACTACCACTCTGGTCCCTCCCATATATATATATATATATATATTTTTTTTTTTTTTTTTTTTGCTTTTTGGGTCACACCTGGTGATGTGATGCACAGGGGTTACTCCTTGCTCATGCACTCAGGAACTACTCCTGGTGATGCTCGGAGGACCTTATGGGATGCTGGGAATTGAAGCTGGGTCAGCTGTGTACAAGGCAAACATCCTACCTGCTGTGCTATTGCTCTAGCCCCCAACCTCCCATATTTCTTAAATTTGTCCCAATTATAGAGCCTTGTTTTCCCTCTCATTCCTCCCTCCCCTTGGCTGAGAAAGTAACACATACTTACTATTGAGAATTTTTTTGTTTTTGGTCTTTTTTGAGTCACAACTGGCAATGCCAAGGGTTTACTCCTGGCTGTTCACTCAGGGATCACTCCTGGCAGTGCTCGGGGGATCATATGGGATGCTGGAGATTGAACCCGGGTCAGCCCTACCTGTTGTACTATCACTCCCCCCTCACTGTTGAGAATTTTAAAAATATAGAAAGAGATCACTCCATGTGCTCCCATACATAAAAAGTGACTTTTAGAGCTGGGAGATGGTCAGAGATCTGGAACTTAGCTTGTGGACTTCAGTTCAAATCCCAGTGCGGCATGGACTCCTGAGCACTGTCCCAAACAATCCCTGAACACCAGAGAAGGAGTAGCCCAAGAGCTGTCACATGTGGTCCAGAAACCAAAAAATAAGTCCCTGTTGTCAAAAAGGAATATGTGGGGAGCTGGAGAGATAGTTCAGGAGTTAAGGCACTGACCTTGTACACAGCTGACCCAGTTTTTTTTTTTTTTTTTTTTTTTTTGCTTTTTGGGTCACACCCGGCCATGCACAGGGGTTACTCCTGGCTCTGCACTCAGGGAATTACTCCTGGCAGTGCTCAGGGGACCATATGGGATGCTGGGAATCGAACCCGGGTCGGCTGCGTGCAAGACAAACGCCCTACCCGCTTTGCTATCACTCCGGCCCCAGCTGACCCAGTTTGATCCCTGGCCTCCCACAAGGCCCCCAGGAGTTGAGCCCTGATCACCACTGGGTGTGGCTCAGAACAAATCAAAAGAGAAATACATTGGAATCTCTTATTTCCTGTTTTGATTATTGTATTTCCCCCATTTAGGCCATTCTGAGTGGTCCTTGGGGAACCATATGGTGCTGGGGATCAAACTCCGGGAGTTCCACTTGCAAGGGATGTGCTTTAGCCTTTTGAGCCATCTCCTGGCTCTGATCATACCTTTAAGTGAAGTGAAGAGGAGCCAGAGCAGTAGTACAGTGGGGAGAGCATTTGCCTTGCGTGTGGCTGACCCGGGTTCAGTCCCCGAGCACCGTCAGCAATGATTCCTGATTGCAGCGCCAGAAATAAGCCCTGGATCACTGGATGTGGCCACAAAACAAAAACAAAAACCAGGCATGGGCCTGAGCAATAAATAATACAGTGGGTAGGGCTCCTGCCTTGCATGTGACCAATCCAGGTTCAGTTCCCAGTGCCCCATGTGGTCTCCTGAACCCCACCAGGAGTGATTCCTGAGCACAGCTGCCCCCCCCCAAAAAAAAAAAGTGAGGAAAAAAGCTTGCCTGGCTTCCAGCCTGGGGGGAGCTGAGGAGGGTGGCAGAGAGCTAGTGTGGGTGACACAGGAAGGAGCTGGGCTCAGCCCCTGCTGTGTGGTTCAGAAGGGAGATTTGGGCATTTGCTCTCAGTCCCAAACACGTTTGGAGGAGAAGAGCAATCTCTGGCGGGCCTTGTGGTCCAAGAGGTTGTGCCGAGTGCCCCAGGGGTCCTGCCTGGCACACAGCGGCAGTTCTGAAAGCTTTTGTTGCACAAGAGGAAGGGACCTGTGCCAGCGAGGCTGCACTTATTTTTGGGGGGATCCAGTGTGTGAAGGCGCCAGGATTTAGTCCAGGTCCCCTGTGGTCGGTCACTTGGCTGCCTGCAGCCTGTTTGGAACCTCTGCATGAGATGTTTATGATGATGCGCTTAGCACAGGAGCTGAGGAAATGCGCCGTCAGGGTTTGCCATGGGCAGTGCTCTGTTGTGATTGTCACAGGGGGTGCCAGGGAGGTCAAGGTGGGGCAGTCTGGGGGGGGACAGTACTTGACTAAGCCTGCCTGGCTCACTCCCAACCCCCTCCTGACTTGCTTCCTCCTCGCCCCCAGCTCCACGGAGAAGAACTGTTGTGTGCGGCAGCTCTACATTGACTTCCGAAAGGACCTGGGCTGGAAGTGGATCCATGAGCCCAAGGGCTACCATGCCAACTTCTGCCTGGGGCCCTGTCCCTACATCTGGAGCCTGGACACACAGTACAGCAAGGTGCGCTGCACCCACAGCCTGGCTCGGGGGTGCGGGGGTGCCGGACCAGAGGGAGGGGAGGGAGAGAACTCAGCTTGGGGCTAAACTAGACTGAGGGAACAGTGGGCAGCAGGGAGTGGGGGGACAGAGGTGGGGGGGTAAAATGGAAGAGAAGCTGGAGGTATCAGGGAGACCCACAGAAACGTAGTGGCAGGGCAGAGGCAGGGAGATGGAAGGAGAATTGGAGCACAGAGGGACAAAGGCAGGAGATGATAGGGAGAGACAGATGGCAGGAGAAAGACAACATTTAAAATACAAGGTAAGGGGGCCAGAGCAATATAGTACAGCGGGGAGAGCATTTGCCTTGTATGCGACTGACCGTCCCCGGTATCCCATAGAGTGTCCCCCCACCCACTCCCCTGCCAGGAGTGATTCCCGAGTGCAGAGCCAGGAGTAACACCTGAGCATTGCCGGGTGTGGCCCAAAATAAAAAACAAATAAAAAGTAGAAAATGGAGAGAGCGAGGAGGCAGTGACCGACTGCCTGCTGAGAGCACAGGGCTTAAAGCACTTGCTTGCAGTACACCCATCTGCTTTGATCCCCCAAAGGATCAGGAGTGATCCCTGAGCACAGCCCCAGCACAGCCCCAACAGTCATCCCTGAGCACCGCTGGATGTGACCCAAAAACCAAAGAGAGGGTGGGGGCAGAGAGAGAGAGAGAAAGAGAGACAGAGGGAACCAAGGGACAAGACCAGCAATGTGGGGAGAGACCGGCCGGGTTAGGGCAACCTCGCCACGACCCCCAACCCTGACCCCCGCCCGCCCGCCCGCAGGTTCTGGCCCTGTACAACCAGCACAACCCTGGCGCGTCGGCCGCGCCGTGCTGCGTGCCGCAGGTTCTGGAGCCGCTGCCCATCGTGTACTTCGTGGGCCGCAAGGCCAAGGTAGAGCAGCTGTCCAACATGATCGTGCGCTCCTGCAAGTGCAGCTGAGGCCCCGCCTCCGGAAGGCCCCGCCCCTGGAGACCACGCCCGAGGCCCCGCCCCGGCAGGCCGGGCCCCGCCCCTACCGCCCCGCCCCGCCCCCCGCCGCGCCGGGGCTTTTATTTAAGGACACCGCGCCCCAAGCCCACCCAGGGCGTCCATTAAAGGTGACGACGAGAGAGGAGCGGGGGTCTCTGTGTCATTGGGCTATGGGCTGGAGTCCCCCGCCCCGGCTCACTTGCTTCTCCGTGTGCTCCCGGCTGGCGCCACCGTTCACTGAACTGCCCCACCCCGCGGTGTGCTCCAGGCTCCCTTCATTGCATGCTAGTTGGGGCTCGTTTCTGAGCAGTTGGGGCTTTAGGGTCATTAACTCTGATCGCCACCCTGGCAAGCCCTGAGCGGTCAGGGCGCTTTTAAGGCGAGGAAACCTCAGAAGCTCCCCTAAGCCCCAACCCCGAACTCCACTTTCTAGATAGGAGACAGACTTGGAGAAGTAAGCCGTAGGCAGGATGGGGATCAAGGTGGGGGAGGGGGGAAGGTGGGCTTCGCGGAGGAGGTGGCAGTTTGAGGCCCTGAAGCAAAGTGTGAAAGCGAAGCCCGGGAAATGAGCTGGCAGGCAGCTGCCCGGCTGTAGTAGCAGAGGAAGGAGGCCAGTGTGGTTGGAGGCAACTGGCAAGGGGAGGGCGCTGGGAGCTGAGTCAGATCATAACACTCGCAGGAGTAATAACAGTTCTCCATGCCAGGTACAAAGCTACTAACTCTGCATTCTCCCCACTGCTGCCTGTTTGCCTGTTTCTTTGAGGTTCTGTTGGTACATCGTCTTCACGGTAGCTATAACGCTTCAAGGGCAAAGTTGAAGATGTTTCTTGGGACAGGAGTGACAGTACAGTGGGGAGGGCGCTTACTTTGCACATGGCTGATCCAGGTTTGATTCCCGGCATCCCACAGGGCCCCCTGAGCACAGCCAGGGGTGGTGATTCCTAAGTGCAGAGCCAGGAGTAAGCCCCGAGTATCACCAGGTGTGGCCCCCAAACAAAAAACAATCAAAAAATGTCTTGGGCTCTTATTTACTGCCGTGTGCCACCCATATAATTTGTGAGACCCAGAGAGGTTCAGTGACTTTCCAAACTGAGTTCGGAAGTGGAGGAGCTGTGGTTTGAACCCAAGCTGGCCAGAACCTAGGTCCCAGGTGCTTGGAGGGTGTCCTGATGGTAGAGAGAGCAGTTGGGGGAGAGTGACTTAGAAGATGGAATGGGGTGGCCTGGGCTAGGACAGGTTTCCCATGGCGGTCCTTCTGCCTTTCATATTTTTTTGTTGTTGTTTTGTTTTGTATTTTGAGCCATACCTGGTTGTGCTCAGGGCTTACTCCTGGCACTGTGCTTTGGGATCGCTCAGGGAACAGTATGTGGTGCTGGAGATTGAACCAGGTCAGGTACATGTAAGACCAGCACCCTCCCTGCCGTGCTATCTCTCTGGCCCCCTTTGCCTCTCGTCTTGCTGGTGGATTCTCCCCTGGTTCCTCTTTCTCACCTCTCCTGCGCCCTCTTCCGCCCTGGTTTCAATTCCCCTTCTAGTTCCCTGCTCTGCTGAGCCTGGGGAGGCTGGCTGCAGGTGTTGAGCTTCCTGGTGCCCCCCACCCCCACCCCACACACACATCCCAGGGAGAAAAATGAAGGGTTGTTCCTCTCCACACATGTGGGAGACACAGGCCTGGTGGATGGGTGAGGTGGGGAGGAGTTTTGTAGACAAGGGCATGCCACCACCGTTGCCACCAGCCTTGTGGGTGGGGACACTTGGAAAGATGCAGATTGTTTAATGAGAATGCGGCCTAAGTCGTCGCACATTTATATGCACATAGATGCTGAAACATAGGGCCACGGAGCGTGCAGGGAACAGAGTCAGACCTGGGTTCTACCCAAAGCTGCCACTGCACAGTCTCCCGAGCTTGCTGCATGTGGGCCCGAAGGCCCCAAGTACCACTGGTGTGGCTCTGGTGGTCCCTGGCACCCAACACAGAGCCCACTTGGCCAAGCCTTACCAGGAGTGGCCCCTGGGTTCCCTGAGAACTTCTTGGGAGCCCCCTGAAACAAAGCAAATATGGACAGTGTCCTCAGATCCGGTCACCTCTCAAGACACACATTGGTGCCAGGACCCCTAGGGTAGCCCATCATTCCCTCATATACTCAGCGCCCCTCATTCACATAGCCCTTCATGCACCCCCTCGTGGACACTCAGCCTCTCACTCGCAACACTGATATAGGTACCTTCTGACGCACCCAAACCACACAAGCACTCATCCTCACATGCCCCCAATAGACACACCCCCCTCCCAGCACACACCCCTCAGACTCACAGCCTCTGTGCACCCCCCCACACATACTCTCATGCACACACCCTCACAGACACATATCCCTTCACACAGCCCCTCACACACACACCCTCACAGACTCATACCCCCACTTGGACACGGACCCTCAACACACAGCCCCTCAGACTTACACCTCCTATACCCCCTCTGGCTCACCCCCTCAGACACACCCCTCTCTCTCAGATACCCCTCATACACACACCCTTAGACTCACACACCTTCAGACAGCCCCCCTCAAACACATGTCCCCTCCAACTCACAACCTCTCACAGACACCCTCCACTCAGACTCAACCCCTCAAAGACACACACAGCTCCTCATAAAATATACAACCCCTCAGACTCACCCCTTCACAGACTCAGCCACTTACAGGCACACAGAGAGTCACAGATGCTCAGAGTCGCAGACCTTCAGAGATACACACACACTCACAGTCCCTCACACACATACAGACTCCGAGATACACACACTCACAGTCATACACACACACACACAGAGACTCACAGTCTCACACACACACACACACACACACACACACACACACACACACAGACTCACAGCCCCTCAAACTCAGCCAAACAAAAATCTTCACTGGGACATGACCCAAGCCCAGCCTTCCTTTCACTGGAAGCAGCAAACACAACCACACAAATTACATTCCGGAGGGTCCGGGTCACGGCTCCCACACAGCCGACTCGGAGATGGTGCCACGCACACACGCACCTCCCAGCATCAGAGCCCCGTCAGGAAATGAAACAGAGGCCCTGGCCCGGACCCACGACAGTGACACAAACATCCTCCATGGGGTCACAGTCACAAACAGGCCCTGAATGCACGCACATGGCCCGCTGTGGCCCAGTCGCACCCAGACACACCACACACAGAGCTCTGGCACGGCAGTCACACACACCGCCAGCCGCTCCTGCCCACTCACAGTCTGACAGCTCCTGGGCCCCCCACACTCCGACCTGGCCTGGGGAGTCCCCCCGGGCCCCACAGACGTCCGCTGACCCAGTCATCTCCAGACACACGGTCACACCAGCCAGTAGCTCCCACACACCCAGGCTCTGCCCCAGGGTCGCGGCCCTCACATGCCCAGCCAGCTCGGGTCTAGACCCGGGACAAGTCCCGGCGCACAGACGAGAGGCTGCCTGGCCTTGCCACGCCCTCACGACACCCGCCCACCTGCCTGGCAGCTGGCACTGTGGGGGGCAGGGAGGGGGAACGTGCCGCCTCAGCAGCTTCCCCAGGGCCGCCTGTGCAGCCCCTGCCAGGCTACCCTGGCACCCCCAGCCCTGCTGGGACAAGTCCGTCCAGGCCCACCGCCAACCACAGGGGCGGCCCAGGGGGTTTGGGGTGCCCCGCGCCCCTCCCCCGCCTCTGTGGGCAGCCGGGGCGGGGAGGGAAGTCGTGGGGGGAGCCTGGGTTCCGGCTGGAGCCCCAGCTTCCCGTCCGGCCCCCACGGGGCAGGAAGCAGGGGCCAGGGGAGGCCAGCTCAGGCCTTCCTGCCCCCTCCCCCCGACAGGCCAGGCCCCGGGGTCAGTAGGAGAGGCTGGGGCTCAAAGCAGGGCTGAGGGCACCCCCCCAGGAGGGCAGATCCCAGTGTTGTTTGAGTTTCTCAGGTGGGATTGAGCATGCTGGGGCCGAGTGTGTGGGGGGTGTGTATGGCTAGGGGGGCCTCTGACTGGGTGGTACATCTGTATTGGTTATATTGGGGGAGGGGGGCTAGTGCCCCCAGCAGATTCTCTGCTCCGTGTATGCATGTGCGCACGACAAGCTGCATTTCCTGTCACTGTTTGTATCCTGTGGGTCCCAGGTATGCTCAGGATGCTCAGGAGTCGGGGTCCTGCCGATCTGCTCCACAACAGTGCTCAACAGCTGCCTTCCTGGCTATGTTGCGGTTGATGCCAGGGATGGGGCCCAGGGCTTCCTGTGGTCGGCGGGGGTATCCCTTCGGCCCCGTGCCCCAGTCTTTCGTCTCGGTGCTTCCTCTCGGGGCGGGTCTGACTTGAAGTGTGGGTGTTGCCTGTGCGTGGGGACTTGTGTGGCTGTGCTTGGCTGGTGTGATGCTGGGTGGGGTGCATCCGGCAGGGGGACACTTGCGAGGGGCTGCTGGGCCGTCCCTGGTGCCCCTGCACCTCTGCTCTCACGCTGGGCTGGAGCAGAGGGCGGCCTGTGTCCCCACGGAGGCCACTGGCATCCTGAGTGTGGCGCCCGGTGGCCACTGGGCTGAGTGGAGGTTGGGCCTGCGGTGTGTCCCCTTGCCGACTGGTGCCACGCTGGCTCGGCTGGCTGTGGCGGGCAGGGCAGGGCAGGGGCTGTGGTGGGCACTGGACCTGCGCCCGGCCTGGGTATAAATATCCCAGCTGCCGGTGACTGTTTACTTGGGCCCAGCCCGGGGGCGGCTGCGGCCAGGCAGGTCCAGGGGGTGGGGGCCATCAGGCCACAGACTTGTGGGCCCCCTCTTGCGCCCCCTTCTGGGTGGGGCCGAGGCAGGGGCCCCTTGTTCTGGCTTCCCAGGGGCCACCACGAGCCAGTCCTGGGTACCTCGGCCCGGTTTCCCAGAGGCTGGGAGATAGAGACTCAGGTGGGGGTGGTGGGACGGCTGCGGGGAGGGGGTAGGAAAAAATGAGGGAGGAGGAGGAGGAGGAGGAGAAGAAGGAGGAGGAGGAGGAGGAGGAGGAGGAGGAGGAGGAGCCTGGTGGGCGGTGCCTCTCGAGAAAGGCGGGGGATAAGCTCAGACTGGGAATGACAGGGGAGAGGAGAGTGGGACAAGGAAAGGGGACAAGACGGGGCCCAGAGGTGCTGAGTGGAGGGGGAGGAGGGCGGAAGCGGTGGGGGCTGAGGTACTGTGGCAGGTCACACAGAGGTGTCAGACGAGGGGGCTGGCGGCCAGGACAGAAGGGAGACACGGGGGTGGGGACCGGATGTCCGCCAGCCCCCCCTCCCCAGGCAGGCCTCACTCCCTGACTCAGCCTCTCCGCCCACCCCAGCCCCAGCACTGGGGGCACCTTGGGGCCTCGGCGGCTCCTGGTGGGGACGGGGGTGTGTCTCACCCACTGTCCCCCGACAGGCCCCGCCTCTGTCTCGTGGCCACCATCTGACTAACTGGCTGCTCCGGGCCACGACTTCCCTCGCGGACCACGCAGAGTTTGGGCGAGGTGTATCACAAAGGGATTTAATAACCAAGTGACAGGCGCACGGTGACCATGCTGGACCTGCGGGGGCACAGGCACCTAGACAGCGGCTCTTGTCCCTATTCAGGCTGCGCGGGGGTGGAGGGGTGGGGTGGGGGCTGGCACGGAGCTGCGCCGCCCCCTCCTCCCCCCCCCCCCCCCCGCCACGAGCCTGGGATGCACCCTTAGCCTCCTGCCTGGGAAGTTTTGGCTGTCCCCTCACTGGCCACCTGGCCAGGCTAGCGCTGGTTCTAGGGTTTGTGGCCACATGTCTGTCCCGATCCGTGTGTGTGTGTGTGTGTGTGTGTGTGTGTGTGTAGGGGGGTGGGAGGGGAGGGCAGCGGCTTCTCTCGCTCTGGCCAGCCCAGAGGGCAAAGATGAGGTGTGGGATCCCCTCTCCCTTGGGGCAGTGAGGGGTCCCCTGGCCCCGTATCCCTGACCCTGGCCTCCAGGTCACCCCGCGGCAGCTGGGCCCCGTGTGTGTCCTGGGGGAGAAGCCGGGTGTGGGGGCATGGGAAGGCGGGACGCCGGGGTTCCCACAGGCCGCGGCTGAGTCACAGGCGGCCATCTGGCTCCCATTAGCCCGGGCGGGCGGCAGGGGGCTCGGCGGGGCGGGCCTGTGGCTGGCGGGGGGGTTGGGGGGGGCAGGGACGCCCGCCCGGGGAAGGCTGCGTGTGGGGATGACTCAGGCCCCATGATAACAGCCTGCGTCTTTGGGGAGTGTAAACAGGAGAGGCCGAGGGAGGGAGGCGGAGGAAGTGAAGGAAGGGAAAATTGGTGTCGGCTGAGGGGGGCTGGGGGTAGGCCCCCTTCCTATGGCACCCCCAGGCTGGCAGCCTGTGATTCCTGGTGCTAGTCCTAGGCACCCCTCCCGTGCCCGGAGCCTGGGGCACAGGGGAGGACAGGTGATCCCGCCATCAGGCCGCTGTCCATGGCTGCTGGGGAGCTGGATCCAGAGTGTGGAACCAGGAGACAGATGGAGAGGCCGGCAACACAGCAGTGCCTGGTGGGCGTTAGTCCCCGTCCAGCTCGGGACTGGGTGCATCCTCGGGCTCCTCCTCGTCAAAGTACCTCTCCTCTTCGTCCCGGGCCACGATATCCAGGTTGTCGAAGTCGGGGTTGTCGTCCACCGTACTGCGGGGGGACGGGGCGGTCAGGGGTTCCCAGCCCCTGCTGCCTGCCACCCCCAAGATCAAGGTCACGGGCTAGCGATTGGGAACCAAATGCCAGGGGGTGGTGGACTTTCGGGGCCCTCACAAAGGGCTGTTTTCTAAAGTTGAGAGGGCAGGGAAAAGCTGGGCGAGGGCCCAAGGGCCGAGCACATGTTCTGCATGTGGGGGGCCTGGATTTGATCCCATGCACCACAGAGTCCCCAGTACTGAGCTGGAAGAAGCCCCTGGCACCGTGGTGTGATCTGAAAACCAGAGATCCTGGAAGCTGCACCCCACCCCAGGAAGATGGACCCCCTCCAGGGCCCAACTTCTGGAGGTGCCCCTCAGGGGCGTGGCTGCTGCTGCCCCCTGGTGGGTAGAGGCCAGACTGCAGCTCACCTGCTGCACAGCGAGTGGGGAAGGGGGCTCCCAAACAGTCCTGCCTACTTGGGAGGGACCCACACTCAGGAGGCCTGTCCACTGCATGACACCCCTATTCTAGCCAAGTGACCCCAGTTGGTGGGGTACCAACTGAGAATCCCCAATGCCAGGCCCTCCGCAACACGGCAATGCCAACTGATGAGCTTCCTGGGGGTCCCATGCTGAGGACCAGTGGGGCAGCATGGCCTCCTCTCCCACACCCTTCCCCAAAGCAGGGGCTCAGGGCTTACTCTAGTTGCCCACTGGCCACGTGGTGGTGCCCCCCTGTGGCCGGAGAACGATGGGAGTCTTGGGAAGTAGCTGGAGTGTGGGGGTGGCGGGGGGGTGGGGGGGCCCTGGCATGAGGCACCCTTAGGCCACCACCCATTGTCCTAAAGAAACAGTTCCAGGTTTGCCCACAGGGTGCTGCGCTGCTGAGCTGATCTGCACACCTGGGGCCAACCCACCCAGCTGCACCCCAGCCCCAGCTGTTCCGTGGGCCCCAAAGAGGCCTCCAGGCACCTGTAGTCGAAGTCCCCATCCTTGCCGTCCAGGAAGCGCTGGTGCATGCGGCTCGTGAACTCCTCCCGCAGGATCAGCCGCTCCTCCGAGTCGGGAACCCAGGACTCAGAGTCACTGTTGGCTGCTTGGTCTGGGGGAGAGACGCTCAGGTGAGGGGGGCACTGGGGGACATGGAGGACACGACACACAGGGCCCGGTGCCCCAGAGGCTGTGGACAGGGGAGGCCGTGGTCTAGCTGATGGACCGCCAGCAAGGGGCAGAAATGGCAGGACCTGGCATGGGGCTAGGCAGGAAGGAAGGGGAGGTGGGGGTCCAGCTGGGGGAGTCCAGACATCAGGGTCCCTGGCTGCTGGCAGGCTCTCACCTTCCTCATTGCTGTCCTCCTCCTCGTCCTCCTCCTCCAGGCAGGCCTCCTCCTCCTCCTGCTGCTGGAGCAGGCGCTGCTGCAGCTCTCGCTCCTGAAAGGACTGGAGCAGCAGGTCGGAAAGCGGGCAGGCGGTAGAGCCGGGGGAGCCGGGTGGGGGTGGCCGGGTCGGGCCGGGCGTACGGGCGTTTAGCTCCTCGGGGCTGAGGTACTGCCCAATGTACTGCTCATACAGCAGCGGCGCCCGGAACCGCATCTGCTCATCACTGAAGTACTCGCCCCCTGAGGAGGAGATGGGTGTGAGGGGGCGCAGGTTATCCAGTACCTTGTGTGGCTCCTCTGTGCCCTTGTGGGTGGCACCTGGGCCCTGTGTGACAAGGAGTCAGGGCTGCTGCAGGCAGTCTCTTCTACCCACGTGGGAGCCAGCGTGCAGTCCCCTGCAGTATCCCCTCCCAGCCCTGCCGGCCCTCCATCCTGCCACCTCTCATCCCCTTTCTGGCATTGGGAGAAACATCTCCTTCCTGCTCCCCTCAGCTCAGCCTGTCACTTCCCCTTCTCCCCTCACCCCTCCTGTTTCTTCTTCTTTTTTTTTTTTTTTTTGCTTTTTGGGTCACACCCGGCGATGCACAGGGGTTACTTCTGGCTCTGCATTCAGGAATTACTCCTGGCAGTGCTCAGGGGACCATACGGGATGCTGGGGGTTGAACCTGGGTCGGCCGTGTGCAAGGCGAATGCCCTACCTGCTGTGCTATTGCTCCAGCCTCCCTCATCCCTCTGTTTCTTTGTTGTTTTAGGGCCACACCTGGTGATGCTCAGGGCTTACCCCTGGCTCTGCACTCAGGAATCACTCCTGGCGGTGCTTGAGGAACGATATAGAATGCCAGGGATCGAACCCGAGTTAGGTGCATGCAAGGCAAAAAAGCCCCATCTGCTGTACTATTGCTCTGGCCCTGTTTCCTTTTTAAGTATGGGTTTTGGGCCATACCTAGCAGTGCTCAGGACTTACTCCTGGCTCTGTGCTGACAGATCTAGCTCTGTGCTGGAGGACTCAGGGCCATATGTGGTGCCAGGGATTGGACCTTGGTTGGCCGTGTGCAAGGCAAGCACCCTCCCTGTCCGCTGTACTGCTTTTGTGTGTGTGTGTCTTTTCCATGTCTGTTCAAGAAGGCCTGGGCACTCTTGGCCGGATACAAACTGGCCTTGGTTTCTGCTGGGCCGGGGTCTCTGTGCATGGTGTGAGGCCAGGATGGATCCAGCTTTCCCAGTGCGGAGCTCAGTATCCTGGGCCTGCACATCTGAAGCGTAACTATCTGTGTCCAAGCCCAGACTTTTCTCCCTGTCCTCCCTTTTTTCTTTCCCTAGGCCCTGATTTTTTTTTTTTTAAAGCCACGTTTGGCAGTATTCAGGGCCTACTTCTTGACCAGGGGATGATCACGAGGTGCCAGGGATTGAACTTGGGAGTCCCACATGCAAAACATGTGCTCCAGAACTCTGAACCCTCTCCTCCCTTTCCCTTGGTCTCCCAAGCTCAGGAGGTCGGGGGGGTCGGGGGGTGGTCTCATGGAATGGCTGTTAGTTTAGTGCAAGGACTCTGGGCAACCTGGGCCACAGCTGGTGGTGCCGGGGGCCTCCAGGACTTGCCCCCAGAGATGCTCAGAAGACCACATGGTGCCAAGAACTGAAATCAGGTGGGTCACATGTCAGGCATGTGCCCTAACCAGTGTACTATAATCCCCCCACCCCATTTTATTTCCCTTTTTGATTCATATCTGGCGATGCTCAGATGTTACTCCTGGCTCTGCACTCAGGATTTTTTTCCCGGAGGTACTCAGGGGATTATATGGGATGCTGAGGATCGAACCCGAGGCGGCCACGTGTAAGGCAAACGTCCTACTTGCTGTACTATCGCTCCAGCTCCCACCCCACTTTTTCTGCGGTGCTTGCGATCCACTTTACTCCAGAGCCACATCCCCAGCCGCTCCCAAGCTTCCTGCTGGGAAGTGTCTCTCCTGGGCTCTGGGGCCCCGCCTGGCCGCCCCGCCTGGCCCCAGCCTCCACATGAGTCCGCCCATCCGCCCCACCTCCCCTCCTGGCCCCGCCCCATCTGTCTCCGCCTTCCGCGCCGAGGCCCGCACCTTGGATAAGCTCGCGCAGCGCCGCGTAGCGCCGGTTGCGCAGGCGGGTATGCAGGGCGCGGGGCCGGGCGGCGCCCTGCCGGGCCACCTCTGCGCAGTAGAAGTCGGCCCGGTGGTCGCCACGCAGGTGGCCAAAGCAGGCCAAGTGCTCCTCGCGCAGCCCCGTGCGGAAACGCTCCAGGAACACCAGCGGCTTCTCCTGGTACAGCCGGCCCAGGATGGCCACCTTCTCTCGCTCCGTCAGCTCCGGCTCGCCCTGCTGCTGGCTGCACACGGGCAGGCGGCTGGCGGCCACGGCCTGCAGCATGGCCTTCACGGCCGCCTCCTCAGTCCCAGGAGGCGCATCCGAGTCACCATCATCACCATCCTCAGCAGCATCGTTGCCATCGTCCAGGGCCAGGGGTGCTCTCTTGGCGGCTTCTACCGTGTCCTGGTGTCTCGGAGGGACAGGCCCCCCAGGCAACTCCCCCCAGTGCTCAGCACGGTCCTCCGGGTAGCCTGTGGGGAGAGGGGCAGTCTTTAGTACGTGGGTGCTAATTCCACCCTGGGTTCCACACTAGGCCCTACTGATGCAACACGTCCTAGGCTGACCACATAATAATGGAGCTGGAGAGACTGCAGTAGGGAGGGTGCCTTGTCTTGCACCCAGCTGGCCCAGATTTGATTCCCAGCACCCCATATGGTTCTCCAAGCCCCATCACAAGTGAGTCTGGGGTAAGTCCCGAGCACTGCCTGCTGTAGCCCAAACCCCCAAAAAAGTAAAAAACACAATTAATGGGCCTTGCCTTACATGTGGATCTCCGGTCTTCGATTCCCAGGCCCTCACTGAACCCCAAGCACCACGGGACGGATCCCTGAACAGAGCCAAGAATAGCCCCTGAGAATCATGGGTGGTACCGCTGCCCACCACAACAAAAAAGGGGTAGGGACTGAGGACAGTTGTTAGGGTGTCTGCTAGACACACGCTGAGTCCAACCTCTGGCCCTATGTGGTTCCGTGAGTATCTCTGTGTGCCGCTCTGGAGGGCCTCAGCAACTCATCTTATGGCCCAGGTGACCATCATCCTGAGCAGCACCACATCCCTGGGCCTCCTGCCCACCCCCCTCCACACCTGTGAATGTAAGCGGATTTGGTTCCAGGAACTACGCAGAAACTTAAAGAGGGAGAAAGGTGGGGTGGGGGAGACTGTGATTCTACCTGGGATAGTCAGGGAAGGCCTCACCCCAAAGGGACACATCAGTGAGAGCTGGGGTGAGACTTGGCAGACATGATTTCTGGGGCAGAGAGGTAGGTGCAGGCAGGGGGGACATGGGGTGACCCTATCATTCCCTACTCAGTTCTCTCTCTGCCTTTCCACCAGTTTGCCAAGTCATTAGCAGCCTCACCAGTTCAAATAGTCCCAGCCCAGGGTCTGGGCTCAGAGACAAGGCGGCTCTGGCACTGGGATCAGGAGGGCAGGCACATGAGCCATAAGAACATGGAGCCTGCCTGGTGGGAGCTTTAGCTAGATTAAAGAGTGGCGCTTAGGGGGCTAGGACAAGAGAAGGCTGAGGGACTGGAGCAATGGTACAGCAGGTGAGGCATTTGCCTTGCACCCAGCTGACCTGGGTTTGATTCCCAGCATCCCATATAGTTCCCTAAGCACTGCCAGGAGTAATTCCTGAGTGCAAAGCCAGGAGTAACTCCTGTGCATTGCCGGATGCGACCCAAAAAATATATTAAAAAAAAAAAAAAAAGAGGAAAGGCTGAGCAGGCCAGGGCAGGGTGGTGGAGAATGGGCTGGGGAGGGGTGCCCCTCCATGTTCAGGATGCCCAGGTCTCTGTGGTGGTGGCCGGCCACACTGGCCCACAGTGAAGCAAGAGCGGGGGAAGGCGCGGAGGCCAGCAAGTAGGGTGGAAATGACCCAGGTGGCGTTTAAGAGGGCTGCCAGGTATGGCTGGACACTTGCCAGGAAAGAGGAATAGTGGGTGTTATAAGACCAAAATTCAAGGTGAAGAAGCAAGTCTCAGTGAGCAAGTAAAAGACCTGCTGGAGGATGAGTGGATAGAAAATGGAGGGTGAGTGAGTGCCCTAAACGTGTCCTAAAGGCAGTCATTGGAGAGAGGGAGAGTGAGTGCATGACGGTGTCCTAAACGAAGTGAGGGAGAGAAGTAACATGAAGGTTCATAGAATAGAAGCAGACTGCTGTGATGGTGTAGCATTACACACACACACACACACACTTCTCTGCCCCTGCCAAAGGGAAAAGGGAAAAAGAGTAAAAGGAACTAGGAAATGGGAAGGAGACAGAAACACGGGTGTGTGTGTGTGGGGGGGGGAAATGGGTGAAGAGGGGGGAAGGCCCTGAGCCCTCCCAGAGAAGCGGGTGACTTGATTGAATGCCGGGGTGTGGTCATTGGGACCCCTTTGCAGCAGTTTCTGAAGGCAATGGGCAGACTGCAGTGGCTGCAGGAATCTAAAACACGGGAAGACCCCCCCTCCCCCAACAGATGCAATGTTGATGGAAGACGGCATGGAATCAAGAGGCAGATTTAGGGAGGTTAAAAATCGCTTAAAATTTTATTGTGGGAAAAAATCAGAGATACAACCCCTGAGCGGATGCTGCTCAGCCCGCCGGCCGCCCGCACCCATGACCGGCTTCAACCTCAACCTCTCAGCAGCAGGGGGGCGGGTGTGTGTGTGTGTGTGGGGGGGGGTAAGGATGGAGCGGCGGTGGGGTGCAGGGAGAGGGTCAGTTAGAGGCGCTGGGGCCCCGCCGCGGGGCAGGGCTGTCACCGAGCGCTATTTCCGGGGGAGGGGGTGAAGGGTAAAGGTAAAGCGGGGGCTGGCGTTCCCCTGCACCCTCCCGAAAGCCACAGCGGCGCGGCGGACCCACTCTCTCGCCGTCTCCGCGGGGCCGTGCCCTCACCTTCATCGGCTTCGCCGGGCGCCGCAGCGTCCATCCCAAGCCTCCAGGACTCGCCAACCGCCGCGGCGAGCTCCGCACGCCAAGCCGGGTCCCACGGCCGCAGCACTCACTTCCGGTAGCGCACACTTCCGGGGCCGGGTGCGCCCCCGGGCCTCAAACTAAAGTTCCGGCCCCGAACGGACCTTCCTGTGCGATGGAGCCTGACTCCCACACTCAGGAGCCAGGACCTAGGTCAGCCGATGGCGGCGGGTTCTTCCGCATCATATGGTCTCCCGAGCACCCCCGCGCCAAAGGAATCAGGAAAATATAGGGCACCAGGGTTAAACATGGTCTTCCGCCTCCGCCCTCTTAGGAAACTAGTATCAGGAGGGATTTGAAACTTTTTGGTTTGCTTTTGGGTCACACCCCGCGATGCTGTAGGGATTACTCCTGGCTCTGCGCTCAGGAATCACTCTTGGCGAGGCTCGGGAGACCATATGGGAAGCTAGGTCGGCAGCGTTGCAAGGCAAGCGCCCTACCCGTTGCGCTATCGCTCTGGCCCAAGAACCATTTTCAAACTTATTCACCACTGTCCAGACCCGAGAACATTTCGGGGTGATGACCGCCAGGCCTCTGAGGGTGATAACTGTGGTCCTGATTTTCTCTATGGGACATCACTTGCTGGCATGTCACTACGCTGCAACAAACATATCGCCAATGAGCACTCTGGAAAACCTGGTGCTCAGGGAGCGGAACTACAAGCCTGGAATGTCAAGTGTTTTTCTGTGTGGGGACCCTAAAACATGGCTGTAAATGAGTATTAGAAGGAGGCAGAGGTAGATCCAAAATGAGGTAATGACTCCGGGAGCCAGGAAGCATGGGGGAGTTCTGGATGTCACTTCAGCAGAAGCATGGAGTGGGGAACTTGAGAGCTTCACAAATCCTTATGCAAAACTCCTTGTACATGTTTATTTTTCAAGGCATTTATAAAGATTTCAGAAGAGACAACTTCCCTGTAAAGAGCTACTAAAGTTCAAAGGAATGCTGAGAGTTGGAGTCAGTGGGATTACAAGGGGTCAGGCAAACGGAGCCCTGCAAGTTGCTGGAGCTCCTTCATCCTGCAGAAGCAGGGCAGTGCGGTGCGAGAGACAGACGGGTAACTACCACAATCTGCGGGTAACTACCACAATCTGCGTTCCGAGGGTTAGGGATCTAACATTTAAAAGGCCAAGATCTCAGGCTTGCCTTAACAGTAGGGAGTCTTCGGGTAACCTGCCTTACCAGGAAAGCCAGCAGAGGGCACTATTGGCTGTTCAGGGAAGAGACTCTTGGGGAAGGGGGAGGCTTCCTTTAAGCTCCAAGAGCCAACCTCTCTACTTGGCTCCTCACATTCACAGGCCCCACATCAGACTTCAGAACTAGTCCTATTTCTTTCGTTTCTGAGTCTTTCTGTGAGAAGGCACTGCCCCTGAGTGCAAGACCTCTCCTGAGGCGAGGAACCCAGCATTCCTGAGAAACGAGGCTGCAGAGAAGGAAGATGGGGGAAGGTTTTTACTTTGGCTCACGTTTACTAAAAGAATTTCCATGGGCTGAAGCAATAGTATGGTAGGTAGGACTCTTGGGTTTGTTTCTCAGCATGCCATATGGTCCTTCATGCCCCACAGGAATGATCCCTGAGCAAAGAGCCACGAATAAGCCCTGAGCACTGTGGGGTGTAGCCCACAAACAAAAACAAATTCCCTGGCAGCCAGGAGATAGTTCAGAGGGCTGGAGCACAAACACGCAGGAATTCTGGATTCAGTCACCCACAGGTCATGGTCCCCTGGTACTGCTGGGTGTGGCCCCAAGCAAAATTAACAGATAATCCCAAAACTCCCCCCACCCCCAACCCCAGGCAAGGAATTAGCAAAGGGCTGGCATAGGCTCTGGATCCAACTCCTTGCATTACATGGTGCCCAAAGACCACTGGGGTCACTATAATGTCCCTAGACCACCCCTGAACTCTGTTTGGAAACACAATCCCCTCCCCCAGCTGTTTTCGCTGGAATCTAAAGATGGCCCAAAGCAATTCTGCCATCTACTGGGAAAAAGGTGGGCATAGTAAGTACTCAGTTTATACTCTGCACTATGCGTGAACTTCACGGGGAGCTTTCTTAATAAGCTGCCTTTCTGAGGCAACCCTGGCCATTCCCCCATCCTACCCTCTGGGGGAGCCCAGAGCAGAAAAAGAGATCCGCACCACCACCTTCCTCCAGGAAGCTCTAAGCTTCATCCCTGCGGCACTTGGTATTGGCACTCTGACAAGCCTAATACCACGGGCCTACAAGCCCATGTGAGCAGGTCCTGCCCACTTGTCTGGGTGCTCTCCTGAAAAGGTGAGAAACGAAGCAAGTATCTAGCACAAACTACCTGGAAAAGGCAACTCCCTGGGTATCCACTAACCCTGGCTCAAGACGATGGGTGGGCAGTCACACACAGTCATGATCTCCCACAGCCCAGCCCTGACCTCGCCTTTCCCTCTCCCTCTGTGTTTTCTACTCACGAATCCCCGTAAGGGCTCTGGAACGGAGGGGACTATCAATGGCAAGTGCCAGAGGGCCACTTTCAAAT